AAAAAATTAAATGTTTATATATATTCGTCGAGGAAATTTTCCAACTTTATTATTATATTTTATCGTTTATTAAAATTAATTATCTTTTTTTTTATATTGTTTTTTATTCGAATTTAAATAAAAAAAGTATATAATAACTTTACGCTTTAAAAATATTAAAAGTAATTTAAAATTTCCGTATCGCGAAACTTTATAAAGTAAAATAAATATCGAATAAAGTTTATAAATTTAAAAATATAAAATACCGAATTATATTAAATTTATTATAATTAACGCTTTAAAGTTTAACGTATTAATTTAATTTTAAGTTTTTTAACTTTTAAATATTCGATAATTAAATTATATAATAATTTAATTTTAAAAAGTTAACGAATTTTAACTTTAATAATATTAATATTATATTCGTTTTTTAAAAGCTTTCATTTTTTTAAATATCGTTATAAAATTTATTTACTCGTTATAACGTTATATTTAACTTAAAGTTTTTAAATAATATCGAATTAAATAACTTTATAATTAATTAAATTTTTTATATAATATTATATTTATAAAATATAAAATAAAATTTAAAATATTAACGATAAAAATTAAAAAAATATAAAATAATTTTTATTTTTTTAAAAAACGGTTAAATTATTCGAAATAAAAAAAAAAATAATGTTATTTACGTTATATGGTTTTTACGCGTTTCGCGTGTTATATTTCGTTTAAATTTAACGTATATTTAATTAACATAATTTTCGCGTTAATTATATTTATAATATTTTTATTTAAAGTTTATTTTTTTAAAATATATTTAAATACTTATATATACGTAATATTTTAAACTAATTAATAATATATATTTTATTTAATATATATATATATTTTATATATAAATATATTTAAATATATATTCGTTTATTTTTTATTAAATAATATTATTAAGTAAACTTTATTAAATACTTTTTTTAATTTATTCTTATTTTTTTTTTTATTTTTTTTTTAATTTTATAAAAAGCTAAAAAAATAAATTTTGTTTTATTATAATATAAAAAACTTTTTTACGACATTTTTAATAATTTTTTTATAAATTTTATTAATTTTAAAAATACTACGTATTTTACGTAATTAATTACCATTTACATTTAAATCGTTCGTAAAATTTTTAATATTTCGTATATAAAGTAAATCGATTTTAACATTATAATTATTAACGATTAAAAACTTAAAATTATTATCTTTATTTTTATATTTTATTATATTATTAATTATTTTTAAAAATGAATGTAAACGTTTTCGTAATTAAAACGATTCGTTATTATAATTATTATTATAATTATTATCGTAATTATTATTAAAATTTTCGTTATTAAAATTATATTAATTATATATATTATCGAAATAATTATTATAATACGTAAAGTTAAAAAAATTTAAAAAAATAACGTTAACGTTAAGTTTATTTTTAAGCTTTTTTTTATTTTTTTAAGTTTCGAAATATATACGTTTCGTATTAATTAAACCGGATTTAATTTAACGGGTTTTATTTCGCGATTAAAAAAAACTTTTAATTATATTTTTTTCGATTTTTTTATAATAATTATTTTTCGTTTTTTTTTAAAAGTTAAATATAATAATTTTATTTATTTTATCGAATAATATTAATGTAATCGATTTAATAAATAATAACCACGCGAATTAAACGAATAAATATTCCAGTATAATTTTTTTAATTAAAAAAAACGGTTAATTATAAAAAAAAATAATTAATTTTAAATCGTAATTTTCGGATTTATCCGAAGTTATAAATATATAAATACGCATTTTATATATATTATTAACTTAAAAGTTAAAGTTAATTTTTAGGAAAAATGTAAAAACATTACTATCGTATAATTTATAAAAGTTTATACGAAAAAATAAAATATTATAATAATCGTAAAATAAATTATTTTATTAATAATTAAATTTTATATATTTACGCATGTAATTTTACTTAAATTATTTTTTTTTACATTTTAAAATAATATAATATAATTTTAAATTATATAACGTTTTTATTATACGATATAATTTATTATAATAATTAATAATTAAAAAAAAACTATTAAAACGTTAACGTTTATTCGTTTACGCGGGGATATTTTTAATATCGGTTAATTAATTAACATTTAAAAAATAAACGGATTTTTAAAAGTTTAAAATTTTATTTTTAAAGAATAATTAATAATTAAAAATCGAAATAATAAAATATTAATTTAAATAATAATCGTTAATATTTAAAAAATATAAATATATAAATATATTTTATTAATTATTTTTATATTTTAAGATATAAAAAAAATATTAATTATATTATAAAATATTATTATTAAATACGTCGATAAAAAACTTATTTATTTTTACGTATTTTAATAAAAAAAAACCATTATTTATTAATTTTTCGTTAACATTATAATTTCGTTCTTTTTTATTAATTTATATATTTTTAATTATAATATAATAAACGTAATATATAATAAAATAAAAAAAACTTTTATTAACGGTTTAAAAGTTTAATAAAAAACTTAATTCGAAATAAACGAAGTGGTAAATATCGATATATTAAAAGAAAGTTTCGGTTTTTTTTCCGGTTAATAATTTTAAAAATGTAAAAATTTTCGAAAAATTTATAATAAATTAATATTTTATTAATATAATAAAGTAAAATTTAAATAATATAATTATTTATACGAATAATAAAATAATAATAATAATAATAATAATAACGTATTTACGTTAAAATTAAAATAATAATAATTAAATTACATGTTAAATAAACTTAAAAACGGGAATAAAAACGATTACGTCGTAAAACTTTATTAATTTATTAATAACGAATTATTAAATTAAATTTATTAAACCGTTAATTTAATTAATATATTAAAATATATATAATATAATATAATATAATAACGTATAATTTAATATATATTTTATATAATATATTAAATTTTATAATAAGTTATAACGTTATAAAACGTTAAAAGCTTTATAATTTATAAACGTTATAACGTATTAATTCTTTATATTTTATAAATAAATTATTACGTTATTTATTAATAACGTCACGTATTAATTTAATATAATTTATAAAATTATAAAACGAAAAAGTTATATTTTATAAAGTGGTTATAATATTTAAATTTTTTCAATAATTTATTTTATAAAAAAAATCCGAACGGTATTTAAAAGTAATTTAAGCAGAAACCCCCATTAAATCATTAAAACGCAACCTTCCGAATGTGATTTCAATTTTGTCCATCAACGGAACATAGATTTCATCAACCCCTCAACTCTCAACCCTTAACCCTTTACCCTTATCCATCAAATCCGAATCCGAGATGCGGGCGTTCTAGTTCTCATTATTGAACCATGCAACTCATGCAATGAACCTAATTGGCTTTTGACTTCAGATTTACCTTGACCATCGGCATCAATGCGTTCCGTTGCCGTTGACAGACATGTAATGTCTATTATTATTATATGCGGTGCTCACGCTTGACCTTGCTTTTAGGCACGCGCCACACGCACTGATGTACGTATGTACCTACCTAGGTAGGTTCATGTCATTATCAGCCCGTCAACTTGATTGACGTCATTGGCGGGTTTAGGGGTCCTGATGTCAAGCTTCTACCGTTCGGTTTTTTCAGCTAGATCCTGGTTTTGTACAACCTACCAACGAACTCTACTCCCCGAGTATTCCAGATCGAACAATGTTCATTCAAAAACAGCTACTCAAAACATTCGATATCGTATCTTATCTCTTAGGTGTCGCTAGAAGAGAAACTCGAAAAGAGCCAGAGCTCAAAGCCTAACCAACGTCCACGGAACCTCAACAGCATCTACATACATATATAAAAACGACGATCAATTAACCAAATGCCGAGTTCCCCCTTGTCAAACTTGCAGGTTAATAGAAGTCGATTTCTACACAGAAGTCTCCGAAGGTTCGGCTCCACGCCGGCTATAAGAACCAGAAATCCGAGTTGAGAGCTCATCAATACACCAAGAGTATTAATAAGAGTCTGCGTTTGTGACTAACGATATAAAGCTCTTACCTGAATAGTTGATAAGACCATGCAAAAATCAGATGTTCATCAGCTGCCGCGATGACTTGCCTTATAGAGATGAAGGGATCTCATCGCCGTATTTTCGGAGATATCTCACAATCACAAAGAGGATCAATAAGAATTCTCCCAACATCTGATTCCTCAGCCCCAACCATTATCGCAATAACCTTACCTTATGGTCACCTAGAATGTCTTTTCGTTGGTTAAGATCTCAGGAATTTAATAGACTACCAACCGACTACCAACCAACTACCTACGGCGTCATCACAGCTTTTTTCAAGTGAATTACGTGTATCCCGTTTTTTCATTTGGCTTTACGGTCTATTCTATCCACATATGGATGCCAACGCAACTTGTCTCTAGGGCTACATGCTTTACACGTAGTTGCGCTAACCAGTATATGCTGCACATACCTAGTACTAATATCTTCAATGACTATAACAAGTTCTGTTCTTTGCTGGGTAATTACACAAAGGAAAAGCGCCTAAGTCAAAAACTATCAGTATCCGACTTACATACCTAGGTAGATACCTACCTGGCTATTCGAAACTAAAGTGGTTTCTATCTGGACGAAGGAAGACGTATGTAAACTTAAGGTTGCAGGGTTCCTTTGAAGGTTGCATTTCGAAAATACGGTACGGATATCTATATCACGGATTTATCTACTGTGTATCATTGCTCATGTCGGAAAGTTACAGCATATCCTAGCCACTAGGCGCTTTACCTAATAGTGCTAAGCTCTGGTAATATTTCCGTGGCTCTTATACAGTGCTTGTTACTGTGCTTCAGGATTAAAATGGCTGGCTAATATGTCAATGATCTGCGCTATTAATGCAACTCCATTATAGTCGTCCAGACGTTCAGCTAACGGGATACATCTCAGGCATACCTTCTACAAGCCTCTCAACCAGGTACCGGCCGAACCTGAATAGGATAATGGCATCGTCATGCAGGAAAGCCACCTGCCCAGCCGGCGGTTCAGTCACACTGTCAACGAGGTGGACCGTAGCTTACAAAGCCAGCCGGTCCTTGTTCGCATGGACACTTGCTAACGGCCAAGCTACAGCCAGATGTAGGCTAATGGATAGCTCACTCCTTCATCCTAAACTAAACTTTTGACAGCTAAACACCTAAATCTAATAATAAGAGCTATTGTGGAACTTACACTGCAGCTTGTCAAGCTACAACTTGTTACACATAAGGCACTTATACAAAAAATACAGCCTACATCATGACTGGCACCATCATCGTCACTGGAGCAAATGGCTCTCTTGCTATCCCTGCTGTGAAGTATCTTCTGGAGAAATACCCTGACTATACGGCAGTCTTGACTGTCCGCAACACAGAAGATTCGGATCAAAACACAAAAAGGCTGCGTGAGACGATCGCGGGCTTTCCTAAAGCTGAGACATCTATCCGTCAGCTAGATCTAGCTAACCTCAACGCTGTGCACGAATTTGCTAGCACAATTGCCACTGAAATCACGGAAAAGAAGCTACCACCGCTTGCTAGCATCATCTGCAATGCGTACTACTGGAATTTAGCTCGCGATCCCGAGTTCACGGCCGATGGGGTTGAGACGACTATCCAAGTGAACCACGTTTCTCATGTCGCTTTGGTCCTCCGACTTCTTGGTAGCTTTGGACCCGAGGGTGGCCGTATTATGCTCTTCACTAGCGACGGACACTTCCCCGGAAAGAATGGTCTAGAAAAATACCCGCCAGGCATCCCGGATGACTTAGATTCTTTGTTGAAGGCCTCTCCGGATGCTGACAAACTCGGCCGTGGCTTCAATAGATATGCGAACTCGAAACTAGCTATCCTCATGTGGGGATTTGCGTTGAACAGGTATCTCGAGAAGGTATGTATCGATTTATTACCTTTTTTCTTACTCCACCAAGTCGTGAAGATGAACAATACATTGACCTCCATCTAGAACGAAGAATTGCGCAAGATCACCGCCATCATAATTGACCCGGGTAATCTAACTGACTCACGGGCGCTACGCACGAACACGCCCAAGTTTCTTCAGTACGTCCAAAGGTTTGCGCTACAACCGCTACGACCCGTTCTCCGCTATGCAGATCCGACCCTACGCACGACAGCGGATGCTGCCGTAGATGTTATCGACCTTGCCACGAACACCGCGTTCCCAGGAGAGCGCGGTTACCTGAAGCAGTTGAAGAGAGACCCCAGCTCGCCAGACAGCTTAAATGAGGATAAGCAGCAAAAGTTGTGGACTAAGAGCGCCGAGTGGGCAAAGATCACGAAGGAGAACACCGCTCTGGCGGATAGTCTTTGAACGAGACATATTGAGAGATGAAAGTATATGGATAAAGCAATGGGTTTGGATTAATCTTCATAGGTTATGAGATACGCGGCGGATTTCTGTCTTTTCTGCAATATGATTTTGATTTAAACAAAATTTCTTTCTGAATCTATCAGACTCTACTCCGTCTTGGATCGATCTGTGAAGCGTCTCTGGAAGATTGACATTTCCATCTTCCGGCATGCAAACTCCCAGTCTGTCGTCCATTTACGATGGAATGGCCTATATCCCAGAATACCTCCTATCCATCTACCTACCAGAATCCCCAATCCTCGTGCTATCGTCCTACTGAATGGTATCCATCGTGGGAGTGACAGGTAAGAACCGCCTGCGTCGAACATCTAGGCATGGACTTGTCAACGAGCTGGTGTAGAGTCTGTAATGCATCGATGACTTACACTCATTACCTGAACAAGATCTATCTTCTCGCCCTTCACGACGATCTGATCCTGGTAGGCATACCAATTCTCAAAGAAGACCGTATCAAGCCTGAACAGCTCGGGCGTGTTATCTGCCGAAAGCAAGAACCTCGTCACCTTCGAATCGCTCTCGGTACCCTTAGACACCGGCGAGTATAGCCTATGGTTCGTCCACGGGCGAACGCCAACTTCCCCATCTTCGGGACTAAGAATACGCTCCTTGCCTTCGATCTCGAATGCTAAGCGTCCTTCAAGCACCTGGAGGTACTCTTCCTGGTGAGGGTGGAAGTGTAAGGGCGGCTTCTGCGACGCAACAGCAACAACACGTGGGTGCTGAAGCAGGAACGTCACCTCGTAGGCGAATACGCGGTCGGGATGAGAAGGATGGGTGATCACACGTGTAGTGATGCCGCCCTCGAAGCTGTAGCGGGGCGAACGACGATCCTCATGTTTAGCAACAGAAACAAAGTTCTTACTGTTCCACTCCAGAACTTGGTTCCCACATGGCTGGAACAACGCTCGGGGAGAGGTAACTTACGCCGTAATCACGCGTCCTAGATATGGATCCTTAGCCATGTCTTGCAGAGTCCCCAAGCACGATTCTCTCCGGTTACCGATTTTCTAGGTAGGCAATGGCACGTCTGCTTTCACTTCAACCTTACTATATACCTATGTAGAAGGGAAGCATGTAGTAAGTATAGGGTTACAAGCTGAAGGTGATTATCGATGTGGCTTCATGAAGTGATTCTCCGCTGGTCCGATTATTCGAATGGTCTGTTCAGCTACCCCTAAACATCTCGTTCTGTTTATGATACTCGAACATGCATAGCATTGCGACGCCGTAATTTGGATTGATAGCTTCGGTCCTCTTTTGCCACTTTTTCTTACTCGTCTCTCGGCAATGTGATCCCGTTTGCATTTACCCTTACCTAATTGCTTGAGTTTATCAGTCATCAGCCTTATTTTAGAATAACCAGGATATAGTGTGTATCGTCTGTTCTCCTTAGCGTACCCCCTAAGTGCCGGCCGTGGGTGTATAGGGTGGAATAGTTTGCGAACGGGCTTGCTCAACGTACGATACGGACTGTGGGACCCAGCCAGCCCAGTTCCAAGGAAGTTAGCGCCAAGGAGCATCTGGATCCTTCAGATTGGGGAATTCTCTAGAGACTGTGTTGCATCGTCGCCCATCTAGGCGCACTAGGGCTGAATCTGAACTAGGCGGCTTTAGCCCCTAAAGAGGTGTGAGATGGGAGGATAGAATTAAGCCCCCAAGGTTGCTAGGTCTGTCCGCCCTCTTCATCCCATCTTACGGTCCTTGCTTACTAGAATTTTCGGCCAGATCCTGGATCTCTCAGAGAGCTGACGTACGTAACAATGATCGCGAGATCTACGAGCCTAAAAGTAAGGTTGCGGCACAGCTAACTCTACTACGCCGATATCAACATGATGAGTTTTTAAGAACCTTAGGTAGTTAGCTAATAAAAGCTAAATAATTTCTAGTTAGACATTGCTCGGTTACATAATTCGAGAGCTACTAATTGGTATGAATCCACAGAACCGGCATTTATTTCCATCTTCAGCGATAGTCCTTGAACCAACACCTATCCAACGGCTCGCACGGTTCTCACGGCTCTTAAGGGACACTACTATTAACTACGCTACGGAAATATCTAATAGATTCGGCACCGGTGCTAAGCTACTTGCCTGAATAGGATATAGCTTTGACAGACACGCCATGGAACTTCCAAGAGCTCAAAGCGCTACATACCTATCCTACTATACCTATACATGATATATTCGTACACAACACATGAAGCCGACGGATGTCAGCATAAGGGTATCTTAATATATACAATATACATTACCATTTTGGAAGTTCTTTTTTTCTATCATTGGCCAGGCTAGGTTACATCGGCCTTGCAGGACTACCAAAGAAATATCCTTGGACCTCAAGGTAACTTGAACCCCCCTGAAGCCAGGTTCTGGAAGACTTGGTCAGGGTCGTACTTCTGCGCTGTGGCCTTCAGCTTCGCCACGTTTTCTTGTCCGTAATGTTCGATCACGGGCTGATCGGCAGCCGCGTCGTTCATGAATATGTAATCGACGTAGTTTCCGCTGCTCTTGGATGCGTCGTCGATCTTATTAATCATGCTGAGCGTGTAGTTATGCGCAAGCTCGTCGTCTTCCGGTTTCCACCAGCCCACATCTAATACGAGCCAGGTCTGGTTCACGGGTTGTAACCCTAGCGGATTTCCACCGCTGGAATGTCCCGCGAGCACGGCGCTACTTGAAATTGGCTGCCATCCGAAAGCCAATGATCCCGCGGTCAGATTGGCGAGTTCCTCAAGCTCTGGGGCTTTGGTCAAGATATCAGCGACTTCACCGAATAACTGTTTGTCTGTCGCGAAGCTCGAGCTGAACCAGTTCACACTACAACGTCATATTAGTAAAAGGAAAGATGCGATTGGTCCTTTTCTAGGACTTACCGGGTCAGTTCAGGGACAGGCGCCGCGAGCATGAGCTCAGTTAGTGTTTGGAGTTTGGTCAGATCAGCTAGAGGTGTGATGTTTCGGAAAGGTGCAAATGCTTCCGGTTCCTCCTCAGGCTTCAGGTACACGACGTTCAAGATGGCACCGATGCTCGCATTGGTCGGGAAAGCCTGCAACATGATGTTCGCATACGGGTCCTTGTTCGCAACTGATTGGTACTCGTACATGGCGTCAAACAGCGCTGGCAGGGCATCAAGCGAATACACCCTGACGCCGCCCCATGCATCGTGGATGTCGTAAGCTTTCAATGTGAACTTGGTAACAATGCCTGATGATGTGTAAGCCAACCAATCGTTCATATATACCGGAATTATATTCATCATGTCTTACCAAAGTTGTTAGCTCCACCCTTTAGAGCCCAGAATAAATCCGGATGAGATGTTGCGCTTGCATTCACAACTGTTCCCTTTGCGGTGACAACCTACACCAATCGGATCTTAAGTCAGCACTAGAGTAAATAGGGCGATTTTTCAGCTAAAGCCTCCCTTACCTCAAAATTGACTACATTATCACAAACCAACCCATAGAGATCAGCCAGATAAGAAAGACCCCCTATGGCACTCGTTAGTGGTTCGTTCAGCATAGCTGAAATGATAGGGGAATCAAACTCACCTCCAAGGACCAAGCCACCAACACCCACTTCTAGGACTCTGCCCCCAACTACGGTCACGTTGTAAGGGTCCAAGGCAGTGTAGACTTCTTTCCATCGAAGTCCAGAGCCTACCGTGGCGACTTTCTTGTTCGCATCATATTCCACAGAGTCGAACCTTGCCATGTCGATCAAAACTCCTCCATCGATATTCGCGGCCCCCTTGACGACCGAGTGTCCGCCAGAGCGCACAGCGAACTTCGCTTTCTGGCCTACTACGGTCGAGACGACATATGTGAGCTCTTTGGTATTAGAAGGTTGGATGATGCATGCTGGCTTTGCCCAGACGGTTTGCGACCTATATGATAAAATGAGCTACAAGATCTCCATGTTGGACGGCGGTGAACTATACCAATTTTCAGTGCTCAGAGCTTCGTAAATGCCATCTGTAGCTTCGACGGTACCGTTGCCAAGCTTTAACTTGATCGTATTGCACAGAGTTTGATCCGGGGAAGCTCTTGCTACAGAGCAGAAGGCGAGTACGATGCCAGCAATGGCTTGGAATGCGGTGGAACGCGCCATAGTCCTATCTGCTCGCGCTGGCGCCAACAACTCTAGATCGCGGGCTCTAGCTATTCGCCGGATTGCGTCAAAGTGCTAGTTGAATACCTACCGGTAGTGCACAAACGGCGGATGATCTAGCAAGCTCTGGACTCCGGAGGAATCCCAGTCGTACTTATTAAATAACACGAATTTCTACAGAGCCCCCGTCCAGCCCTAAGAGCAACAATATCCTCGGTGGTACCATTTAACTATGCTGTCCCCCGGGAAAGGGGCTAAGGTCAAGTCAGCCTAGATGAATCCATCTCATGGTAACATAGTAATTCGAGCAGGATCAAGCCATTAAGCGCCCCCTTCGCAGTTTGGGGCCCTGCAATACGTATACCGAGATTTTGACATGGATATGGTCACGGAATTGACGATATGCCTTCGAAGGAGCTAGACCTTGTTCACATAACTGCCCTATCTTCATCTGCCCCAGCATTGACAAGGGGTGTCATTTCGCCCCTGGCGGCCGGCCGAACTCGTATTAGTCCGCGAACTAGTAGTGTGCGAGTGGGAACTGTTATGCCTAGCCAGTTAGCGCGGCCCTACAAAGGAGGCTAATAGACAGTGTGGTACAGTATTCCAGACATGGCTGTCGCTGTTAATTCGGTCCTGCATTAATCGCGCTTGAGCTGAAAGGCGTTAGGGCTACAGTCACATGTAGATCTCTATTTATACGCTACAGAAATAACCTTGCCGGTGGCTTGTTGGCGACGATTCTGACGTCGGAGTATTCGGGACGCCCTGGAATGTTCCGTCCCGTCTGAAGTCTCTCGCCCGAGAGCTACATACAGCAAGCCAAAGCATGTACGGGCTTACTCCGATGGGAAAGAGCTGATATTTAATCGCGCCGTGGCTGGTACAGCTGATCTTTCAAGGCATTCCTGCTGGAAAACACGTGTAACCCTACGTACGACAACGCTTCGAACGCCTAGGATCAGACCGTTGTATTTAACTCATGTGGGTATCAGGTGGTATAGTTCTCTTACCTAAGCCAAGGTTATCTTGCCGTTGCAGAATTTCTAACCGTTCTTGGAATCTTAAAGCGTAAATTTTCATCCCGCGAACTACCCTGCCTAGGACACATCTTGACTACTTCGTACTTCATGGGCGGAGATAGCCTAGCACTTCGTAGTCCTTCTAGCCAAAGTGGTAGCATTTCGGCCGATTGGTGCATTTGTGAGGCTTCCAAGCGAGAACACTTACGTATACCCACCTACACTCCCGACGAACTTGAACGCCCGCTGCTGCCAGCTCGATTAGGGACCGAGTCTCGGATTGGCATCAAGGAGGGAAGTCCTATAATTTGCGGAGACGAAACATCCTCCACCGCCATGTCAATGCTTATTGGAGAGGGTACGTCTTTAACCATACCGCCTAAAGAGGTGACCAGGTGACGATTTCGATACTCAAGTCTACTAGCCCCCCCATGATTGGCTCTGTTTAGTATGACCCGACCCTATGGTAAGCGTGTCGAGCTTATTCTCAGCCTCCTGTCAGAAACGTAAAGGTGAACAACGCAAATCGGGCTAGGATGATCTCGACGGGCAGAACGATATCGTCTCGTGTGGGGTGAAGGATCCATCACTTACAGGTGGATTAGGGGTTACTATTCCCAATGCCATCCTTGACGATCTGCTAGGCTATTTCGACTAGCGTCTCGGACTACCAAGTCCTAGCGGTAAGAGTGATATAAGTGGTGTCTTCGTACCTGGGCTTATCCTGAAGAAGGGTAGAAGAGGAAATGACTTCTTATTACCCTTCGCCATCCCGCTCTTTTGGGACCCCTCTGGACCCCTCCGTCGATCCTCATCCACTATGGCCAGCAAGGCAAGCAACGAAAAACCTCACTCGGCCGAGGAGGAAACAGCGGCATTCCAAAACAATGCTCTCGCACAACAGTACGGCGGCGGGCACGCTGGCGGTTGGGTTGGCCTCCTACCTTCGTCGTGGGTTCCCTATGTCCAACTAGCGAGACTGAGCCCCCCAGCAGCCCTCTTCCTCATCTACTTTCCTCACTTCTTCGGCATCATCCTCGCCGCCATTATCAAGCGATCGCCCATATCTCAAGTCCTCCATACGGGAGTCTTCATGTTCGGGGGCAGCTTTTTCTTCTCGAACGCAGCCCACGGCTGGAATGACTTAATCGATGCGCCCATCGATAAATCCATCGCACGCACGAGTAAAAGGCCTATCCCTCGAGGTGCCATCAGTCCCCGCGCCGCATTTATATTCACGGCTACACAAGCGATCGGTGCAGCCTCGTTCCTGCTCCTGATGCCGAGCGGAAGCGCAATATATGCTGTCCCAAACATCATTGGTACATATTACTACCCTTGGGCGAAGCGGCACACCAATTTTGCACAATTGGTGCTTGGATTCTGCTTAGCTTGGGGTATTATCATGGGGTCTTGTGCAATGGGGCTCAAGCCCTTTACCGGAGGTCCGTTTGGGGCGGAAGAGGGACGGAAGCTGCACTTCTGGGTCGAGCCATCGGTCGCAAGCCTCTTTGTTGCGTCTATCCTCTGGACGGTCATTTATGATTCCATCTATGCCCACCAGGATATGAAAGACGATATCAAGGTGGGGGTGAAGAGTATCGCAGTGTTACTTAAGGACCAGACGAAGCCTGTTCTCTGGTTGTCCCTCGGTTGCATGATTGCGCTGCTGTATACATGCGGAAGCCTATTAAACATGGGCATCCAGTTCCATGTGATTGCAGCTGGAGGTTCCTTGCTATCATTAGGTGCCATGATCGCCAACGTTGAGCTCAAGGACTCTGCAAGCTGCTGGTGGTGGTTTAGGTACGGATTCTGGCTTGCAGGTGGAGCCATCGCGGGAGGGCTGCTCTCCGAATACGTACTCCTGAGGCCAAATTTCTGATGAATACATTGGTTCCGATCTCATTATATATCTTATAGACTAGAGGCTTGATTGCACGATTTATACCTATGTATAAATGCACAACGGCGGGGTTTGGTTAACGATCCTTACATGAATAAAAGCATCGCTGGTTATTCACATATTCTCTCGTTCTCGGTCTCGCGATGATGATAGATCGCCCATAGTTCTGGGACGTAATACAGATAAGGATCCTTCGAGGGTAAAGGAATTATTCCCTAGCCGCCGATCAATTTCTCACTGTGTTACACTGCGTTGTAAATGTCATCCTTCATGTATGGATGACGACTTACGTGAACACCTTCGTGCTCCTGCCGGGGGATCTCCCAAGATTGAGTGGGAATAATCTGTTGCTGCATGCTGACAATGGTTCCCTCCGGATGCACCACTCCCATCCCACGTGGCTATCGGGGTAATATTCATTATAATGGTGATCTTAGCTGAAGTGAATGGAAAGGGAATGCATTAGCGGTTTTTTTTTCTTTTTTTCCAATATTGTAACGATGACATATGAGGCTAGGCATCCTGACGCCTCAGAACGCCTCGGAACGCCTCACGGGCTGACAGTAATAGTCCGGTCACCCCCACTGAAGATCAGTGAGCTAAAGGAGAAATCCGCTTTACCTGGAGCAGCTGGAAGTTGTGTCATTAGAGCTGAGCAGAAAGATACCTATGAGGTAGTAATGAACTTACGACTCCATTAAATGTCTTTCATCTAGATTGCAACCTTCACGATCGTGCATAGGATCCTTCTGCGCCGCATTCTTTTACCTTGAAATTATGAATTGGTCATTAATACGCAGCCATCGGTGAATGTGATGGATTCTTGTACACCGTCGTGGCTTCTTCTTATGGCGTTCCGTAGCTCATTACGAGGTATCCAGTAAGATAGCGCTTCATCGACACTAGTAGCTACTGAGGCGTCTAGTAAATAGCTGTAAATAATCAATAATGGCACTTTTGGAGGCGTAATATATCATGTAATGATTCTTTAGCTTCTTTAGCATCCATGACATCTTTGGATTAAGTTGAAAAAGGTTGCGTTTGGTGGTTGGAGTGCACTAACAGACTGGTGGCAGGTAGACTGCAGACTGGGCAATGACACTAACAATTAAGCTGACAGACACGCCCCTTCCGTTAATATGCCGAAATCCGAATGGCGCTTTTTAACCAATCAACATCTTTAAAATCTCGGAACTCGTCTTCACCTTCCCTTCCTCCCCTCCTTCATCAATCTGTACCAAACAACACTTACAATAATGAAAATCACCAGTTACTTACTAGAGTTAGAGCCGCAATCAAGAGACAATCTCGCTCCATGAACTCCGACACATTTTCTACGTAGACTTTCAATTTGATTCCGACGTCTCAGGAATGAATCCACAGCAGCCACTCGGTGGCCAGATCATAAATTTACAGACCACCCAGCGCTCTTTAACTGGAAAATATCGACGTAATGGAAAACTGCAGTATGCATTTTCGATTTCTTACTCTTCGACTCTACACATTTTCCCTCCTAGCTTCTTAAGCTTACACTGAAGGGCACTGCGGGATCGAGTCTAGACTCCCTAGTCCGTGTCGTGCAAAGTTGAATACAACCCATTCACATAACATGCACCTTACGTACTGGGAGTTTAGTCTCACTTTCCTACTGCCCGTATTATCTAGATCATGTGAGCCGTGTAGACGATCTAAGTTGAGATGTGACCATGTTGTTCCAGCTTGTGGGAGATGTGTCAAGAGGCGATGTGTTGACCAGTGTATCTACCATCCAAATCCTCTAACCCAGGTTCGTTGGAGGGGATCATCCACCAGTAAGCAAGTCAAGCTGATGATTAGAAATAGAATCGTCGGAGAGGTGGCGGCGTCACGCCCCCAACGCCAGTGGCGTCGACAAACGATGAGAGTTCCGTCATCATAGCTCAGTCAGTTGAGACACCAAGTCCAGAAACAGAAAGCCCAAGTTTCCTCACACCCCAAACTCCATTGTCACGTCCTACTGAAATAGTAACGCGTGAGGTTCATCGAGCTGCATCCGCTCCACCACTAAATTTCCGGGATGAATACACCAGCCATACCGGAAACCAGGGCTTCCTTGGAGAAACTTCCTACATTTCCATCTTCGAAGATGGTTTAGGTAGCTCCGGTGTCTCTGGTCCCGATCTAGAATCTTCTCACGTTCACAAAGTTAAACTATCGCAAGATCGTATAGCTCAAGGATGTAAAGTCCTTGGTTTCTTAAAGGATAATTCTTTGCTTATCCATCTTGTGTCACGATGGTACGAAGTATGCGAAGATGAGTGTTGTATCTGTATAGAACCTATTATGAAAGAATGGATGTGGGGTCTCTGGCCACATCATGGAGATGTCGTACGTATAACGAGACCATTTACTGGAATTCCGATTTTTATTCCTAGGAAATAACCGCGAATTGGAGCTTGCGAAAACTATACAAGATACTAACCTATAATATGCAGTTGAGAGATCAGAATCCCGAAAAGATCCGCCGGCTCTGTGGGCTAATCTGGCGTAATACCCAGACACCTCTTACCTTTAATAAAAATACTACGGCGGCCCAAGTAAGTTGTTGTTCTACGATTTATCCACGCATTAGGTCCTCTAGAGATTGTTTCTAATGTTCATTGCGCATGGCAATTACTAACTTGTGTATTGCAGTGGGCACGCTCCGCTACTGGACCTGGCTTACGGTGGGAAGTCATCGGCCTTATCGCCGCAGTCGCTGGTCAGTGTGCTAGTACCCCTGAGCCCATGGATCGAGATTCGAAGACCCCCAAATTCACGCAGTCCTCCTTCCCGAGACAGATGAGCGAAGTTGCAGAGGCTTGCTTGAGCTTCTGTCGCGACTGTGACTCTCTCGGCGACTTGTTCGCCTGGTTGCTAATGGAAAACTTTTGCTTGACCGGTAGGCTTAAGGGTGAGACTAGCCACGCTTCATATACCCAATGCGGAGAGATTGTAGCCGCAGCTATTGCGATGGGTTTACATCAGGATGCCAAGGAAGAAGACGGGCTGCCATTCTTCATATCGGAAACGCGAAAAAGACTCTTCTCTCAAACATATAGCGCAGAGATTGGAATATCGACATTCTTAGGCCGTCCCCCTCGCCTCTCACACCGTTACTGCAAATTCCATGCTCCCCTGGATCTCACTGTACCCCAGTTAGTTCTTGAAGGAGACGAGCTGGCTCTAGCACTTGCCAGTCTAGACGAAAATGGGTATAATACGGCTGGAAAAATACATCGCGTTACTTGGATCAAGACCTGACAAGGATTTTCTCCGAAGAGAGAAGATATACTTGACTTGGCGCTAGCTCAATATACGCCCGAGGAAATTCTGATTCGTGCAGAAGATATCGAAAGGCGCTGCAATGAACATATGGCCGGATTGCCCCCTTTCATCCAGAAAATAAGAGACGGGCCTATAGAATTTGAAGGGAAAACGCCGACGGAAATCATGTTCATGATCGTGATCCGCCAAGCATTCCGTTCCAACGATCTCCTACTTCAGCGCGTATTAATCCGCAAAGCTGGCGCGAGCTCAGAGAAACTCATACATATCGCACGATCGATTCTAAAGGATATACTACTAATGAGCCAGCGCCATGACTTGGGAATGCTATTTCAAACTGATATCGCCTCCCTTCTCGCGGTTCAGGGGTTGCGAAGTGCGGGTGTCATCGCTGTTGAACTGTTGAAGCAAGAACAACTTCCTGTATATCCGAAAGATCCTCTCTTACCCAGAAGTCAGACGATCCAAGACTTGGCTATCTTCGCAGCTAGGCTTGGGGCCATCGATCCTTCAGACGGGTCATTTAGTATTTGTGATCAGGGGCGCAAGGTTATTACCCATATACTCGATAAGATTCTCAGTCCTCCAAATGCGCCAGATCGGTTTCAAGTTTCCAGCAACCTCCCTACGCACCAGGATCAAGTCCATCCGCCTATCCAAGCAAGTTTTGAAATTCCGACAACCGAACCGGCACCGGGCTATAGCTGGCAGGTGCCTGGTGTGATGGATTCTACGATGGCGGATTTGAATTTCGGCATGGAGGCGCCTTTCCTAGGACCTGATAATGATTTCATGCAATGGCTTGAGAATATGGACTGGGAGAAACCTATTCAATGATATTATTCGAAACACTAGCTGGTGAATGTTTTCTTCTTTCTTTATTAAGAATTGTCGCATCAGCCATGCCCGGACTTGGGTTAAGATGCCAAGCTATAATGATAAGATGATCATTCGCTTGCCCGAATTACGCATATTTTATAACTTTCTTCCCGGAGTTTGACGCGGCCATTGTGGCAAGATGAATATTTAGATTTATGTGCCGACGGGATGCCGAGGACAAGGTTTTGTCCGAACATCTATCAAAAGGGTATCCAGTGTAAGCTCCATACACCACCTCAATGAGTTCGTGGCCATACTAACAGTTGTATGGTGGTATAGGTAGACACCATAACTACTACTTCGAATACCTTACAGTTAGCTAAAAAAAAAAAAAAAAAAGCCAATGGGGATCTCATTCCTCCCCAATTACCTAAACACTAGAACGACAAAGGAGTGCCCACAAATTTCAAGGAGGCCTGATCTAGAATGCTGCATCATTGACACCTGTCTTGCTTAGGAGAGGATTTTGACAGCAACATAAGACTGTCACACCAAAGAAAAAATATGGGATGAGTCCAGAAACCTAAACGTCCAACCGGAACCAATTCCATCTTTAGTTCAGATTGTCAGGGGTCGCGTACATATAACCCAATTCCCCCCCGATTGGGTCCTTACTGATCGCCCTGCAGTAACACACAAAGTAGTTACATCATGATTCATGACCGAGCTTTCAAACTCACCTATGAAGGTCTTCCTTGATCCCATACCCCGCATCCTCATCGTATATGAAAGCTATGTGAGGCCGTTTCCCATGGCAATTTAGGAACAGTTCGTCGTATAGACAATTCATCCACATAGTACATTCCGTTAGATTGTTAGCGTTGAAGCCCTATAGAATTCAAGATGGTTCATCAACACGGCGACGAACATGATATTCCTCATGAGCATCGAGTTCATAGGTCAGTGCCTAGACCTAAAGCATCACTTAGTCCTAGAATATGCGATATTATCAATATTTCCAAGGTTACTAGTTTCCATGGCTAACGATATTTTAGGCACGGTGGCTGGCTACCTGCGGATCATCGCCTACAACATGAATGGCTTAAGAAGCAAATTGAACATGTAGACACTGCCGGTAAAAAGGATCTAATACCTGTCCTCCAAGACTTCAAGAAGCTCATTGAGGGAAATTCGCGGATCTACATGTACTTCAACCAGATGTGGGAGGAGATCCCCCTCAAGAAGCCGTACAACAAAGACCCAACCGGCACCAAGAAGCAGATTCGTGACTACCGACATATGTTGGCCGTACTCAACCACATATTCACACAGGCTCCCCAGTGGACTGATGCTGCGTTTGGCGTCGGTATGGTCGGTGTTCCGATGGTGGGGATATTCGACTATGTGATGGCTACACCTAGGTCAGACTCCCATTCCAATCGAATGCATAATTGGACTTACTGACTCGGCAACATAGTGGCCACGCCGCGTTCCTAGACCCAGAGGTCAACAAGATGATGAAGAAAATCCTAAACGAATGGGGCAAGTTCCTGAAGGTGGGTTCCATAGGAAGCTGTCATGAACAAAGCTACATCTACTAATGATTACCACCAGTCACCAAAGTCAGCCGAAGTCCTCGCAAGCCACAAGCAAGGCTGGTTCTCCGAGCACGCCGTGCAGGACCTAATGGAAGTCGCCAACGCGCCGATGCGAACATCCCACCGATTCGAGGACATGTACGTCTGCAATCCTGCAGCCAAATACTACGGCTACACTTCCTGGGACGGTAAGTAAATATCCTCCCCCTAAAATACTGATTCTCTTCATAAACCGAACCTGACTCCAATATTACTTCAAGACTTCTTCACCCGCCAACTCCGCGACACCGCCCGCCCCGTCGCCTCCCCCAACGACGACAACATAATCGCCAATGCCTGCGAATCAAAAGTCTACAACGTATCACGACAAGCCAAACTGCGCGACCGCTTCTGGATCAAAAGCCAACCGTACTCCGTCCTCGACATGCTAGGCCACGACCCGCTCGCCGCACAATTCGACGGCGCAACGGTATACCAAGCCTTCCTATCCGCGCTCTCGTACCACCGGTGGCACTCCCCCGTATCCGGACGCATCGTGCGCGCCTTCGTAAAAGACGGTACGTATTTCAGCGAGCCTCTATTCGAGGGGCCAGCAGGCGGCTACACGAACGGGAACGGGGAAGGCGAGATCGACGTGCGGGGGATCAGCGTCGCGCAAGGGTACCTGACGGCGCTGGCGACGCGGGCGGTGATCTTCATCCAGGCGGACAACCCTGCGATCGGGCTGATGGCGTTCGTCGGCGTCGGCATGGACGAGGTGAGCACGTGCGAGATCACGGTAGGTCAGGGCCAGGCCGTGCGCAAGGGCGAGCAGCTTGGGATGTTCCATTTCGGCGGGTCGTCGCATTGCTTGTTGTTCCGTGCTGGGGTGCCAGTGGATGGGTTCCCAGCGTTGGGACGCGAGGCGAATGTGCCGGTTAGGTCGCAGGTTGCTGTTGTTGGAGGGGCTAGGTTTTAGAGACGAGGGGAGGAAAGGGTGGGTGGGTGCGTTGTGGGCTGTGGGTTGGAGTATTTTATGATGAGGTATGATCTGCTATGCCGGTCTTGCGTAAAATAGAATGTCAATATTCAAAAGAAATGATATATACATTGAAATTTATGGCGAATATCCTCAACACTTCCTCCTTTAGCCCCTGCTTCTGTCTAGAAGGGATAGATTTTTGTAGTAAATGAAACTTTTAACTTTTATCATCTCTCTCAACGGTCATTTCGTGGAATCACGGGAAAGGGGGGTTGGCATTCTTGTACAGCTGCTCGAAGTACGCCTCAAACCATGAGCCGGCCTCAGGAGCGGGCTGTAGTGCATCCGACAACCCGCAGTGATAGTCGTACCGGGTGGCGCTGGTATTGCTTGTCCCGTCGCATTCCCCTCCGGGCTTTATCCAGACGAATGCATCCAGTAAATCGCTACCTGTATTAGCCGAGGGACGTGTGCCGAAACCCGTATTGATCACATTGCACCAGTCGCCCCATTGTTGTTGGGACGTGGGTTGCTTTCCGTTACGGCTTGTGTCCGTGATGAAGTGCGCATCCCAGCCTGCGGCAGATAATAGAGGAGCCATAGCGTTGACGTATTTTGACTCATCGCAGTTACTGTTGCCCTGGGTGTACGACGGACATGTGCTGATTTCCCATGCGTTGTAGTTGGCGACGTTGGTAGCGAGACCGCGAAGAGCCGCTGGCGAGCCTGTGTCGTTGTAAAGTTGAGCGTACAACTTAGCTGCTGGAGCCAGGTTCGCAGGCCAACCAAGCCACCCTGCGTGTCCAGCATCGAGATACATAGCAACGTTGGGCAGGTTGAGATTCTTAATTGCGTATTGGGTGCACTCCATGTAAGCACTCTGAGCATTCGAGCATTTCGCTACATTCAAGTTTGTAATCATGTTTGCTAATGAATCGGGCTCTATAAAATTATTAGCAAGGGGGGCCAAGGGGTCAAAAGTTGTTAGGACTTACCAATAACTAGTAACAGTCGAACATCGGAGTAAGCCTTCGCTTGTTTGACGACGGCATCGATATATGCCTTGTACTTTTCAACACCGCCATTAGCAATTGAATACTCCCCGTTTGACGCAGCTGCCGCACAGTCACGGTCTGGCAGATCGTAAACGACGAATATTCCGGCATTAGGGGGATTTGCACCAGCCGCATTGGCCGCTTGGATTTCCTTTAAGGTCGTGCCCATCAAGTCAACTTTATCCCGAGTATCTCTATATCACACATTAGATGAGGCTGTGTCAAAGACGTATGAATAGGCTATTACTCACAACCACATATAACTAGGAACTTTGGCAACTGCTGCTGCGCCGGCACCCAGAGTGGGAACGGCAGACGCGGAGACCTCAGAAGCATAGTACGAATTTGCCCACATGTTAACACCTGAAAACGGGTTTCCAGACCATGCGGCTGTGCCTCTAGCAACTAGAGTGGTGGTGGCGGGGGCTATTCGTATCCAGACTTAGCATCGTTCTAAACAGCAGCGAATCACGTTCGTGATGGCTTGAAACAAGACAAAAATCAAATTACTTACCTTGAGTTGTCGGGCTACCAGCTACAGCTGCACGTTCTTCAACTATGCCATCAAAGGGAGCAGCTAGAGCTACAGAGCCCAGAGCAGCGACGAGAAGTTTCTTCATAGGCATATTGACTTTGGTTAGGTACCTTAGAATACTTGATGAATTGCAAAGGTGTAGTTAGACAACATCTTATTAAAATGCTGCGACCAATAGCCCTTTTATTATAATTATAATCCTCATAGATCTAAGATCTATCGGAAAGACGGGAACACGAGAACCATAAACTTGATCATAGAGTCCGTTAGATCTCTCCACCTCGCATTGGTGTTTTTTCGCATGATCTAGCAAACCTGGTCTGAGTACAGCGGGCAGTCCTTCTAGGCGCGGGGACGCGGTCTACGATCCCGTGAGACCGCCATGGCTTGACAGTAGGAGATAAGGGCGAATATGAGTCGAATGATTATAGGAGTCCTAGCACCGGTGTAGATGTCATAGCGTCTAGAGACGACGATGTTTCCCACGAATGTTGGATTAAGAGGGTTTGATTACTAGTCCTTCTTCAAACAACCGCCAATGAAATTAAAGAGCAGTCAGGTGTTCCACATAACAGGTCCTAGGAAGTTGGAATAAGCCATACCTACTTCGGGAGTGAGCTCGGAACATGTTCCTGAATACCCCGGAATAGGGAATTCATGCCGTGAGGGGAGATTTGGAGTCGCGGTGGGTTCGGATGAAAGACAGTCGTCTTCCACGCCTAACTACTGCATTACGTCGTACCCTTAATAGAAAATAGGGGCGATGGCTTTGTTGGAGCTAAGTAACCTCGCCGTAGTATTAGGCCGGTATTGAAAAGAAAAAAAAAGAAAAGTGATACTAAAATGCTCCTAACTAAGAATCTCTCACATCACGCGCGTCTACCTTTATACTCTCTGTTTCTTGGATTGAGGGGTTGCAATTCCACACGCACTTGAAGAGGGTATCACACCTAGCTTCATTCGGGTTATCCTTTAGACGAGATATATTTTGGCGTTTGAGCTTTAGGAAAAGTAGACGGGGTTGGAGATGACATATTGTAATTAAGACTTGGAATAATAGAAGAATGATAAACTAAAAGAAGAGAGAAGCTTGAGCAATTAGTGGCTTGACTAACCTGGATTTACCCCAGTCGGAACTCCGCGTTGTGGCTCATCGCAGTCAGGGGTAATTGTGGGACCCTTTTATCTTATCGCTAGTGGCTTGACATGAGACTCCACCTGCCAACGGCCGTCTTCCCGTCCAGCTACTAGGTACATGTATGTCTAACGGCGTCACCTTATCGGTTTCTAAATTTAAACATTTACATAACATCTCAATCCATTCCCGAGTCTCCTTTAACGAGCTTGGGGTCGAGTCCACGAGGTCTCGGCAAGATGCTTTCCGGCATCTTAATATTCAATCAAAAGGGCGAGAATCTAATCTTTCGTGCCTTCCGGAACGATTGTCGACCACGTCTCGCCGACGTCTTTCGAATTCAAGTCATATCCAATCCTCAAGTCCGATCACCCATCCTCACCCTCGGAAGCACAACATTTAGCCATGTAAAGCATGAAAATATCTATTTGGTCGCCATCACCAAGAGCAATGCCAATGCTGCGCTCGTCTTCGAGTTCCTCTACCGGCTGATTCAGCTTGGTAGGGGTTATTTTGGGAAATTCGACGAGGAAGCCGTCAAGAATAATTTCGTTCTAGTCTATGAACTCCTAGATGGTGAGTCTAGATTCCCAACCTCATTCAATGACTATCATTGACATATCTACGCTTCTAGAAATCATCGACTTTGGTTACCCTCAAAACACCGAGACCGACACTCTCAAAATGTACATCACCACCGAAGGTGTCAAGTCCGAACGTGCTGCCGAAGACTCAGCTAAAATCACCATGCAAGCCACCGGCGCGTTATCGTGGAGGAAGGCCGATGTTAAATACAGGAAAAACGAAGCTTTCGTCGATGTAATTGAGGATGTCAATCTTCTAATGTCCGCTACTGGCACCGTTCTCCGTGCCGATGTCACTGGCCAAATCATCATGCGCGCATACCTTTCCGGCACCCCCGAATGTAAATTTGGTCTTAATGATCGGCTTCTATTAGATCATGACGGGCTTCAGTCACTTCCCAGTGGAAACAGGTTGGGAACCAAAGCTACAAAAGCAGCTGCCGGAAGTGTCACGCTGGAGGACTGTCAATTTCATCAATGTGTGAAATTAGGCAAATTCGATTCTGACCGAATTATCTCCTTCATCCCCCCCGACGGGGAGTTCGAGCTCATGCGATATCGAGCAACCGAAAACGTCAATCTACCCTTCAAGGTGCACGCCATCGTTAATGAAGTTGGCAAGACCAAAGTAGAATATAGTATTGGCGTTAAGGCGAACTTTGGTAGCAAACTTTTCGCCACGAACGTTGTTGTTCGTATCCCGACCCCGCTGAACACCGCTCGCATCACCGAACGTTGCACTCAGGGCAAAGCCAAGTACGAGCCAAGCGAAAACAACATCGTCTGGAAAATTGGCCGTTTCACTGGCCAGAGCGAATTCGTGCTAAGTGCTGAAGCGGAGCTCACAAGCATGACTAACCAGAAAGCCTGGTCACGCCCACCTCTAAGTATGAACTTCAGCCTCCTTATGTTTACTAGTTCAGGCCTCCTTGTACGATACTTGAAGGTGTTCGAGAAGAGCAACTACTCAAGCGTCAAGTGGGTAAGATACATGACAAGAGCAGGATCTTATGAAATCCGGTATGTCTTAACAGCACTCCCCCGCGCCAACTCCATGTTTGCTAATCATGAACCCAGATTCTGATCAATATCGTCAAGACGGAAGCGTTCGAGCCCGGTTCGGCATATTTATCGTTAAACCCGCCATGGCGGTCCTCGCATGACGGCGATGTCCTATCTCAATGACGTTGCCTCGTACCAATTACAGCGGCTTCTCAACTCAACAAGCCGATATGTTAATGATTTTCAATGACATTACACCATCCTACCGTGATTACGATTATTGTAGGCACTGTCAATCTAGGAGAATTGACAATAGGTTCCTTTATCAAGTTCGCTCATGAGACATCGCAATCAGAAGCGAATAGTTGCCGGAGATGTAATAGCAACAATTTCGATAACTGTGTACTCATAAGTCCGCGAAACGGTCAGACAGCTACATAGAGTTAACTGGTGGTGAAGTCGATGATGCTACGCTCTTCAAGTATAAGGCTATCGAGGCAATCATCCCGCGGAATTATACAGTTGTGGGGAGCATATAACTCCAATTCTGCATGAACAAAACCCGAGCAAGACATGTAATTCGATATAGATAATGTATCACTAAAATCTGACTAATATCATTTATAACAATAATATAGGTTAACTCCGTCATCGGTGACGTAGATCATATATAAACTTAACGGATGCCCCTTTTGCTAACGCCATAGTAGATTGAGTGTAGCACAATACACCATTAAGAGACATCAAACACTTTGACGATCATGTCATCTACACCAGCAGCATCTGCAGACGATATCGCCAAACACGGTTGGAATGCCGTTCCAGTCGACGGTAACGCCATCCTCAACGGCAAGCCATATCTTCACAAACCTTCCCCTTTAACCGTGAAGGATATACCTTTTCCGTCAGATGACTCCACCGTCACAGGAGTTCAAGAATACGCGAAAAAGCACCTCATCGAGCAGACATACAATCACTCGATGCGAGTCTACCATTGGGGTAAAGTTTATATTACAATGATATACCAGATCCACTTCAGGTTTAACGTAACTGAATGACTAGGATATTCCATTTTGAAAGATCAATTTCCCGAAGAATTCGGCAAACTCTCACTATCCACGTGGGCGCTAACATGCCTCCTCCACGACATCGGTACCACTTACGATAATCTGCGGAGCACGTTGATGTCGTTTGAGTTCTACGGAGGTATCCTCGCCTTGAATCTTACGAAGGAGCTTGGTGCACCACCAGCCCAAGCCGAAGCCGTGGCCGAAGCTATCATCCGTCACCAAGACCTAGGGACCGTTGGTACGATCACATTTCTAGGACAGGTCATCCAATTGGCTACTATCTACGACAATATGGGTATTAACCCACAGATCATTGATCCGATCACTAGGGATGATGTGAATAAGGCATACCCGAGGAAGGGGTGGAGCGGGTGCTTCTCGAAGACGATCCGGGAGGAAAATGGACTTAAGCCATGGGCACATACTACACACCTTGGCGAAGAAGATTTTCCCGAGGGGGTGAAGAATAATGAACTCATGAAACCGTATGATAGCTGGGGGCTCTGAGAATGAAATTTTAGGAAAGGGCATAATGATCTTTTGTAGTACCAGTACCTAGGTAATTGACAGGAAACTAGGGGAAATGAGGGAGGGGTGCAAGAGGCGTAAAGAGTTGATGCTAGTAGTGTTTGGCAGTTTCTAAGTTACAGGTTCGTTTCTATCGAAAATAAAATTATTAATATTTCTAAGTACCTACTAGGTAGGCATTGTCATGATAAACCATTATTGTGTCTATAGGCGGGCACGTATGCTAACAAGACGTTGTGGTTTATCTGATCCATACCATTTGCACACATTTATTCGTGAAGAAATGGAAGAAATTCCAGTCTTTGGCTTCTCGCATTAGCTGTTCATGTCAATTCCCTACCTACCTACATAGGTACCTAACCTAGGTACGAGCTAGTAGGTAAGGACTGCAAGGTGAATCGAAGGCTAGGCTCTTTGATACCTACCTACCTACCTACCTAGGTACCTATATATGATATCGATATATATTTTTACTAGAAGTATTATACCCGATCCGTCGTCGATATTTGGAATTCAACCTGGCAGACTGGCAGACTAGGCACCTTTATGCCAAACTTTTAAGCTTGAACATGAGCCTCACCCAGCAAGATAGCCAAGTTTTGCGCATCAACCAATCAAGCAAAACCATTGCCAGTTGGAGCTAGCATAAGAATCAGCCTTATTACTCAATGAGGCAAGTGGGAATAAATCGATTGCCCTTGTGGGGAGGATTGGCGGACCAGGGGCACGGAGCTTCTCAGACCTTCCATCAGCTTGTATGAGTGCGGGGGAATTGCGTAGTAGGCATTAAGTACTATAGTCTATAGGTAGATATATCGAACTTAGAAGTTGTCGTAATCTAAACAGTTCAAAGTTTTATCTTCATAGATATTAGGTACCCGAGGAAAGACAAGCGCATATTGACTGGAATGAAAGATTAACTTCATTGGATATACAGAAGTATGTATGTTACGATGCAGGGACGAGATTTTCTATGGTGCGAGTAAATGAGTCGTGAGCCAATTGTATTGCCACTCCTTGTTTGCAGGGTTTTCATTCAGGTTCCATTTGCTGGTCTTAGGCAGTTACAGTGCTGAATCGTGTATTTGTTAGATTATAGATTAAGTTTAGCACCTGAACAGCCTTGGAAGTTGCCTTGGAAGCTGCCTGACTGCCTACCAGTTGTGTCTTCCAGAAGTTTGGAGAAACTGCAGGCACCAAAGAGATGGAAGGCTCGAGAGGGCCTGGACTGGCATACCAATGCTCTGGATGCATTCGTCCAATCACCGTTCCACAGCGGTTGCTATGGAGCTTCAATTAGACCAATCAGAGAGCTGGATTATGTTCGTTGCTACTGGAAGTGCCGTAGAATTCGATAGAAACCCATGTGGGGCCGTGCACGGAAAGAGCTGTGAAGAACATTTCTAGCAGCAACTTCTTCGATCTGTGAACATACTTCTTTCCTTTTTCCCTCCCTCAACTCTTCTCAACTTTTTCTTCCTCATACCAAAACAACTTTCTCCCATCTCCCAGTGATTTAGAAGATCACCACCTCTTCTTGTGATACCCCCAACCGTTTTTACCACAAAACATCTTCTCTGGTAAGTTTAGACTGTCGCTCTTTAGTAGAGATCTCCCCGCCCATCAGCCTTGCCTCTTGCATCCTACCCTTCCAACCCCCCAACAAGGCTGTTCCATTCTCAATCTACCAGGAACAGAAGGCCTGTACAATCGACTATATATCTCCAGATGTAAATATTGTCGCAATACGGAATTTCCTCTTGTCACATTTCGCATTAACAAATGCGTCCTGTGCGAAATCCTTGTTCACCCCGCCATCATACCCCTCCTCGCCCACCACTTCTCTCCCAAATTCAAATTTTCTCAACGTCGATAACATCAACAACATAGCCCTTACTTCTTAACTAACAGACAACCGTTTTCAGATATCCCTTTCATTACCACACACACATTTTCAAGATGTCGGAGACCTTCGAGTTTCAGGCTGAGATCTCTCAGCTTCTCTCCCTCATCATTAACACCGTCTACTCCAACAAGGAGATCTTCCTCCGAGAGTTGGTTTCCAACGCGTCAGATGCCCTCGACAAGATCCGATATGAGGCCTTGTCCGACCCCAGCAAGCTGGAGTCCAACAAGGACCTCCGCATCGACATCATTCCTGACAAGGACAACAAGACCTTGACTATCCGTGATACTGGTATCGGTATGACCAAGGCTGTAAGTTAATCGTCCAAGGCAACTAGCCCCACTATTAGGTAGTCATTTACTGACATTGATTGCCAGGACCTTGTCAACAACCTTGGTACCATTGCTCGCTCGGGTACTAAGCAGTTCATGGAGGCACTGACCGCCGGTGCCGATGTTTCCATGATTGGTCAGTTCGGTGTCGGATTCTACTCCGCATACCTTGTTGCCGACCGAGTCACATTCATCTCCAAGCACAATGATGACGAACAGTACATCTGGGAGTCGTCCGCTGGTGGCACCTTCAGCGTTAAGCCTGACACCGAGAGTGAGCCCCTTGGCCGTGGCTCTAAGCTGATCCTTCACTTGAAGGATGAGCAGACTGAGTACCTCAACGAGAGCAAGATCAAGGAGGTCATCAAGAAGCACTCCGAGTTCATCTCATACCCTATCTACCTTCACGTTAAGAAGGAGACCGAGAAGGAAGTCCCTGATGAGGATGCTGAGGTTGAGGAAGTCGAGGAGGGCGAGGACAAGAAGCCCAAGATCGAGGAGGTTGATGACGACGACGAAGAGAAAGAAAAGAAGAAGAAGACCAAGAAGGTCAAGGAGACTTCCATCGAGGAGGAAGAGCTCAACAAGCAGAAGCCCATCTGGACTCGTAACCCTCAGGACATCACCCAGGAGGAGTATGCTGCCTTCTACAAGTCTCTTTCCAACGACTGGGAGGACCACCTCGGTGTCAAGCACTTCTCTGTTGAGGGTCAGCTCGAATTCCGAGCTATTCTATTCGTTCCTAAGCGTGCTCCCTTCGATCTCTTCGAGACAAAGAAGACCAAGAACAACATCAAGCTCTATGTCCGCCGCGTTTTCATCACCGATGATGCCACTGACCTCATCCCCGAGTGGCTTAGCTTCATCAAGGGTGTCGTCGACTCCGAGGATCTACCTTTGAACTTGTCTCGTGAGACTCTCCAGCAGAACAAGATAATGAAGGTCATCAAGAAGAACATTGTCAAGAAGGCCCTCGAGCTTTTCAACGAAATTGCCGAGGACAAGGAACAGTTCGACAAGTTTTACAGCGCCTTCTCTAAGAACTTGAAGCTCGGTATCCACGAGGACTCTCAGAACCGACAGCTCTTAGCTAAGCTTCTGCGATTCAACTCCACGAAGTCTGGTGATGAGCAGACTTCTCTAGCTGACTATGTCACACGCATGGCCGAGCACCAGAAGAATATCTACTACATTACCGGCGAGTCTATCAAGGCCGTTTCCAAGTCACCTTTCTTGGATGCACTCAAGGAGAAGAACTTCGAGGTTCTATTCCTAGTTGACCCTATCGACGAGTATGCCATGACTCAGCTGAAGGAGTTCGAGGGCAAGAAGCTCGTTGACATTACCAAGGACTTCGACCTCGAGGAGACCGAGGAGGAGAAGAAGGCTCGTGAAGCCGAAGAGAAGGAGTACGAGAGTCTTGCTAAGTCGCTCAAGAATGTTCTCGGCGACAAGGTTGAGAAGGTCGTTGTCTCCCACAAACTCGTCGGCTCTCCTTGCGCTATCCGAACTGGTCAGTTCGGTTGGTCTGCCAATATGGAGCGTATTATGAAGGCCCAGGCTCTCCGTGACACATCCATGAGCAGCTACATGAGCTCCAAGAAGACTTTCGAGATCTCCCCCAAGTCTCCTATCATCAAGGAGCTCAAAAAGAAGGTTGAGGCTGATGGTGAGAACGACAAGACTGTTAAGTCCATCGTCCAGCTCTTGTTCGAGACATCCCTTCTTGTCTCCGGCTTCACTATTGAGGAGCCCGCTGGCTTTGCTGAGCGCATCCACAAGCTGGTGTCTCTCGGATTGAACCTCGACGAGGAACCCGAGATTGAGGAGGTGCCAGCTACCGCTGACACCGCTGCTGCCGAGACTGGCGACAGCGCTATGGAGGAGGTTGATTAAGTGCACTAAATGACAAGGAAGGAAATGGGAATCGTAAAAGTTCTTCGGAGTTTGGATGGTTTCGGTGTTCTTTTTCCGGTGATATCGTCTAATTGGGCATTTTCTCTCCATAATTCCCCATACCCCTACCAACCTCAGATCACGGTAATTCCCAGGCTGGGAGTAATGCAGCAATTCTTGCTGAAGTTCTTCATGTATTCTACATTCATGCCCTTATGAGATACAGGTGGGATTGATTCATAGACGAAATGAACCACATTATGAAGTTTGACATTCTCGATCCATATTGTAACTAGTGACAGATGATGGTATCTGTACTTCGTAAACTATCTATACTCCTAGTAAACTACATACCTATTGGTGGAGTTGGAATTCCGGGTACCTATGTATTTCCTATGTAAATTCAACGCCGAGCATAATAGCTACGCACCTGGGCAGTAGGTACCTACATAGCTACCTAGGTAGGTAGGTAGCAATGTTGCTAGGTTAGGTGCACTTGGCCTACTGCAAGACTTGTTAATGCGAGACTACTAGGTAGTGACTATTGAAGCATTATAAGGACGGATTCAATTCTTCGCATTATGGCAGCCTTATTAATCTATATAGTCCGCCATATACCCCTGCAGCTTCCATAATTTTCCTTGTAAGTCTGCGGTCCGTCGTCCCGCAAGCATAAAGATAAAGCCGTCTCTCAGAGCCTGGGCCTCCTTAAGATCGCTAGCATTCTCTGCCCCAAGTAACATGGGCATATTGTAGATGGCTACACTGTAAGTATATTGTTTACCAGAAAAACTCGACTTCTCAATATCAAATGATGCGAATGCGGCTGGTTGATCGTCGGCCTGATCTGAACTAGCACTTCCGACTGGGTCTCCAAACCAGAGTACGGAACCTCTATGCTTGTACTGCACATCATCCCAACCGTAGCACTTGGCGATATAGTGCCGCTCTTTCTCAGTGCACAGTCTACAGATGTACTGCAACTCGCTGATAATGATTTTACGCATCGTATCCCGTATGTAAGTGTCCATGTCTTTGCGCCAGACAGCCTTCTTCTCTAAACCTCTATAACGTGGAGTTGATCCTACAAGACGCCTTGGCCCACCTGAGAGGCTCGAGTTTTTGTCTGCGAAAGCGGAGAGAAGATCTTGTCTTGCCAATGTATAGGCGGCTGGGCCATGGATACCTTCTTTTTCTGAAGGGGTCGTAGGAATTGGATCTTCCTGAAAATATTCTGATTTAGATTCTATATTCTCCGAACTTTCTTCACTCTCTTGAGGCTCTTCCCCGCTTTCGACTTCTAATACATTTTCTGCATCTGGCCGCTTTTCTGCGTGAGCCTCATCAGGCATAAGACTAACTGGAATTAACCACGGATTACCGGTTTCGGGGTGGGACACGAGATTGAAATCCTGGAGGAAGAAATGAGGTAGACGGACGCGGGTCATCACGCATTTTCGTACAGGCATTGCTAGAGCTTTTGCTATACGGTATAAAAGTTAGTGCGAAAATACAAAAATTGGTCCATATTAAAGAATGCCCGTACCATAAGGATTGGCCCGAAGCTGGCGTTCGACAGAATTCTGAGCTTTTCCAGGCTTCGGCTTTGGGGCTTGGTATCGCTGAGTAGCCTCCCAATACGTAGGGTCCATAACGGGGGATAGTGGTAGGTCACCTACGGCTGTCTCTACCGCCTTGTTCTCCGGATTGACCTTGAAGGCATTGTCCCAATCAATCGCCTCGTGAGCGATGTTTGTCTTTTTTCGACGAGGCGGGGTCGCTTCCTTATCATCACTATGTGATTGTGACTGATCATCAGCGAAGTATCGGCGGTGGAAATATGGCGCAATTGTTGCGCGTCGGCCGAAATTGGCGCTGCTATTTTGCAGCGCTTTACATACTCTCATCACCACATTGGCTGCACTGCGGAGTATTATATACAAGTTGTGGAGTCAAGAAGGTCGAGATGGTTAAAAGTCGTGAAAGATTTAATCGATCTGAAAATTGATAAGGCAACCTTTCAATCCATGATGTTTAGCGGCACTTAAGGTACCTAGGTACAATACATTCATACGTACCTCCATCTCGGCCGTGGATCGCACCCGGATCGTCATAGCTCCAACCGCATTTTGCATCTTAGGTCCGGCATCTACCCGCTTTGCGCTTGCATTTTATCAATTCAGCTGTACCACCAATGAATATTGAAACGACACCAACTCTAATAAATAACCTTATTTGCATAACTCTACAATCGTCGGAGCTTATTTCAACCTTGGAACATTAATTTTAACCTTTTAATGATTCTTTGGCGGCTGATTGCAACATCATGAATTATCAACGATCATTCTGGCGGATAGCCCTGCGAACGTTACCGACAACGACGAGACACACCATCCGCCGCTTCTCTCAATTCCCGACTGGCCCCATTCAGGCCCCCCAGGGGGCTATTCCCTTACCATATATCACAGAAGTTACAGTAAGCGAAGCCAATGAAGTTTGCGCAGAGAAGGCGGATAGCTAACTAGACAGTCCGGTGGTTGGAGGACATGTTCGTAGCTTCGGGTTTGCCGATAATTTGAAACCGCCTTACTGATATCATCGCACAGACGACATATTCTCCAAGTTACTACAAGTATGCTAGCTTCTATTATGCTTTCGTTATAGTGTGTCTTTCTATTTTACTAACCTTGATTGATCAATTAGGAAAGAATAATATGTCTGAACGGACCTATAGACGACACGGTGTCCGCCTCGATCGTTGCGCAGCTACTCTGGCTAGAATCCGATAATCCGGATAAGCCGATAACTATGTACATCCATTCACCGGGTGGCTCCGTAACTGCCGGTCTTTCCATCTACGATACGATGTCCTATATTCGCTCGCCTGTATCAACGGTGTGCTTGGGCCAGGCGGCCTCGATGGGCTCACTACTTCTCACAGGGGGTGAAAAAGGGAAACGATTTGCCCTACCACATAGCAGCATCATGATTCACCAACCCCTGGGTGGAACGCAGGGTCCAGCGAGCGACATCTTGATTTATGCGAACCAGATACAGCGTACGCGCGACCAGGTCAACGAGATCTACCGGAAACATCTCAATGCGGCATTTGATCACGAGAAGTATAGCCTTAGAGATATTGAGGACATGATGGAGCGCGACAAATATTTAACCGCAGAAGAAGCAAAAGATATGGGCATCGTAGATGAAATCCTTACTAAGAGAGACAGTAAGAAACCTACGAACGAAGAGACCAGCAACAAGACCAGCAACAGCACCAACACTAGCACATAAAATGAACTCATCGACTAGAAAATATATTATTTCTAATCAAATGGGTTAACGAATCGTTCTCCTTATGATTACGAGACTAGATTCGGTTTCGTCTCAAGGAAAACCCTAGTTCGGCTCCTGTTTCTTCTCAGATCCAACGGCATATGCCATCCCATACTATACCCTGTCATACCATGTGTCTCGGTATTTTATCTTTCAAAGTGATTGTCGACACAATACCGAAGCAGTGAACCTTGGAAACATGAAATGGATAATCGCCGCAGTTGCTTAAGCTAGATCGTGGAAACTCATGTCTCCACGCGTATGTCACCTTGTTGTAACCTACTTAATAGAATATACATACCTAGGTAGGCATGTATTGTATCTAGTAGGCTATTAGGCATGCGAGCTAACCTTGGAACTCCTGGTAACCTGGAACGTACCTAATGTGGTATCTGGGCTAGATGTCTGGGGCTAACAATTGCGGCAGCAGGGCAGATACAGTATAGGCAGTACCTGTACCGTGCTTACAATTCTAGATCGATGGTCCACGTGGCCCACAACGATATTACGCTGTTGTACCACCCACACCACCCACACCACGGACGAATCTGAGCGCCTAGGGTCCTCCCCTACCTAGGTGGTAGCTAGTATATCCAATGTCTGACATTTCAGAGGCTGTCAGCCGTAGCCTTGCCATAAAAGCAGGTCCGAAACCCTGTCGCGGGATGACAGCAAGTACGTATCTACCTGTAAGATCGGGGATTGGCCTAAATACGGAAAAGAGTCTCATTCTGTAAAGCTTCTGGAAGAAAAGAAGCGGTTGTGGCTTTGGGTAACTGTGCTGCTGTGGTGCATTGACTGATGTGATCTCCACGGATCCGCGGCAACAGGGGCAACGCACAGATGGATTGCGACATGTCGTTCGATTTGCCCAGTTGGTTTTAACATTTAATATCAAACGGCTGTTACTACTTCGTAGGGAAGTGCCGTCGGAGAGAGTCTAGGAAGACTAAACACCAAACCGAAGACCGAAGACTATAGTGCTAAACTACTACTAGTACTAGGAATGTATAATATAGTATTCTAGGCTAACTAAAACGGAACCTTGTATTAGTACTAGGTGGTAGGTAGGTACGCTAAAAAGAGGAAGCGATAGGCAAGGGAGTCGCAGCAGGGCAAGCGCGTGTTAAAATGTTTCAATAGGGAGGCAGGAAAGAACAGAATAGAAGACAAGACCGGACAATTGAAAGAGCAAAAAAGCGCGGCATCCCATCTCATTAGGACCCACTTATACATGTCGTCTACCTACTACCTAGTATCCTACATTCTAGTCCCCATTTCATTTCCATTTTCGTTCCTAATTCCATACATCATCCATAACTCCATACCTCCTCTTATCCCATGTTGTCCAATGTCCATCTCGCCATCTTCCCCTTCCTCGTTGATTTTTCCCTCTCCTATTTCTTCTTAGCGTAATCTTTTACTATCATTGATCCATGGATAATTTTTCCCCTTTCCCACTTCGGTCTCGGCGTCTTTAGCCAAGCTTTATTCCATCCCCAGCATTGTCCCCTCCTCTTGGCCCACCTTCTTACCTAGTATTCATTTAGTATGCAGGACGTGAGCCGTCACCATATTTTTACGAATTATTACCAGCGGGTATCAGAAAACATCTTGCGCTACGGACTTATACGTACCAGCGTAGGACGAAAAAGGCACGCGAAGCTACCTCACTCCACCGACTTATACACCAAGAAGCCCCGAGTCACCAACTTCGTTTCCAACGCACTCCACCGATACTACTGTATTGTTACCTACGTCAATGCAAGGCATCCTGCGACCTTACCTACCTTAGGACCTTGTCTTTCTCTCTCTTCTCCTGCATCTCTCCTGCATCTCTAGAGTTCTTAAGACGACTACTATCATCGCGATGATTACCTATTAAATAATCGAGCCGCCCCCACTCAATACCACCCCCCCTTCTCAAGCCCTACCTTACCTTGGTTACGGAATATCCGAGTTGATATCTTTCTACCACATTCGTCCTTCGTCACCGTTTATGGCGCCATTCTTTTCCTCTTCGCCGCCGCTAATACCGTTGTTCTTGTCGTCGACCTACACTTTCTTCCTCTTAGCTGGATACTGAAAATTATTGTCGTGTCATAAATATTATGGTTATTATTTTTAGGATTTCCTGGTGTGATCTACTTGGTTCTTCACATCTTTGCCCTTCCCAATAGGGACATTTACCGATTAATAAGGCTACTCCAACGAAGGCGATCCTTGCTGTGTCTGCGCGGAACAAAGCAAATTAACTACAATACTATTTCTTTCAACAACACCGCAAAGCTGGAGAGGTACTCGGACTCGTTGGACTATATACACAAAATGCATAGCGATTTCACATTTGCCGTCAATAATTATGCGCCTGATCCAAATTCCAGAGTAATGCTTCCTTACCGCAGTCCGTCTGTATCGACTCCGGTCATGCAGACCCTCTCTCCGGAGCAGTCTCCTCCCGCCGGCGACACCAGTCCCTCTGACACGAGCAGCGTCTCGAAACACGATGCCGACCCGGTCAAGCCGACGGCGATTCATATGCAAACAGTTTTCTCTTCTCAGACTGGAGAGGCGCATCCTTCGCAACAACATTCGGCTCAGGTGTGGGAAACTCACAAGGCCGAAATCAGGCGCTTATATCTTGATGAGAATAGACCTCTAAAGGAAGTCATGACGATAATGCGCCAGAAAGGCTTCAGAGCGACGTGAGCTATTGGGTAATTCTAACTTTGTCTAGATTCTGTTTACTAACGACGCCGGCAGTGTAAGGATGTATAAGTCACGCTTTGATAAGTGGGGGTTTAGTAAGAATAACAGCAAAAAGGATGTTGTCGCAATGCTCCAGGTCCAGCGACAACGAAATGCCGTCGGCAAGCGCACAACATTTCATCGCAACGGGAAGGAGGTTGCAATCGATGCCTACCTCAAGCGAAAAGGCATTTCCCAATACGATCTTGTCGAACCTGGCTTGGCTGAGAAGCTCCCCGAAAACCTGCGATGTCTTACGCCACCCCCGGAGAGCATCCAAGCCCCAGGCAATCTCTCGCTACAAGAACTTGTCTTGCAATGCGCGAGGGACCTGGCTTGGAATTGGTACTGTCCACCCGATACTCCGCTAGTCGCGTGCGCGGCGCATTATCGTGGCGACGAACTACGTTGCGCCATTACAGACATCACCAATGCGGACTGGCTATTCTCCGTCGGACACTACGAGAGAGGGGGCGCAATGTGCGAACAGGGCTTCAAGTCCCTGCACTTGATGTTTAAAAAGCCATCAATATATGGGCTATTGCACCTGTTAATAACCGTACTCGACGCTTCAAATAAAGGAATTGTCAAGGAAGTTTGGAGGTATCTCGCTGCATATTCAGCAACCATCCGAACGGAGGGTCCCTTATCACGGCTCTTCCAAGGAATATGGAAGTACATGAGTACTCACGATTACGAAGAGTACTGGGACTTCGTTTTCGAATGCACCGAAAAATTGTTATTGATCGAGGAAACGCACTCAGGCCTCCCATCAGATACATTAGCAAGGTTGTACCCCATTTTGTTTATCCCGCGAGCTTATCAGTACCGATCGCAACCTTATCGTCGTCTTCAAAGCCGTTGCGATTTCAAAAAACTAGTCCAGGGACCCATGCCGACTGCTATAGAAGAACTTACCGTTTTTCAAGCAACCGAACTTTTGATTCTAGGAAATCAGACGCTATGGCAAGGCGAGCGCGTTTTCAAGCTTGCCAATACTGTCCTTGAGAATACGAAGGGCATCGCATACAACACTGAATTCTTCGTCTATATCGCAATTACTTCGCTGGCACATTACCACAGAAATCAATATTTCTTAGCCGAGGATCCGATTGCCAAGGCGTCAAATCACCAGCTATCAGTACATTATCTGGAACAAATAGTGTCGGTAATGGAAGGTAAATGGGATCCTGATATGGGATATCTGCTTGGTGAATTAGAGCGGCTAGAGCATTGGTACAGGGAAGCTGGCGATATTGTCCAAGCGGATGCCGCACATACCAGATGGAGAAATGCCCTCGACGCGATACCGAAAGAATTTGAGAGGGGAAAGAAGGGTATATTGCATTAGCATCTGAAGCTCTTTGCTTCATTGTATTACTACTAGGTTGTGCCACGTGAGGCCTGCCGCAGGAAGAAAAACAAGATGAGTGGCGTATATACTTTGATATACCCATAATGATGTGGGACTACAGCGTCGGCGTCGTGGTTGGGCATTGACTTACGAAGCTATTTTAAGGAGGCACCGCATTTTTTTCATATTAGGAGAAGACGAATCCCGAGCCATATGCTGCCATTTATCGTGTTTGTTGGCATACTTTGTATATTTACCATATCAATATGAAATTTTACAAGATGTATCTATCTGAAAGTCGCGGAAGCATTTCCGTTGACTACAGCGATCATTCGAAATATGTGGCGCTTGTGATGGCTGGCCTAGCCTATGAGATTTGGGAGTTTAAGACAATTACGCCAAGACGGGCTTTGCCTTAAAATGGCCTGTGGATAAGATATACTCGAGATATTCATTGCAGTTGCATTTGCATATCTGCGCCCATCTTATTACATAAAGTCCTAGGCTGTGGTTAAGATTGGATTTATCTTGTGCTATCCTCGCCTGGAATCACCATATTGGACACGAAGATTAATTTCGACATCTTTCCAATTCCATTCGCATCCATACCTATCTTTCCAAATCCACTCGGTCGCGGGTTGAGCTCGCTCGGGCGCGTATGTTGGTTGGAGAAATTGAGGGGAAATCGAGGCAGACAGAGCTGACCGCAAAGTGCCTAAAACGCCTAACCAACCAGTCTTGGACTTGGAACCCCACGGATTGCGCAGATGCGCAGATGCGCAGTGTTGCATTTCCACCTTGTGAGCCAGGCATAGGTTTGTACAAGGTAAGTATCTATATATCAAGCCGTATCATCATCGCTCTTCATGAATAGGAGCCTTCGTTTCTCAAATTTTTTAACGAATTCCAATTGTACTTTTGGATCCCCTCCACTTACCTTCACTCTCCTTTACTCCTTCACTAACTTTACCTCAACTCAACTACGTCCCTCCTTTCTCTTACCGTCGGACTCTAAAACCACAAATTATTTTTGGCATTATCTATATCACGGCTCACGATATCTAAATGGCCTGCAAAGCGTTTTATGAGTCCATCGGGGCCCTCGACGTATGGTACTGCTGTTCCTGTGGTGATGATGGATATAGATCCACCAACAACCACCAGAAAGATAACCACCAGGAAGACAACCCCCAAGATGACAACCACCAAGATGGATAAACAGAGTGGCCAGGTAAACACCGGCTCTGGATTTAATTCCATTGACCAGAGTCGCCGTCAATGGCCCGAATACCTATCGCAGTTAAAACCCACCAACTTCAACACAAATCAAACTGCACAAGGCCAAACGGATCACCCCCACAACCTCCCTCCTTCTCGTTTACCCCCATTCTCCCTTTTCACCACGACAATGTGCAGAGCATTCGATCCCAAACCAAATTCATATCTGCCATATATTCCCATTACACACGCCACACTAAATCCCACCCCTTCTCCGGTATCCGGCCCCGCCAGCCAGAGGGAGGAACCGCCTTCACGCATCTTTCCCCCTCCCCCTTCGCCCCTTTTCACCATGCTCACCAAGTCAATGTGCAGAGCACTTGATTCTGAATCAAGATCATTTCTGCCTCTAGATCAACTCAAAGTTCTCACTCCGCCCTTGGTGAAAGAAGAACTGAAGAGAGCTATGCCCACACTCACCAATGCCCTCCTCGACAACTATACGACAGAGATCGTCACTGAGCGTGTGACTGACCGGGAACGCCTTCAATCGGCGCACACGATGGCACCTCCTTCGCGGCATTCCTATCACAACACACGGCTTATGAAGTCTTTCATAATCCTTATCTTGCTTGACAGAGTTGAGAGTATTCATCGTTCGTATCTGAGGGATTTACAGACTCAATGCTCCCAATTGACCACAAACTATTCTCAAGTGTGAGCACATCGAGGTCTCGCTCACATTCATTAGAATCACTTATCAGACGCTGCTTCGACAAATGGACACCAGATGATATCAAAGCGTTTACGGAAACGCAATGGATAGTCCTATCCCCGATTATAGGTCGCGCAAAAGGAGACATCTCCCTCTACAATTTTAATGCTCACACTATCCTTCCAATATTCGATCATGATAGCATACCCCAAGCGGCGACTAAGACAGGCGGGCATAGCATTGTGCGAAGAGTCAAAATCCACGCATGGCATCATGGTTTTCTAGAGGACCAGGTACGTCCAAGTCCAATCATTGGATTGAATGAATGTTAAACAATGACCTTCTAGGATGAGCCATTCTTCGCTCTGAAAAGATTGCATTCCCCGAATATCAAGGACTTTCGACGTGAGGTTGTTGCTCTTAGACGTTTCGTGATTTCGCCAAATTTACATATCATCAAGCTTCTAGCTGCGTTTCGGCATGATACATCCTTCTACTTGCTCTTCCCTTGGGCTGATGGCGGCAACTTACGCTCATTTTGGAAAGATAATCCCAACCCAGCCATCAAAAGCTCCTTTCTGGTATGGATTGTCGAACAATGTCTTGGCATTTCGGCTGCGCTACATCAAATTCATCATGGTCACAACATAGAGGTTAAAGACGCTGGAAACAGCAATGGCCCAATGGGGATCTCTTACTACGGACTCCACGGTGATATCAAACCTGCCAACATCCTCTTATTCGAGGGCGGCCCCAACAGCGAAAATCCTATCTGGGTGCTCAGCGACTTCGGTCTCAGTGGACTACATCATAAAACTGAGAATAAAGTTGGTAATCGCCCTGCTGGATTCTCGCCTACCTATCGAGCCCCCGAACTTGATATAAATGGAACGGTTGACAGCGCTTATGACATCTGGTCCCTAGGATGCGTATTTCTAGAGATTTCTGTATGGTTACTTCGTGGCTGGGATGGACTTGAATCTTTCGCTCGGTCTCGAATTACTGCCGGCAAGCCAGCAAAAAAGGCTGGGTGGATTGACGATGAGTTCTTTGAGCTCCTACCCCCTCAGTCCCTAAGCGCACCGAAGGCAAGACTCAAGCCAAGCGTCGATCAGGTAATTTTTATGATTTTATATAAACGTGCTTATCTAACATTCAAATAGTGTTTCAAGACGGCTAAAGGGAATCAATCATACAATCCTTGTGTTGTTGACTTTCTGGATTTGATACACGATGACCTTCTCGATGCTAATTGGCAGACGAGGGCCAGCAGCTCATTTATTTCCGGGAAGCTCCAGTGTTTACGGAAGAAATGTCTGGAAGATCCGGTATACACGGTGGATATTCCACGGCCGCGGAAACCACCGTGGTCGTATCAAGAACTTGCCAGTACAAAACACAACAACATAGCTTCACAATATCAAGCAGAACCAATTCGGGTCAATATGGCCCAAATATCCTTTCAAGACGAGCTGGAATATCCAGACATGATGTCGATTCCACCTCAGGGTGGGTATCTCTGGCCCGATTTCACCGGGCAACCCTATCGCACAACTGATATGACAGTATCTCTAGATACTATGCCGAACGATATGCATCGGGATACATTTCTATACGAATCTACACCTATGTTAAATCAAAGCCCACTTGATGGAGCCCAGCTCAGAAGGCCAGGTAGTCGAAGGCGAACGTTAGACGACATGACAGGTGCTATCGAAATGGGAGATCAGCGAAAGAAAAAGGCACGCAAGAAAAAGGATTTGCAAACAAATGACCCCCTTAGCTGTGAACTCCTAGATATTACAACCCGGGGCCCATGTCAAGCAACTCCACCTCGGTGTTTAGGACCAACGAGTACGACAGGAGACAAGCGGTTATTTGCGTGTCCTTTCCACAAAAGGAATCCCGCAAGGTTCAACACAAAAGTCTGGAAATCATGTATCGGGCCAGGCTGGACGATATCAAGACTCAAGTTCGTCCTCGCATTTTGTTCTAACAAAGCACCTAGGAACCTACCTAGACATGTGACTATGTAATGGAGCAGTGACTAATGGACTTATCCAGAGAGCATATATACCGTAGGCATTTCTTGCCTTGCTATAGGTGTGATCGCTGCTTCGGTGAATTTCAAAGCAGTTCCGATCTTCACGCACATTCCCGTTCAGACCCGCCGTGCCCAAGACAAGACTCTGACGTCGACTTCGATACGATTGATGAGACGCAGAAGGCTCAAATCAAGAAGAAGCCGCGAGGTGTCTCAGATGAGCAGAAATGGGACGAGATCTACCGAATCATCTTCAAGTTAGATCCCATCGCCGAGATTCCATGGCCATGTAAGTAGCTAGGGTATAGTAACCACGTTTGATAAATACTAACTGATCCGTTAATAGACTGCGAACCCATCCCCGGTCGAGCCGATGCAATAGCGGAGAAAAGCGACGACCCTAGGCCACTCGCCAATTTTAAGATTTACCTTCATCGCCTAGCAGATGACGATAATGAACAAGAGGACACATCGACGATTCAGAAATGTCTCGATCTCGTGCAGCGATATCAACAAGAACGAGCTAGCATGCAGTCAGAGTTCACGGCCGATATGCCTTCTCTAGTATTCGATCATCCAGACGATGCTACCAGGACATCCGAATCGCAGGAATTTCCTTCGCTGACAACTATGGACGACAGCATCACTGTTCCTAACGCTGACGGATTGAATGACCTTTCTTACTGGGACACTTCGTTTGATGCGCGTTTCGACGAGGAGTTTTCATCTAGTAAACCGTATATTCTCCCAGATTCTTTGGATCTGGGAAGCGATGGCGGGATGTTACGAGGATGAATGGTAAGAGTAATCGTTTGAGTGTGTATTTTATCTGATTGGGTAGGCAGGTATCTAGTGGGTACCTACCTAGTAGGTATGGATGATACCCATTGCGAATTTCGTGGCGGTACAAGGATGCGAAAGACCTAAGGAGCATGTAAAAGAACGTTTCTCCCCTCAGGGTATCATCACGAGTTATGACGACGATACAATTAGACGACCCCTTTGGATTTTCTTCTTATTTCTTTTATTTCCTAGGTATTTTCTATTTTCTATTTTCTATATATAGGTATCTTGGGTAGGTAGTCAGCGTTTCAAAATAAAGATAAACATATATATAATATGATGCGATAACTTGGTGAATTGACAGCATGCAATTAGTATTTAGGTATATTTGATACGAGTAAGTTGTCCTGAGGCAATATCTGAATTATCCTCACTTTTTCCGTGCGAAGGTACCAGGTAGGTAAGTAGCTTACCTAGGTGTGTACCTACATATATAAGTCTTAATTATCAGCGACGAAATCATCGGCCTCGTGGCGCAACGGTAGCGCGTTCGACTCCAGATCGAAAGGTTATCCGTTGTAAGTAGTGCATTCAAACCAATGGCTAAGCAAACAAACAAAAAAACTAACGAGAAAATAGCAAATCGGGTCGGGGTCAATTCTGTATTTGGATAATTTGGAATCATCCGAAGCAGTCTAATTTTTTGGCCGGTCAGCCGGGTGTCCATATTTTTTTTATCGCCAATACGTAAGATGGCTGACAAAACACAGTTTTGACATTTTTAACCAGGTAGGTACTTTGTAGACACATAGCAACTGACGATAGCTTCAATTGCTTGACAAATTTGGAAGGAAATGTCCTGCTCTCTTCCCCCAACTCTATCTAGGTGTAGAAGTACATTAGGTACTAGGTACATAATCCGGACTTTTAGTCAACCCCGAACTCTAAAAATCATGGATATGGTAAATACAAGAAAAGAAGGTGCGAGGCGCACAGTACAAGATATTTTTATCTACTACCTAGGTACCTAGTTCCCAAGCAGCTCCTTGGAACGTAAACCTTTACACCATCTTTTTGAATCTATCATATTTCCTGAAGAAACCGACATAACGACGCATATAGATAAACGAGAAGACTAACCGGTCCAAATATCATCATCGGGGCGATTGAGACGGTGAAATGGCCGAAAAACATCTGCCTACGCGCTACGGTGTCCCAAAATTCGGTAATCATCACCTCTAGCGCGCCACCCCATTTCCATGGTCCGACGAGCCTAAACTTGGTGTTGAAGTTGGCACCGAGCGCCCAAGTAAGAGGTAGTTTATACCAGCAGCCACTTTTACCGTTGACGTCATTGACCCCGGAGAAACCGAGGCGCATGATATCTCCGAATGATGGCGCCGAGCCCATGTCTAGAGCGAGCTGATACGCATAACTCTCGTGGTCAACACCGTATCGGATTCGGGAGTCCGTCTTAGATATCAGTCGGTAGTGCGCTTCATCCTCGGGAAGTAAAGGGGCGCCGGCTACTCGATCAGGTGATAGGAGGTTGAGCACCCACAGCTGCGCCTGGAATTCGGTGAGAGGCGGGATAGCGCCTAGATTAGGTCGCACAAATCCAATAAACCCAATAGAAGGGTCATCTCGCGGCCAAATATCACGCACCAATTTGTCACGGTAATATTGAGGATTGCATCTATCCTTTCCAAGGAAGGGGAATTCGTGCGTGTAGCCCGTGCAGAATACCACTATGTCCGGCTTGATGACCTCCTTTCTTATCCGCGCGTACTCGGGCCGTCCATTGTTCCTGAATTCAACAGCACCATTCTCATATATGCGCTCCGGCCAAGGCGCAAGGTCTATTTGCCTCCCTTGGGTAGATTCTAGTGTATTTGGCGTCTGGACTATCCACGAGCGAATGAGTTGTGGGAGTCCCTGTGTTCTTTTCGGTTTCCATACGGCATTGAGATATGGGCTGACTTTGTAGCCAGACTTATTGAAGAATACTTAGCACAAGTCAGTAATAATTTACCCGCAAAAATAGCCAATACGAAAGGAATCTGACAGAAAACATACTCTCAGAAGTAGACCATCCCTTGGGCTTCCCCCCGACCCATTGGTCTGTGCCGTGTGTGGTACCCCACGAAGTCCAAAGAATCCACCTAACGTAATAGTCGTAGTACGTCCATAGGAGGTTGCTGTTCCTCAGCCAGGGGTGTACGTATATCGTGTCGAAAAGGCTCGCTCGAGAGACATCGATAGGCACTTGGGGGCGATCTAGGGGATTTCGCCGTCGCGCAAATATTAGTCTTGGATTTGGGTTCCTCTGTAATACCAGTGAGTCTCAGCTGCGAATCCTTTTCTCATTACTTATAAGTGACCTGCCTACCTTTGGGGCGAGATGAAAACCGTTTCTATGGCATAGCACCACTCGCTTCGTCGGTGAAGTTACAGCAAGTAGAGAAACGTCGGCTCCGGTCTCGCCACTGCCCAATATAAGCACTGTCTTTCCCACTCCGAACTGCTCTCTCCTCTTCAGCCGAGATGAATGAAGCACCACCGGTACTTTCTCGATCCCTCTGACTTCGGGGATGCTAGGGTTAACATGCAATCCAGAGCAAACAGCTACTGCATCGCATTCCCAGGTTTGCTGCCGACCCCCGTATAAATACGTCACGGCATGCCCGCCCTCTTCTCGACCCTCGATGTTCTTCACTATACTCGAAAAGGTAATGTGAGGCCATAACTTGAAGTGTGTACAGTACTCGTTAAGGTATTCGACGTAGCGTTTCGCACTAATGAAATCCGGCTCGTCATGCCTACATCGAAAATCAGAGAAGCAGGTGAGTTGCCTCGATGAGACCAGCTGACAGTCGCGTATTAGTATATCATAATAAGAGGGCTAGTTTTCACTAGCTCAGAAATGGAATGATAGGGATCTCCTATACCTCGGCATCTTCATATGTCCTCGCCAGGAACGTGCCGCCAACGCCCGTCTCAGACTCGAAGAGGCGGGCTTCGATAGCTTTCGTTCCTAAAGTCTTCTCTGCAGCTAATAGATACTTCAGTGTCACGAGCCCGGAAGGACCTGCGCCTATTATCGCGACCCGCATCCCTGCTGCCGTTTCCGGGTGGGTAGTGCAAGATCCGATATGGACGATAGATCCTGTGGGCTAGACGATGTGGTCCTACAACGTGCAAAACTGACACCCACCTCTCGAGGTAAGAAGATGAAGCGTGAGCTCGCTTTAATATCGGTAGGTCGGTCCTCCTCCATATTATACCCTCTGCCTCTCTCGGACAGTTCTTGTTCCTCAGCCTCCTTCGGTCCCACTCTAGACGATCACGAGAACTCTTGTCTTCCCATCTTTCATTTGGGTCTATATTTCTCTCAATCTTGCTAGCTTCCGTCACCATCCCTCGTCCGCCTCCTCGAGAGAGGGCGTGGGTACTGTGCTCCAGTTACAGTGATTCCTCGTTCCGAGAGCGGGTAGGCGAGACACGGGGGAGGCGACCGCGAATCACAGCGCACATGGCCGTGATGTCGCCAAGGATTGAGGCGTGCCCTCGTTGTACGCCACGATCTCAACTAAAATCGGATTCGGACTGTACCTTTCGCGTTACATAAACGATGTCTTACCACCCAGCTTCTCCCTGGCAGGATGTCTCGCTCCGAAATGCAATCTCATATTGGTTTCCCCTCCTTATCGACCTTATGCTACCGCTAGCGCCGCCCCCATTTTATCACTGGCCGACCCTCATGGCCCAACCCCAGATGTCGAGAGTTGGTGCTCCAGGTACTCCAATAGGATGCCAGACGGATGCCAATAGGGACCACCTATAAACGAGGCTGATACAAGTCAAGCAGGCATCTTCCCAGAAAATAATTCGTCATGCTGACACCGTTTTGTTTGGACATGGCCGATCGACCGAACCTGTAGGACACGAACGTTGGTCGGACGCAAGGATATTCGCATGGCTGCAGGCACTGGCCAACTGACGCGGCCATGACTTGAGGCTGCTGCATGTAGATCGCAGCCGTCACGAATTATATGCAAGGTCGTATAGTGAGCGAATATCAAATCCATCGAAAAAGCACAAACACAAAATCGAGATAGAATCTTGCTCAGAAACGTCATACCGGCTTTAATGACGGTCGAGACGCCTTCGCCAAGCTAATATGCTTTCTAGATTGCAAACTGGTCGACGACCGTTCGAGGCTGTTGACAGAACACCACTAACACATCCTCTCTCATGTCGTGCTTCCGGGGCCGGTCCCCGTGCCATTAGGTATTGTTAGACCAAGCAGTTTGCTAGAACTCGCACGTAGGAGACCAATATATGTCGGCCAAGTGTAGCCAATGACATCTCATCAGGGCTGTCAGAAAAAATCGAACTTTTTTCCAAGAGATCACGCACGTTATTCGACTTGGAGTGGAGCTTTCGCATGTTCTCTATACGATAATTGATTGGTCTACCGAGACTGAAAGGTAAATATGATGTTTGATCAGATATTAGATTGATCAAAATAGAATTTCCAGATTCAAAAATTCTCTCCCAATATCGCAGGACCTAAGGATAGATCGTCTGTCCTACGGACCGGGCTGCAGGTCTGGGGAAATCCTCTCCGACCCGACGTGTTTCGGCTTCAGACATATCTACATGCTACCCCCTACTCCTATCAAGGATGTAGGGTGTGGCTTTCGGCTTCCATGGGCAAAATGTCTCTTGCGTAGAGCGGGCCGAGATTAGGTATTTCAGGGTTCAGGAGTAGGCGCCAATCTCAAAACTTCGTTCTTAAAACACAGAAATGAATCATAGTAGACATATAACGGTCATCGGCTAGGTCATACTCAATCTCACCCCAATTCTTCTCTCTCTGTCGATATTACATTAACCATTATGTCTGAAAATCCATGGCCACCGTCCCAGATATCTTAGGTAGTTAATAGTACAACGTACAATGCAAGAAGTTAAATATAAATTTTCCAAGGAAATGATAAAGATTCTACTGCTGTTATTTTACTAGGTACCTACCAGTCATTCTGCGGAGGAAACTTTTCGACTTGCCGAATATTAAGTACCTACCTATTACCAAAGTAAAAATAATACGCCACTGTTTTTGTAACACCTTTTCCACTATGGGAAATGTTTTATTGTTCAGAACAAGCCCCGACTACGAATTCTTGCACTCCTCGTATAGGCAGGTTACTAGGTACGTAGTCATACGAGAGGCTTGCCCTTAACGACGATATCGTGACAATAATACCTGCCATCGCCTAATATCTCACAATACGGTCTCACCATAACGCCCATTCTCTACCTATGCCCCTGAATTTATTCGTAACGTGTCCCACGTAATCCAAAGGCGATATTCTATCCATCCTATTGGCAGTAACTTAGCAGATGATCAAAGGAGAAACGGGCTAGCCTGGATAGGAGAGCTTAGGCTTGTATATATTGGACGGATCTCTTGGACAGGACAGTCCTGGGTCACAGGTGACGAGATAGATCTAACCATACAAGGATGAGGGTATGTTAATATATATGTCCTGCTTATTATTTTTGGTACCCAGATAGTACCGACCATACGCTGTAACTCTCATTGTAAATGATATTATCTGCCTAATGACTACCTATTTATCGACCTAGATACGTGATTCATATCGACTTTTCCTCTTATGCCAAGTATCATAGCCATGCCTACCTAAGTAAGGATAGTATTGAGGGCGAAGGGGAAAGGGGGGCTAACTAGGTATATAAAGTACCTACTTAACTATGAGGGCGTTTACCTAAGTATACTATTGCTACAAGTAAGTTCTAAAATATGAGAAATTCGTCAACTTCTCGAAGAATGTCCTAGCTAAAATTGCCTACAATAATGTAAGTACCTAGCTAGATACATGGAAATCTATTTTAATAAAAGCCCATACCTACCTACTTCCGGTAACTTTCACTACAATCACGGTACTTTTTCAAGCAAAAATTGGGAAATAAGATTGTAATTAGGTATATTTGATACTTTCTCCTCCAGTGCAGACCCATTAAAGATCTATATTATAAATAATGTCAGTATCGTTTGAGAAGTACATTAACTACCTAGATAGGTACGAATCCTCTTTTTAGTATCCGGGACTCCTTAGTCCATCACCCCTATCCTATCTAAAGCATCTCATTTCACCTAGAAGCGTATTAAAACAACGTGATAACAAAGATTAGGTGATTTTAAGCCCTATAGCAGCGGTCCTCCGCGTCCACCCGACCGCGATCGCTGATTGGGATGAGGGGGTTGCACGACACGGTAGCCAGGTTGCGAATTTCGCATCACGCAATCCGCGCGGAGCATGGTGGAAGAGTCGGGGTAGCACCCCATCAGAGTGGTAAAGTTGAACATCAAGCTCCGTAATCCCGGATACTATAAATTATCGAATATCTAGCGATTTTAAAGAATTTATTCAATACTTCAATATTTTGTCAATTGTTGAAGTTTGGTTAGTCGTGATAGGTTTATTTTAGGCGAGTTGCCTTTAGGTGATATATCAATCATTTAGAATTAATAGAAGACGAACGAAAACACTGATATTAGTCGCCGAGACTGATTGGGTAAATGGCATCATCCACCGACCCCAGCGCCGAGGCGCAGAAGCCCAAGAAGCAGCTTCTCCTAAACGCCTTCGTAATGACAACACCTGGTCATCTATCGCCAGGATTGTGGCATCACCCACGGAACAAGACAGACGATTACAACAAGCTCAAATTCTGGACATCGCTAGCACAGCTTTTAGACGAAGGTGGATTTCATGCTATGTTTATTGCGGACACGTTAGGGGCCTACGACGTATACAAGGGTCCAGCAAACGTCGAGCCTGTGCTTAACTCGGGCGCGCAGTTTCCCGTTAACGACCCGTTGTACACTGTTCCAGCCATGGCAGCCGCAACTAAGAACCTGATCTTTGGGGTCACTGCGTCAACGACTTACGATGCGCCTTACGCTCTAGCGAGGCGATTTTCCACCGTGGACCATCTAGCTGAAGGGCGAGTGGCGTGGAACATCGTCACCTCATACCTCGAGAGCGCAGCTAGAAACTTCGGGTTGGAAACGCAGATTGAGCATGACGAGCGTTACCGGATTGCGGACGAGTATATGGACGTAGTTTACAAGGTACGAGTTCATTCTGTTAGCTGTTCTAAGAAATAGATCACTTACTAGATTGAGTCTGAAGCTATGGGAAAGTAGTTGGAGAGACGATGCAGTTGTCCGGGACAGGGAGAAGGGTCAATTCGCGGTGGCCGGGCGAGTACGCCCGATCGGTCATCAAGGGAAGTATTTCAAAGTACCGGGACCCCACATTTCGGAGCCGTCTCCTCAGCGGACGCCGTTCTTGTTTCAGGCAGGCACATCCAAGGCCGGAACCGAATTTGGCGCAAAGCACGCTGAGGCAGTCTTTATGGGAGGTCAACTACCGGAACTAGTACGAAAGTCGGTCGATGCGCTTCGGTCAACTGCCAAGCAATTCGGCAGGGACCCGAGTCACATCAAAGTCTTCACGGGAGTCACCGTCATCGTAGATGAGACGGACGAGAAAGCGCAGGCTAAGTACAAGGAATTACTCTCATACGGAGACCGAGAAGGAGCACTTGCGCTGTTCGGCGGCTGGACAGGGAATGATCTTTCGTCATTCTCAGATGACGAGGATCTGATCCTGGTCGACAAACCTGCCATCCGATCGCTGATCAACCGTTGGTCGAGCACGGTCCCCGGCACAGAAGGATTGAAATGGACGAAGGCTCGAGTTGTCGAGTTCTTATCGATAGGAGGCATGATGTAAGATCTGACTTGATGTCTTAAAAAAAGAAAACATCCCAGGGGTGATGCTGATGCTGACTACATTTGCAGGCCTAAGATTATCGGCAGCCCGAAGACGGTTGTCGACGAGCTTGAGAGATGGTCCGAGGTGGCAGACGTTGACGGGTTCAACCTCGCACATGTGGTAAATCCCGGCTCGTTTGAAGATATTATTGAGTTTGTCATACCCGAATTACGAAGGAGGGGATTGTTTAGAACCGAGGCTGAGCGAGAAGGAGTTACGGCACGGGAAGTCTTCTTCGGACAACCGCATCTGCTAAGCGACCATCCGGGTCATTCATATAAATGGCCGATATCTTAAAGTGTCCAACTAGGTAGATTGATCCAAGTATCTGAGCGATATAGAATGATCTTGAACTCGGAGTGCTCGGGAGTGTTGTTTATGTTCTAGTTATCCGTACTTCCGAAAACCCAGATTCTAGACAACTCATGGAATCGAATGGTGTAAATGGTAGAATACGTACTAGGCAGGTAAGTGATGGCCAGGTGATATTTCATAACTAAAATCGGTACTGTCGGATGCCGTGAAAATTTATTGGGTAGATAGAAGAAGATAGAAATTGAGAGTGGAAAGTGTTCTCAGTCTTAATCCTATGAGATGCGTTTTGATGTTGTACAAACCCAATTTGATGGTTAAAGTTCAGACAATTCGCGGAGCCGAACTTCCGATTAGGGTTAAGGCTAGGAAATACAGCACGTGGATGGTCGGGTAGTGACGTCAAATGGCGAACTATTATGGTAATTTAGCAGCCTAGAAGCGAAGCTAGGTCTACGGATAGCCTACGAAGCCGAGACGGTAAGCAGCTGTGGGGTGGTAGAAATCCCCTAAACCCGCTAGAGCAAGGTACCTAGAAACCGCTATATTTATAGCGCTATGGCATGGGTATCATCAATTGCGCAGCCTGCAATCTTCAATGCTCCAATGACAACATTTTCTTTAACAACATTTCGAATCTGTTCCTTTTCCTTTTCGGATTGCGTGTCATTCAGTTGAACATCTTTTCCTATTCAACTCAAAAATTAGTAAAAATACATAAGCTTGCGATATTATCATTATCATTACTATTTTATTATTTCGCCACCATTGTGACTTAATTCCTCTCCTATTCTCGTCCATCGTTTCAGCCGTCTTCGTTGACGAAGTACATTACGCATTACCCACGTCTCCTTATACCCCTCAATTCAATAACTCGATTACTCTATCATTGATGGAAAGTTTGCACCGGTTGCTCTCTTGCCATTGATTCTCCGTCAGCGAACACCCCGAATCATTAAGCTCAGATCATTGGTCGCTATCAAGAAAGTAGAAAGGAGAGCGCCTAGGTCAGGGGCAGACAGCAATGTCTTCCACCAACATTGATGTAGACGACGGCCAACACGATCATATTTTACGGCCGAGGCCCCGAAAAGCGCAACATACCCAGGTCGCCGAGTTAACCAGAGAACACAGCAGTAATTCTGTTAATGGCAATGGGCATCTTGAGCTGCCTTCGGAGGAACCTGCATCGGGCTTGACTAGGTAAATATTGCCATTCGAATCCAGACAATATTTTTACAAAATGAGATCCATGGCTTATACTTCCTTAGTGGTCGTTCGACGCCAGTTCCTGAAAATGCTCCTGCGTCGACCAAAGCTCTGTCTAGTGCACGGAAGCAAGTTCGCGCAGAGCAGCGCCGTCGTATCTTCCCAACCATCGAATACGCTTCCCGAGTTTCCCACTTCGATCCTCGATCCGATTACCGCGATTTCCATGGCTTCTTCAACCTATTTTGGATTGGCTTAGCCATCATGGGCATAACTACCATGTTGCGCAATTACAAGGACACCGGATACCCCTTGCGCGTCCAGATTTGGACCCTCTTTACGATCAAGTTATGGCATCTAGCAGTTGCCGACCTGTTAATGGTTACGAGCACTGCTATTAGTTTGCCGCTACACAAGATTTTCAGGAGTAGCCAAGGCGCGTTGACGTGGAAGAAGGGTGGCGTGGCTATTCAGAGCATATACCAAGTTCTGTGGCTTGCCTTTTGGATCGCCGTGCCGTTTGTTCTTAACTGGACCTGGACGTCTCAAGTTTATCTGCTGTTGCATACCATGGTCCTCTTAATGAAGATGCATTCGTATGCGTTTTATAACGGTCACCTATCGGAAACCGAAAAGCGGCTACACGCCCTCGACGAACCTCATGGCGCCTCCAAAGCCCCCGCATACGTCTACCCGTCCGTCGAGAATCCGATGGGCAAGCTTGTACATGGAGATTTAGAGGTTGACAGTGATAGTGAAGACGAAGGCCTCAAGCAGCTGCGGGAGGACCTGGCGCGAGAGCTGACGAGCCCTATCGGCAACGTGACATATCCGCGAAACTTGACCTGGTCAAATTACACCGACTATATCCTATGCCCAACGTTATGTTACGAACTGGAGTATCCACGTAACGAGTCGATCCACTGGACATCATTAATAGCCAAAATAGTCGCCACCTTTGGCTGTATCTTCTTGTTGACAATCATCTCGGAAGAGTACATCCTACCCGTACTGCAGGAATCAACCATTGACCTTGACAAGAGCTCTTCCGTGTTTGAGACTTGCCTCATTCTTGCCGAGACCATCTCATGGCTGCTCTTCCCGTTCATGCTCACTTTTCTACTCGTGTTCCTCGTCATCTTCGAATATGTGCTGGGCGCCTTCGGCGAGATTACGCGATTCGGAGACCGACATTTCTATAGTGATTGGTGGAACAGCACCGATTGGATGGAATTTAGTCGTGAGTGGAATATACCTGTGTACTCGTTTCTGAGACGGCACGTATATGCGACCTCAAGACCAAGCATTGGGCGCAATATGGCGACGCTCATCACCTTCCTGGTATCTGCTATCGGCCACGAAATTGTCATGGCTTGTATCACCAAGAAGTTGCGCGGCTACGGCTTCATATGCCAGATGTTGCAGCTACCGATCGTCATGCTGCAGCGCACCAAGTGGGTACGCGCCCATAAGACGGCGAACAATGTGCTTTTCTGGTGCAGCATGGTTTTAGGACTAAGCATGGTAAATGACCCAATTTTCTAATAAAAATAATAGGAAGGGAATATTAACTAACTTCTTACAGATATGCTCACTTTACGTCCTGGTTTGATTTGAGCTCGCTCCTAATGTCTACTCAAGGTGCATATGGCTGGTTTTGGCATACACGGAAAGGAGGGAAACGTCGAAGGTTAGAAAGCGCAGATGGATCCGAATAAAATCTGAAAAAGAAGACTTCGGCACCACTGCCCTGAACAAATTATCAACACATTACTCCACGTTGGAATGGAAGTGTACTATTATGTATTTTTATTGCATGTCTCGGATATACCCCCATACCCTTTGTTGATAGGCCTAGCGTGAAGTAGTAGACTGGATGCATATTAGCGAGGATTTTACTTGCTATGTTCCCTTGTTGAAGCTGTGACTAAGGATTATTCTAGATACTCGCCAAATACCAATATCAAGAACACATAGGAATCAGATGAGCCTCCAAACTTCTAGGAAAGTAGCTATCGGGAACGAAAGAATGAAAAGGTACCTACCTACCTACCTACTTACCTACCAACCTAGTAGATACCCGCCCAACTCACATGCCTGCCCTCCCCTAAATGAGAAGATAAATACCTACTAGTCGGAAGCTATCTCATATATTCGTAGCAAAACTTTCAACATGTCAATATTCCAATTGGCCGATGATGATATACAAAATCTGTATCTACAGGTACCTAGCTTCGGATTACAGCACAAACAGCATTCCTTTATGTCAAGAAGAATAAGGCTATTGTTGTAGGAGGCGGCTTACTGTTTTCCTCATAGAAATTACCATGTTACTATAACCCTCATAGACACTTAGACCTCGGAATACAACGACATCGTATAAAATCAGCCCTCGGGATATCTTATAGGCATTCACTCATTATGAGATGATTGGTTGAAAATACCCTTGGCACCCAGGTGAGGGTGACATCGACTGCCTACAGGGGAGATAGGTAGGTATGTTTCCAAGGGTCTTCTCATTTTCTAGGTACCTACCCCTTAGGTATATACGATTGAGCGAGGTGGGTATTGGGAGTCCGATACACCGTACAATAAACCAAGGGAGGAAGGGACCAAACTCAGTCGATCCAAATCTACCTACCTATAGAGCCATTGATATCTACCCCATGCCCTCATCATACAATATACCTATTCAGGGCATAAGTCTTCAAGGTTAGATTGAACGCAAATGGATATGTCTCAATACTGTAGCTACCTAGGTACCTGTATTATAATTCCAGGTAGTTGATGAATAGCCAAATTAGCGTAAACCCTCAGCTATAAAGGCGCCTGTGTTAATTATCCAGACAAGTGGATACATACGAATACCAGCACTATACAATTCAATACCTCGCCAGACTTAGGGGTTCCTCTATCCATAACACATTCCTAAGATACTCCAAGGTGTCCATGTAAACATTCAACATCAGTTAGCAAAAAGGGGTAATTCTATAACTCTTCCAAAGCCCCCATACAACGAATAACCACGAGGGCCAGAGGCATAACGACGTCATCGCACCCACGACTTCTAGAACGGAGAGCATGAACACCTACGTAGGTCCCCTGAAAACCGGTATCCTATGAGATCTATAAGATCGCCACTCTTACATCATGAAGGCACGTGCGGCAACATGTGCCAGCCAACAGCGCCGCGTCCACGTATATATACTAACATAGGGCCAGCCACGCAACTGTGGCTTCTATACATAGTATACTACATACGCAGATACGCTGATCGCCTCCCGACGCGGCAAATGGGGAACCGCTGCGAGTGTCCGCGCTTCTATAGAACCGAATGCCAATTAGTAAGGTACCTAGTCACGGTCTACGCAAGGGATAGATGTGTCTTCGGACGCCAATTACCCGTACGTACGTAAGCATCCGACTATATACCTACCTACAGACGTAGTTCGACATTCCACACGTACCGAGAACCTTCCGCGCCGTTCTCTGTTTGCCGGTGCGGAAACTTGTTTGCCCCCCAGAGGCTTGCCATGAAATCATAATGCGCCGGTGGAGGATGCAAATACCGCCGATACAGAGCCGGGTGCCATACCTTAGGTAAGTATCGAAATACCGACATCGACGTCATCGGATCCCTTCTCGCTTTCAACCTCGTCTCCTCATCCGATCCAATCCCGATCCAATCCCAACCCCCCAATCGCAGCATTCTTCCTCGCGTCTATGCAACGAGGCATAGATCACGATGAAAAAAAAAAAGAAGGCAGGCAGGTAATTAAAAAATCAAAAATTAACCTGGTAGCCGCCGCCCGACGGCTAGAAGGACCGGCCGATCCCCATCTCCAAGGATTCATGAGCTCTCGGAGATCCCAGGTGTGTTCGCGTGTGCCCGCAGCCGCCCCGGATAGAGAAGAAATAGAACACAAAAGATGGGAACTCGGAACGCGGGGGAAGTGGTATTTATATTCTTGGAGTTGCGACAATTATCTCTCGCTCTTTCCTGGAAGATAGCAGCGGAATTGATTGATGGCGTGTTTTTGTGTTTGGGAAAATGCCTACGTGTCTCGGCCAAAGTTTACTTACCTGACGGGAAGGTTCGCGTCGTCGTACATGAATAGGCGTCTATCTAGGTAAGAAAGAACTGCAATAATGTCATCAGATTGTCGTGTCCTCGCGCCCATAAGCATCCCTTCACATCCAATGTAACTTCCAAGGTTCCTAGGTAAATAATCCCGTCAGTCATACATACCTCGGCCGGCAACGCCATATCTTCCCATATCGTCTCCTTCCTCCCTAGTCTGCGCCTAAGCACTAAATCCAAAACGGAAGGGGCGAGTAAATTGGTGGTAAGAAGTAGAAGCCGAAAGAGGAAATAAATCTATTAACGCGAAAATCCTTCATGAATCACAGTCAACGCCATCACCACTGTTATTCTCGAGTTTGGCGGTAGCTGGAATAACATAGCCTCATAAATCCTCAACCACTCGTTCCGTTGAATCTGCTGTACCTCTAGACTATCCCCTATTGGTAAAATAGTAAAGACAAACATTAAACATACATATGAACTCCTATTCGTATTTTTCCGCTTTATAGTAAGCAAAACAACCTTAACGTGCAATTCTAAAGCCGACTACCCGTAGGCTACTAGGCAGAAGCGTCGTCGTGAGAACTCGATGTGCACATTTTCTCGGGAGATTTGAATATAAAATCATCAGATATCAGCTTCTCGTAGGTCTATACTGGGAACTGAAAACTAATAGCGAAAACCACGTGAATCGGACCTCAAGAATAATAAATTTGAGTGGCTGTTAACAGCAATGTGCTTTATATTTCGTCCATGCGTTGCGTGCGTTACTTAATATGCGTAGTCTCGATCGAGCGCAGCAAAATAGATTGTAATTCCTGCCCACCCACCAGCCGCGAAATGCTCCCGCCCTCCCTTGACAGTATGTAACGCCTCGTAAATGAACGGACGGACGAGAGGAACAAAAACTGTAATTTGACTGTCTCTCCCCCGTACGATTAGAAAAAAAAGGGGAACCCACTCCCAACCAGCCTGTTACCTGGTTTCTCGCTCCATATGCAATGTTCTGTGTATATGTATATATATAGTTGAGATAGGGAAGAAAAATATCATAAAAAGCTGACGGGAAATACAAGCGAAATCCGAACAACGATAAACATCTCTCGTAAAACTCGTGGAGCCCAGAAGGCGACGTAAACGACAAGAATTCTCGCTGATGGGGGCCAAAATAAGCAGGCGTGACAAATTGTGCGCTGCCATGATTGGTTGACCGAGTGTCGGTGTGAACGATAAAATCTTTGCGCTATGAACTCGTGCTCGAGTAACCTCGAGCCTCAAGGCACCAGTTGTGCTGCAATTGAGGGAGCCCATTCATTAGGTATATGTAGAGGCAGCTGAGGTTGTAAGCCCAGCTGAACCACAAAAGCCCACGCTAACTCCCTAGATCATTTCTCAGTCTTGGAAAAGAAGAATCCTGTTCGGCTCATCCACATCTCGCTTCTTCTCTAAGCTCGTCGGAAAGACATCAACTCGTTACTGTATTTCATCAACTTTCTTTATGGGCATGATATCGAAAATGCCAAAGTCCCCCGAAAACGCCGAATTCGAGACACGAGAAACATGAGGCAGGAAAGCAGTGGAAAAAAGAAGCCTCGAAAGAAATACATGGATAAAACCATGGCGTAGAGTGATACGCAAATGGTAATCCATCGGATCGGCGATATACGGTTCGTTATTGATAAATCTCGACAGGGGCAAATATATCGCTTTCCAAAAAACCTACAGCAGTTACGCAAACAACTCCTCTCGGACGTGTGGCAAGTTGCTGAACTGAATTTCGCCGGGGCCGAACTGCTTTGAGTACTTTACGCCCGAAGGGAAGTATCCCGGCGTATCTTCCTCGAAGTCCTCATGCTCATAGTAGGCATTTCGAGGCTCAGCCGCTCGGCGTGCAGAGCTGTTGGGCATCGGGGGAACTGGGATAGCTTTCCTGGTACTTGAGCTAACGGTATATCGGGTGGTTTGAACAGGAATATCCTCCGGTATATCCTCTGGAGACTGCGTTCGTCGGCTACGACGGTGTCGACGTTCTCTATCCCGATCATCTTCTGATGAGTCATCTGTATAGGTGCGAGCATGACGCGAACGACTGCGTTCCCGGCCAAGGTCAGACTCTGGCATCCAAGTAGACGCGCGCTCTAGACCCGGAGGTTGGGGACGAGGATAGCTCTCAGTAGTTGAACGGCTAAGAGGTGGCATCCGATGAGACTCAGACTGTCCAGATATAGGAATGGAATGAGACTTGGTGAAAGAAGGTACGATTCGAGCACCAGACGAAGGCGACGCATCTACGATGATGGCTTCCTTGGAGGAGCTCGATTTCTTGTGCGATTTCTCCTTGGATCGAGGAGTGTCATGAGACATGCGACGAGGTCTCGCCGATGATCTCTTCACATCTCCGTCTAGAGGTGCATCTCGAGGATCAGCCATAGGAGGGGGCGCAAACGCTGACGCAGCTGCAGGTGGTGGTGTTGGTACGGCAATCGGAGCTACGTGTCGGACGCCGGCGAACTCGGCATGATACGTCTGTGCCCGACTGAGCGCCGGGGGTTTAGCACCTGATCTGCTCAGATACCGAATCGCATTGTCCAGATTTGCAGAGTTCTTTCTCTCACGGTCTGTCGTCGGTGGTGGATGACCAGCTTCCCGGGGCGGCGGCGGCGCTGCTGCTGCTGGTGGCGGCGTTTCATCGTACTTTTTGCTGCTGCTGCTCGATTTCTTCTTCTCTGGTTTGGATGACGAGGACGTCGTGTAAACGGCCTCTTCAGTTTCATCTCCCGGAAATGTTTCCATGTAAGGAGACTTATGACGGCGGTGCTTATCGTCAGATTCCTTGCGACGGTCCTTCTCGGCCTTCTTCTTATCTTCTTTTCGTTCATCTTTACGTCGATCTTTATCTTTCTTGACTGCTTCCCTCTCCTTCTCCTTCTCCCTTTCCCTCTCTCTCTCCTTCATTGCTTCACGCTCTCTGTGTCGTTCCTCCCTTTCCCTCTCTTTTACTTTCTCATGTTGCCGAATCCACTCTTTGTCCTCTTCGCGTCTACGACGGTCCTCATCCTTCCTAGATCTTTCTCTATCATACTCGTAACTCGCGGTTTTTCTCGCAGAGCGAGGTTTCTCATCGAATCCCCTCCCATATAGATTTTCATCCCAGGAACGCGAGGGAGGCGTGTGGCCGTAGACATTATGGGGGGATGTGCTAAAGGTAGTAGATCGCGGCTCAGCTTCGCGAACATCATAGTACCTGGTTTCGTGGCGCTTCGAAGTACGTGGTGAAGACGTAGTAGTCGATGCCATGCCTCTGGCCTCCTTTCTCAGCTCTTCGAGCTTCACTTTATCATCATATCTAGCCCTTTCGGCCTCGTTGCTCAGCAACTCATAGGCTTGTTGGACTTGTTGGAACTCCCGCTGCTTCTCCTCCTTCAGCTTAGGATCCTGGACTTTGTCGGGGTGGCATTTCAATACTAGCTTCCGATGGGCGGATCGAATCTCTGGTAGTTGAGCATCCTTGGATACACCAAGAGCCTTGTAGGGATCGTTTGGGAGCGACGACATGACTTTCGAGTGTTGATGCTATTGAGGTAAGAGGTTGAAGAAGGAAGCTTTCGCAACCGTTCTGAGAATTGAATCGTGGGTTTGTTGTTTGGCGGTAGTCGCTAGGACGACCAGAAAAGACGGTGACGAGTGAAAGTGGGGAATTATTGCATGGGGACGAGACTGCGGTGAGGGCAGATCGGATGCGGATTTGGTTTATGCGCGATGGATAGAGACAGATTTGGTTAAGGTTGATATGTATGCGATAGTAACAAAAACAATGATAACAATAATAGTAATAGTAAGTAATACAGGTTTGGACCGTTTGTATCGTAACGGAGCTAAATAGGAAGGGAATTGAAAACAACTAAAATCAGATTCAATTAAGAACTGACTTGACCTCGAGAAACAAGCTCGGGTGTGTTGAAGACCAGACCATCGGTTAACAGTCGGAGAATGGTCGATCGAATGAAAGATGGCGTGTATATCTTGTCGAGTGGTTTGATGAGGTCACGGAATCTAGGGTGTGAATTTGGAAGAAGAAGGAGGGTCGAAAAAGGGGGGGAAGTATAATGATGATATGGATAGATGGGTTGGGGGTGGGTTAAGAGAAAACGAGGGAAGAGGCAGGTTGTAAGAGAGAGAGAGAATGCAGAAGTGTCAGAGGCTAAAGGAGTGAGTGACGAGAGCCGTTTTGAGGCTTGACGGGCTTCGACTCTTTTTAGAATAGAGACGGGTAGATCACGACCGACTAACTACTAGGTAGACTGACTACCAGACAACCAAAATACCAGAATACCACTCTAACCACTCTAGCCACTTTCTGCAAGTTGGTTACTGGTAGATGGGACAGATGCAACAAATAGAACAGTGGCAGTAATGGGGAGTGGGATTTGGAGGGTGGTGATTTGAGTGAGAAATCGGGCGATGGCGGATTCTGGGATTTCGCTGATTGGGAAAAGAAAGCTGGATCGGATTGGATTGGATCGTCTACTCATCAGGTACTTTGTCGTTTTCTCCTTCTTTCTCTCCCTTGTCGAGATTTCTGACGAAGCGGGCGGAAGGTTCCTCTCTCTAGCGTAGAATTCCTTGGCTAGGGGGGGGGTTTTGGGGGGTACCTGTCGCTAATCGTTGCTAATGTTGCTAATGACTGCTAAGGTACTAGGTAGGTATAGCCCGTTACAAGCTTGGTGGGGCGCTACTTCTTTAGCGTGCGGTGCCGTACCGTTACGACAACTTTCGGCGCTGCTCCTTCTGAATCTGAAATATTTATGGGACAGTTCCAAGGTTGTACCTAAGTATCTAGGTACCGTGACAGGTACTCCCAGTGCTTAGGTGCTAAATCGGGGGCAGGCCAGCTATCCCTCTCTCTGTCCTCTCAATGCAACTGCCCTGCAAATCTGCACCGCACCTGCGCACTCGCAAACCGCTACTGCGCTGTAACCTGTGGGTACAGTACAATGTGGCGGGGCCAGAGAGACTTTTCTCGACGTGGCGAAATAGTACCTTGCCGAGGTACTCGCTATTGAACCAATAAGTACCGAAGAGGTATTATAATCGAGGCAAGAACTGACTGGAGAGAGGAAAAAGATCGAACGGAAGGGCGGGATAACGGCAAAAAAAGGGGAGACGAGACTATAAACGGTTTCCGATTCAATCAGCAGGTCCAACGTTGTATCGTTCCTCTTGTCTCTCCTTCTGTGTCCGTGTCTGTGTCCGTCGATGTTTCTGTCTTCCTCTCGTTCTCGCCGAGTGTCTCGTGGATTCCAAAACCGGGGGATTAGCACCAGGAACCGGATTACACTACGTCGGAGTTGTCCAGCGAAGCAAGTGCCTAGGTATTTACATAGGTAGGTACCTAGGTCGGTAAGTTCGATGTTGGTATTTGAAAGGCAGGTAGGCTTGTTCGGATTACGCGAGTCGGATGGGAATCTTAGGTAATACTGATCCTCGAGAGCGTATGCTATGATATTGTACTGTATTGTACTATATTGTGATATACGGTAATCCGCAAAGTAATAGAAAGCGAGCTAAAGATAATGGGTAATATCGAATACTCTTGCACGGGATGACCAGCGTCCGAACAAGACGAATAGAATATAAGACCATAGGCCGAGTTAGCCAGTTACGTGGTTAAGCGAACGGTCTCGGCCAAGTTCAGTGGGGGTAAAGATTCGGAATGAAGGGGGTGTAAGTCGATGTGGGTTAACAAATGGATAAGCTAGGTTAGAATGGAGAAGAAAAAAAAGAATTGAAGATGATATGTAGGTAGATCTGATGAATGGATGAATAGGTATGAATAAATGCGCATGTATAAGAGTCTGAGAAAATTATTCGGTGCAACTGTATCCAGCCAATGCGATAGATGAAGAATGGTCGATGATGTATAGGATAAGTTAAGATGACTTCGAAAAAAAAATCGCGCTTCTGGAGAGGCTAGAGGTGACGACAATGAATTCGTGAATCAGATAATAGGATTAGGACCATTAGGTGCGAGATATGTTAGGCATTCGGTAGCTGGGTAGGAACCACAAAACCCCGGATATCGAAGATGAGGTAGTCTGTTTGTCAATTGTTTAAGAAAGGAACATATGTGTGTGTGGTAGAAGAGAAGCTGGTTCGTAGCCAGAGTTGCAAATTGCAAACGAGATCGCTAGCTTGGCTTCTCGTGAACCAATAGCTCCGGGCCAGAACTTCGTGTAAGTCGGAGTCAAAGAAGTTGGGGTTACTTAAAAAGGTGGCAATGAAATATTATGATGGCAAATCTAGTTTCTAGTAAAAACGGATCAGAGATCCGATGCGTATCTTTTTTTCTTCTGATTTTGGAGTATATCGGTTGATATATTGTGATATATTGATGCTGACTTTGAGCTTCTACCCTGGTATACCGAAAAGTCGGTCGGAGGATTATTCTTCAGAAGGGCGAGGAAGGCTGTGGGGGAGAAAGTGAGGAGAAGTGTATAACTCTACATGGTCTACATGGTATGTCTATCTCCCTAGTATGGATGATGCATGTATCAAGACCTATGGAATCTGGATGGATGTATGCAAGTCTGTATGGAGTCTTGGTATCACCCAGTTTCAAGACCAAACCAGCGGTGAAGGTTGATATACCCGTCTTCTGTCTTCTGCAAGAGTTCCGGTACTTACCAACTTCCTATGGGCTGATGCGAGTTGCAACAATGCTTAGAATAGAACCTTAGAACCTAAGAAGATTCAAAATGTCGATGAATTAATTGCAGAGGCGACGGATAGTTAAAGGAGCTGAAGCTGATTTATCGTGCTACCTACTACCTACCAAATCCAAAAGTGATAACCAAAGTAAACACCAACAGCTATCGTGAAGATGCATCATGATAAGCAGCTGAAGCCGATCCGTTCGAATATGAAAGGGCATAGCCGCGCTGGTGACTCTTTTTCTTTATTCTCCGCGTGGGGTCTATTATTGTCTAACTATTGTTTAGGATCAATTGGAAACTTGCCACTTGACTCAGGGACCTAGGCGAACTCGGATGAATTCGTTATTTACTTTACTCATTTGATATAGGTAAGTCGTTGTCATGACACTCCTACTAGGTAAGGGGAATTTCCGCGACTCTGTGGTTCCACCGTGAACCAGACTGTGCTATTTCGGTGCTATTTGTTGTCCATCCGTGTGTATCACATTGCCTTTTCGCACCGTATTCCTGGATCTTATACTCATCCTTCCGTCTCCTTCACCGGTCTCAGTCCGACTAGCGAATAAAATAATTCTAGTATCACATAGTATAGCTAACAAGATTGTTACTTCATAGGTTGGTGAGGCTGGTGAACTTGCTACGTGTGTACCTACGTAGTACCTAGGTAACATTCAGGTTCCTACATGTAGTTATTGACCTGATGGCCCGTCCGGATAGGCTTAACTTCGCCGTGAATTGGGCCACGACGTCAAATTCCTCTCACCTGATCTAGGGTATAATACAAATACGTCTGTCACTCTGTCACTTCATCGCCATCCAAGATCTGAGGCACTGTCAGCGATCCCAGGAGTTCAGGGCATTAAAGCAATAGCAACTTGGCCGTCCCCGTATGGCCGTGACGGATAGGATACCTTTCCCCTTTTGTCGCCATCCTGCAGCCAGGTGATACCTAGACAAGCACGTCTAGCTTCTATAGATTCCCGAACCTGGAAGCTTTCGTTGGAAACCTGCGCTTATTGGGTTAATCGGAGCTATCTTTGCCCAGGTCGAAGCTGGTGATAGGCACGACAGACTTGATCAGTGGATTTAGTCCACAAGCTCCACACCAATGCCCCCTTGGTTGCATCAACCACTGCAAAGTTGCTTGTCACACTCGCATCTAGAGGAAAGAGGGTAGAGAGGTTAACTGCTTAAGTGGTCCCTTCCGACGAAATCGGGAACCAATCGAGCTCTAGACGTAAAAGCAGGTACATTTGAGGTGCCGCATGGGAATGATAGAGAAGATGGTGTGCGGCGACATGGCGAGGAAGCGTGATCACGATCTATAGGCTGCTTACGGCTTGCAGCACTCTCCTGGCCGAGCTTGCATGAATAACGGTTGCACGAGGCCTCACCATCTGGCCACGAATTACCTAGAGCTGCTAGAGATGGTGTGGTGAGATGAAGTGGACCAGAGGTCAGACGGGGGGAAGGATTGGTCTAAAATGGTGGGTTTAAGGTCAAGGGAGCTAATGGGGGACCTAATTGGAAGATGACTTTAGACCAATCGTTTGATAGTGAAGTGGACGTAAATCAGTGCTACGGAACAAGCCCACGCTTCGGCCAGAGCCTTAGAGGGAGGAGTAGGTGGATCGAAGCTAACGAAAACATACTAGATCAAGCTATCGATGGAAGTCTTTGTATCGTATTAGTCTACTATGCTATTACTATAGTAGATATCCGTGGGTCAGTGGATTTATTCTTTCGTCCTCATCGCTCTCCTCGGGGCTTGGGAAGACGTATTTGGTTAGGGTCGCCCTGGTCGCCCTGGTCGCCCTAGTCGCCTACCGGATTATACATACTCGACTGGTTCGTAGGACACTCCACCACGAACCTGTCGAGCCAGTCTCGGCGGTCAACGTGGGTGAGCTCAGGGATGGTCGATTATGCAGCTTTCAGCAAATCCAGCGAATCCAAGTACTTAAATGCGAGACCGAGTTGGCCTTTCACGGATCTTCTGGATTTCTTACTTAATCTAAGATGCCTGCCTCCCTTCGTGGTAATCGAATTTAAAAGGCTACGAGAGCCTCAAGGGGAAACAACAGCTCGATCCCCAATGCTTTAGTTACCAGTGTGAAAAAAAGCTTTGCTTATTTAATTTCGTTTATCTCTCTATCTCTCTCTCTCAGCTGCTAGGCTGCTAGTAAATTCTTCCGATTTGTCTCATATCGGGATGATGTGCGTTATTATCCTTGCCTGTCTCCACGATCTTCCTTCTCGTCTACGTATGAGGCGGGGGCGGGGTTAATGATGAGTTCATGGTCAGATCGTCAAGCCATATCTGCACGAATGAGCGATAGATAAACCCGTCATCCTTTTTCTCCAAGAGGAAAGTGACCGACTTGCAGCACGAGATCGCCTCTGAAGCTTTAAGAGCTGATGAAGCTTCGACTAATTCCCTCCTTTCCCCTTTCCCATTTCCCATTTTGCCCCTCGACAAAGTTGTCGTCATCTACGGCACCGCCCGCTTCCTTCTTTGGTTGATCCCGGGAATGCTCTTGGAGCTAACACGAGACCGGCGGATTAGTTAGACCAGCTTTTCGGGAGGTGTGCCTGTCGATTTCCCGTCTACACTGTAACATAATGCAGGTTGGTTATCACTTTAATCGGCACATGGTCGGTGAGGGGATAAGCATGCGCACCCGTCACGATATTCACGGGATGTTCAGTTGCTATGTACATAGGTGAGGCTTCGTTAGTATTCTAGCCCCCGAACTTAGGTATGCAGCTGTGTCTCCTTGTTCGCTCCTTCATCCCATCTCCTGCATATATTAGTATTGTAATTGGTAGATGTTTAAGTATGTTTCCATCTACCCTGGCTAGGATTTGCGGTTGTGTCTCCTTGCAGCTATCTAAAGCTCTCGATGCAGTCCAATCACTCGCATTGGAAGACCCGCAAGTCAAGGAGAAGAAACGGCGCAGGTGATAGCTATTTTCTCTATATTGAATAGTAGTATGTACCTACGTATGTACGTACATACACTAGGTAGTCAAATAGTATCTTCTACTGCGTGTCTATTCGGAGGTATTGGACAGCTGCAGATGGCCGCCCCCTTAACCCCCACATCCAGCATCGTGATAGGTAGAAATTAAGCATCCACGAGAACAAAGAATTATCATTGGCTGTTGATATCACACAACGAAGCGCCCTACCCTACCGAAAAGGCCAAGAAGCTTCCAACCCACTGGGCAATCAACCATACTTGAGGAACGTGAAGTTTGATGGAAAGTAGGTAGGTACCTATTTACCTATTTACCTACCTACCCGGTAGGCTGTAGACGAACTCTCTATCTCGAGTACCTACCTACCTGCCTACCCAACTACCTAGGTACCTAGGCCTAGGTGTCATTCAGTAGCTGGTCTACAGCTTTGGCTATCAAATCCATTTCTTTTCTCCATGACCTCTCAATTCTCTCGTAGAACGACCCATTGGCATGACCCTTCCCCGCGTTTGATTGTGTCGCTCTCGTATCAGGACTTCGTCAACCCTTGCCGCATCAGGGTCTTCATACCCACGTAACTATACTGCATAGAACTTACATCCGTGTCCTAGGAGCCCGCTACTGCATCACAAGCAATATGTATGTATGTAGTCTTGATGCTGTGGCTACTCCGTATTGTTTACTTGACAAGTTAAATCTGCAAGGAATAGGGAAGTGGATTCGCATTCGCAGCTAGATATCCTGTCAGTGATTGGCCACCCGTTCTCCTGCAGATCAAGTGTGACCCTGATCTACCAAGTGTCATTGGAAGCAAATCCTACCTGCATACCGGCTATCGGACTGCGGGCGTGAGATAGAAACTGCGGAATTTCTACGATCTTCTCTTTGCCTTACCTGTCTAGATACTAGGCAGGTACCCAGTTACTTGTCTGAGCTGCTGAGTTACTGTATCGAATGCTATATGCTATAAAAGGTAGTTATTGCCAGCGAATACCGATTGGTGCGCTGTCTGTTATTAGTCTTGTTAGTCTATGGACGTACTTCGTTGGATGGAATGACCTTCCGCCGTCCCGTAGGACTTTGTTCTACCATGCGCAGGCTTCGTAGCCCCGCATGTGTTTTGTATGTTTGCCGGATGCTAGTTTGCGATATTCCGGACAACAGACGATCAAGAGGGAACAAGGACTGTCTGACCTCAGCTTCAGCTCAGCATTCAGCTACACAGCTAAGGCGGTATCTCTTCTTCTACATTATACTTCGTTCTTTTCTCGGTCAACTAGGACATATGTATACAGCCAATATTGTCAGACTCATAGATGAATATCGCACGGTAAATACCCAAATAGAACGCTGTATGCTAGCTGAACCCAACCTCGGCATCTATCGGCTTGTAGTCTGGTAAGGCCTCAGCCTGACAGCCCGCCCCTGTCTGGGGGCCACGAGATTGTAAACACCCACACAGGTAGATCAGAGACATATCGACTACCGACATAGTGACGTCTCTTTTTATTCCGCGCATGACATGTGAGAAACCAAGACATATTGAAACTTTGGGATGAAGCGTGATAGCATAGATGTGCATTCGAATCACGGTGAGGCCTCTCATCGCAATCGTACCTACCTAGGTATGTAGGATCTTGGGCTCGCGATGACACCCAATTGCCACACTACTCACATTTGCCTGGCGCTTCCGCGCGCAAGATGTGTTAAAGTCATTCCAAATACTTACTGGAAGCGGCAAAAAGAAGGCAAACCCATTATTTGTTCACAAGCGGTGACAAATGTGGAAGTAAATAAGGGTTGCTACGTCAAAAACACGTTGTTCGTATCTAACGCACTAAGGCTTGCGCCTCCAGGAGAATCTTTTGAGGATCCCTTAAATCGCATCCCTACACTGATATTTTAGGGCTCCGGATTCAACGTAGTTTACAGGGCGGTCGCGAAGCACTGACCCAATATACGCGTACATAAGCAGCCGGAAAGTTCGGCGTGGCCAAAACCTTAGGAATTATTCTCCCAGACAGGGAGGTCGATGTCAACAATGATAGGCTTGTGTAACCTCCGAGGCCCTGAGTGCGGATAGCTGGATGCCTGGATGGCGCAGTTCACGACGCACGTCTCTCTGCGCCCGAGTCGGCTGATCAGGCCGGGCCCGTCACTCCGCGCAGATATCGGACTCCCACCAAGGCCTCGGGTACCGAGCCCCGGACTCGCCCCTTCTGACATTGTCTCTATAATGCCCTGTGTTTTTACTTGAGTCATCATCGCGGATCCCTCAGCCACAGGACTTGCCGGGGTTGATGATATGGTCGGAAACGGTAACGAGGATGACGGCACCTTGCTACCATCGTTGTCTAAGGGCATTCCACCCTTAGCTGCAAGATTGACTAGACAGTTTTTATTATTCCCTGCGCCGGGATCCTCCCACTGGAATGTCGTCGCCAACTCCTTGTACCGCACGAACTTATTTGATAGGTCCCAACGCACACGCTCTACCCCACGCGCCTCGTGGACGTGCCCGCAGAGTGCCAGGCGAGGACGTACTCGCCACATCGCTTGTCGCAAGCTTTCGCATCCAACTGATTCTCTATGACGTGACTCGTCTCTGTGGGTTCGCGCAGGCCCGTGTGTGATAAGAATGTCGGTATTGAGGGGGATATCTTTCCATATACCTTCAGCGGTTGTGGAATCCGAGCGAGGGTACTGAAATGCCCATCTTCCACACGAAGGAATGTAAGGCGAACCAAATACGTTGAAGGTGGTTCTTGGACCGGATGGGGATGTGAGTTTGATCACTTGACTGGAATGCCGGAGATAGACGAGAGGCTTAGAGTGTATCAGAAGGTTCTGGCAATCGACAGGGTTCTGGGGCGTGTTATTATGAAAATAATCTCCATACTGCTCGAAGAAGTCGGTGTCTAAGGTTAGATCATGATTCCCGGCGATGACCAATTTGCATTCGAAGTCGGCTTTCTCTAGCCACGTCACTTGTTTCTTGAGTTCGCTGAAACTCCCCTGGTTTGTAAGGTCTCCGCAGTGGATAAGAACATCGCCCTTCGGTAGTTTCACCGTACAATTGTGCGTATCTGATATACAGACAAAGCGCGTTCGTCGAGTCTGTTGCGGGACTGCCGAGGAAGACTCGGATGAGTTATCCATAACGATAGAGATTCCAAGTGTGTATAATGCTTTTTTGAGATGTTATGCTCAACATTTGTTGGGAATCAAAAGATCAGCCTTGAGAGGCGGTGTCCGCTAGCTCCAGGCTTCTAGGCAACAACAGTGTAATTATCCTTGGGCTTTGGATGAAAGCACCGATCTTGTGGAACGAGGGAACAAACAAATATATACATCATAACTAATGTATGGGGTAACAAATAATTATTATGACTCGTTTCGTCAGGTTTCCAGTTGACGATACATTTTTACCGGTACTAGTACTACCTAGTAGGTAATTATGTATGTTGAAAATGAGGTTGCTGATGATACGTAGGGTGGTAGGTAGATAGGTAGGTATCTAAGTATGTAAATATCATGATAATGATTGGCGTATGTTATGTCGTGTTGTGTCGTGTTGTGTTGTATTGGATAAAATATTTAAAACTTAAATGGGAACGTCGAATAAGTCAGGGTCGATGTTGCATTAGGTGCTTAGAATGCATTCTAGAATACAGTTGGAAAGAACAAAGGTTGACTGTGTAACAGATAGAAGAATTGGTAAGAATTCAAGGATAAGCACAGTGCGGGTATATCGGGAAGTGGTCCTCTGACCCCGCGCCAGTGGTAGCACAATACCAATGAGGCGGCTAAGATTTTACCGAACCCTGCCATATCCAGCACATTCAAGCTTAGCGTGGTATTACAACGTTGTATTTTTACAGTGCATTTATTAAATCCAGGGGTGTCCGAGCTCTGCAAGTTCACCTTATTTTATTTCGTGCAGACGGATATCTGATTATCGAGATGGTAGCTCAATAGTTTAAGCACGTCCTAATTCGATCTGTTGTGAGGGTCCTTATGCATATGGACGTAGTAAATGATGTATGATGTTTAACAAGATGGGACTATCTTCTCTGTCAGAAGTTTAAATGTATAAATGATATTAAAAATTCATAATCGAAAGGGCAGCGTTGGATGGTCGTAAATGCTGTACTGGTCGTCACATACATACGATAAAGCGGTATGAGCAATTGTCTACACCCCCGGTAAGTACCTAAATGAGAACTTTATGCGTGGTCATCCAATTGCCTACCGAACCCAGCCTGTCTCCCAATGCTAGAGGCAGGTACCAATTACCTAGATTAGCTAACCAACCACCGGCACTAGGCAATTCAAGGTTAAAGTTAATGAATCTAACAAAAAGAAGTGCAATTGGAAGAGTCGACCAATCCCCTTTTCTGATGTACCTTGGTATCTCATCGCCTCAACCCCCGTCCGCAGAAAGCCAGAACCACAATATTTGCTTCTACCACGCCACGACGCTCCTTTCACCATCCCAGCCATTGGCGTTCCGCGCTCTCCACGTAATTTTTTTTCTTTTCGCACTCATCCGTCCGTGACCTGTCTCCTTTCAGGAGTCCTGCATTTGCGTCTGCACCCTCATCGAGAGCAATTGCCCCATTGGATCGAGAAAAGGTCGCGTGAAGTAGCCGTCAAGGAATGCAGATGCAGGGAACGAAGGGGCCTACGTGTAGAAAGTTGAGATTGTCAAGATTATCAAGATTGCCATTATCCGATCCGCATCGCCAGCAACAACCAACAACCCTCCAGTATTTTTCCACGATTTGTCAATAGAATAGGGACGGAGACAAGAATAACAACCAGAACGACCTTAGAACAGGGAACTAGGAAGAAAGACTAGTTAGATTTTGAAAGTCGTGTCTTATCTGTTTCGGCCTGTGGAAGACGACTAAGATCCGGAAGCTTGTCAAAAAGTCGCCAAGATAGGACGAATCAGTGAAGCAGTGTGGGAGCTAACTTAGATCAAACCCCGTTTTTCGTCGTCGACCTCCCTATCCGTCACTCTTTTTCTCGGTTACCTGTATGGTATATCGCTCTCACCATCTTTTGCCCGATCTAATTTAACAGCTGCTGGCCACAGCTGTCTCTCGGCGCGTCCTCCATCGTCACCGACCCCAATACAACTACGGTCACATCGGAATTTCTCTATCGTCTTCGTTTTCCCTTTCTGCTTCCACAGTCGCGTCACTACGAAACCAAAAAAAGATTGTTTCAAGCGTCAACCGATCAATATTCCACTCTTTAGTTTCTTATTTCGGTTACACGCCGTCACACTGGCCGAACCTAGGTAATCGATCGACAGCGTCTCGAGTTCCACGAGCGCGCCGTTACCCGTGGCTGTTGCTGGGCAAACCTCGAAATGGCAACAGTCTCGGGTACTACTACACTTACTCCGCCGGGCAGCTCTCATGCAGACCATTCGGGATGGAATCACACATCCGGTCGTCATGACGTTAGTTTTCTCTTCCTATGAACCCTAAAAATCATCCTATCGAGTTTTGCGACTTGTCCTAGTCTCCATCATATCTCGTTGCTGCTTTATTTAGCTTTGACTAATTTGTGCTGCTTCGTCTCGTATAGGGCTCTATGACGCATAAGTCATCCACAGACTGGCATGAAACCAATGGTTCCATAAAGGGAGCTCACTATTATGGGAATGGAGACTCTTCCTATGACCCGTACTCGACAGATAATTACCGGCCAGGCAAAGGTGAGACTCCCTTTTTTTGAGCAACCGGCTTCAATATTCTATAAAAATATCTTCACCCGAAATAAGGAGTCGAGGTAAAAACTAGGCACGGATATTTGTTAACTTGAAAAAAAAAAATTAGACCCCCGTACAAGCCAATCGAACTCGATATCTGATCATAAGCGCCCGAACGCCGAGGTTTCGCCTTCTGGACCGAACGACGATGAACATTCGAAATGGATACACAGAGACAAGCTGGCCAGGATAGAGAGCCAGGAACTTCAGGCTGCTGGTATTATCTTGCCCAAGTCACGGGCCCAGAGCAGACCGAGACGAGATCGAAGCCAAGAGAAGACGAATGGCCATCGCCGAGCTACGGATGCTTCAGATCAACAGTTTATTGCGAGATCTCGAAAAAACTCGGAATTGAGCTTGGACAGAACTCCCGATTTCGAGGCCCCAAGCTGGGATTTACGCCTCCCCGAGGAGATAGCGGAGGACCCTGGAGAATATTGGGTGACGAACGATAGCGGAAAGTCGCGCATTCCTGTAGCCAAAGTGAGCCCAGCACCGATCCCTGTTGACTTCCTCGAACGAGATGCGCCCGTTACGCGAAAGTCAAGTTTCGCCATGCTCGACGAAGATGCTTCAATCGCGATTCCAAAGCCGAGGTCACGTAGTGGTAGTGCTAACATTCGTGATGAGGCCCCGAAGATTCCGACTACAAAACGCTCTGCCACGGAAGGATCGCCTAAGAAATCGACGACGGGTAGGAAAGCTTCCACAGTCACAAAAGCAACCACACAGGGTCGACCAAAGACTCGGTCAGGCCCAGCTCCTCGAAGCGGTTCAACGACACGGCCAACCACCAGGTCTGGCGAAATGTCACCTATCTCTAAGGCTGCGCCAGAGGGTGATCCGCCATGGATGGTTTCCGCATATAAGCCTGATCCTCGCCTGCCACCCGACCAACAACTACTGCCTACCGTTGCAAAACGACTGCAGCAAGAGAAGTGGGAACAGGAAGGCAAGTTCGGGAATATATATGACAGAGAATTCCGTCCCCTTAATGATGAGGGTTTCCTGAAACCGCCTGAATCGGAAAAACCAAAGGAAGAGGTCGAGGAGAAGCAGGATGAATGGCCGCTACGCCCTGGTGCTAAGAGTCCGAACACGAGCCGCCCTGGTACGAGTTCTTATTCAACGATGCCCAAGATACAGGGTGCACATGCTATGAGTCCTCTTGCTAGTCCTCTTACGGCCCAACAACCGCAAACCCAGCCTGCTCCGAGCGTCAGAGTACCAACGCAGGTGGAAGAACCCCAAGAAGAAGACCCGAAGAAATCGGGTTGCGGTTGCTGTATCGTAATGTGACCAGTCTGGCACGGCACGCATTAATTTGACCTTTGACCTTTGGTTGTCTTCTACGGTTTGCAAATCATACCACCAACGTGGGCAAACGCCGAGATTAAACCTGCACGACGTTACGACTCTCTAAGACTTTATCGCATTCAGCGCTGCTTGATTTCGCCCACATCCTACCCCAATACTCGACTCTCCTATGTTTGCGGATTACCCTCTGTCATCTCCAGATCCGGTCTCCCCACTCACCGGACGGGGTTTTACAGGACAGACTGAAAGTTTCGGTATTTGCAATGTGTTTTTTTCTAGCTTTCTGTTTCAGTGTTTACAAAAAGGTTAGCGGCGTTCGCAGGTTTGGACAGTGTGCTAGAATAGCAGGGCGCACGAGTCGTTCACCTACCGATGGAGTCCCAGTTACCTTACCGTCGGCACCTATGTTTGAGATTACTACTGTATAATTTGCCCTCTGCTTCATTCTGCTCCGAGCTACTAGTGTTTGCCTTCCGGCGGCAAAGAGTCCCACTACCGTTTTGTTTTGAGTAGGAAAGACGTTTGAGGAATCCCGATTATGGACGGGTTTGAGGCCAACCCCCGAGTGCGCAAAGACTCTTATTTGGCAGTGAGAAGACGCGAGTGTTGTGTTGTGTTGAGTCGTTAGCTAGGTGATTTCAGATACCCCCCTAGCTGGCAAAATGGTTACCTTTTAGAGACTCGAGTGAATACAAATTCATATATCCAGTTTACCGCTGCTACTCTTCTGCAATACCTGAATATTTTCATCGCTCCTCTACCAGTTTCTTAATCGCGAGTTCTGGTTCAAGTTTCTCAAAAATTCTTAACATTCTAGTATTACTTTGGCTTTTACAGATCGCTTAATTCAGTCTTTAGGAATATAATGACAAGGCTACCTACCACGAACTATCCTTAGGTACGTACATGAAGAGCCCATATCCTGACCTACATTTTACTTGCCGCATACTTACCTGCCTAGGCATTAGGTTCTAACGGTAGGTACGAATAACCTTGGGGGATTCTGAAAAAGGGGTGGCTTTGTGCGATACCTACCTAGGTATCTACTCTTGAACTATGTGACTACCTGGTGGTTAAAAAATCATAATATGTATCTACCCACTATATTTAGTAAAATTCCCGCCGTTTTTTCCCCATCAGATTTAATCATTGGCAAAGGTAACGTACAACCAGTGTCCAAAAGCTCAGATTCACTGAATATCGTTATTCAGATCATCGCTGTCAATACTATGTCCTGTGAAAACGACTTCGAGCAACCTCACACAAACCAGGCGAGCTTGAAAGAGCATTTAGACTCCTTGCCGGTCAATCATGAATCACGGGAAAAGGGATTCATTCTACCAAATAAAAATTTGCTGTCTCGCCAACTTTACGGAACATGTGCCCCACTCACGCCGGAAAGTCGTATACGGTCCTCTTACTTCGTCGGCTCGCCCATGTCCAGCCTTTCTACGAGACTTCTACACCCGGAGGATCCACTCAGCGACGAAGACGGCGACACGGATAGCTGTGGGGAATCTTCGAGTGGCGGGGGATCGGATGACGAGGAAGATGGTGAGAACGTAGAGGACCTGCTGGGGAAACTTCGAGAGTCAGTAAAGGGACTCCGTTCTGTCTTCTGTGGCCATGAACTATGGGTTTGCTTAGTCCTTATTTTGTTGATCATTGATATTGTAATAATTATCATTCTCTTTCCCAGCTCCATACTTGGGCGTTTCGCTGCAGGTTATTAATCGTATCATTTTACTGGAGTGCTTCGGGAGTCATGGACAATCACACCTCCAATGTTGCCTACCTAGTAGGTATTAATGAATATGTCTTTGATAAGTACGTATCAATACTAAGATAATCTACCTACATAAGAATTAGCAACTAGATTACTAGACCGCAATGACAGATATCTACCTAGTAGGTATGGATCTATTTTGAGTTGAATGTCCCGTTAGGAGTAACATACTTATGGGTAGGTACCTAATGCTACTAGGTAGGTTCTATGATTCAAAAGATACAACTGACGTTAAGGTACCTAGGCATCTAGTAGGTAATCACCGGGTAGATGTTGTTTTTATTCGATTCAAATATTCTAAAGTTCCAAGGTTTCTATATACTTAGGTAGTAACCGAGAAAGTATTCCCATCATTCTAAATTATATAGGTAGGTGTACCTACCTAGGTAATCTATCCATGGATGCTATTTGCAACCATGCTATTCTTGATAGGTACATAAAAAAAAGGACACGAGTTTTTAATAAAAAGAGTACCTAGTTCTTACTATAGTTCTTTAAGATCCAGTACAAATACTTCCTAGAACTACGTCGAAATGAGGTGATAAACAAGGCATAGTTATTGATTAATAAAATGACTTCTTACCTAGGCACTTAGTAGGTAAACTCGCCTCCCATGTTCAGACCCCTCTAGTATCTTCTGCTATTATATTATATAAATTCTCAAAGTACATACCTACCTAGGTAGGTAGATATAATTGGTAGATGCCTGACCGAAACAGGTATATCTAACAAGGAGAAGAGAGTATCTCTCCGGTAATTCCTTTCCCAAGGCCCCATTTGATGCTAGGCAACGGGCTTTGATGTTTTGTAACCCAAGGCAAGCATTAACCCCTTAGGAACCTTAGTTACCATGACCAGGTCTATCATTTGTGGCCAACATATAAATTGATAATTCCACGTAGACCTTAGACTCTCCCTTCTACAGAAGCAATCCCACAAGACCTAAGACCACGGCGATATCCGGCCTAACCAAGACTGATACCGCGCCACCATGGATACTTCTTTTGACACACGTAGTGGCCCACCCGTCACCATGAGCGCTACCCATCCATCTTCCTGGAAACCAGCTATTGCGACCACGACTGGACGCCCTCTGGATCCTTGCAGAACAACCCAGAACTCGTCTTTCTGGCATAACGTCTACTCATATACTGGCAGTCCTTCCTCCAATGTAGATACGCTTCAGTCTTCGTTCCAGCCAAGGGACCTGTATATTAAGCCTTGGTATAACCAGGCATCGCCGAACTTCCCTCCCGGCGGGCAGATGTACACGGAGAAAGATATGGACGACTGGGAAGTCCTCGGCGATAAGCCCCTAGTCAAGAGCAACAACGGTGCCGATAATAAACAGCCTCAGACTATGGCGAACACCGCCTTCTCTCACATGCATAACAGTGATCACAAGCCTGCATCCCATTTGGTAGAGGGGCCTACAGTTAACTCACGGGGGTTCTATCCGCCTGCCCTCCAGAAACCAGCCATTAAAACCGAGAACATTGAGCAACCCATTAACTCGTTCTTGCGGGACACCAAACCCAAGGTCGAGGATGGAAGGAACGTCTATTACAACTCATTTCCGTGGAATGGATCAGACGTCTCCGATCTTGCCAGACGGGTAAACCAGCTCACGAGCGAGCGCGATTACCTGAATATGCGGTTCATGAACCTAGAGCTTGGAATGCGAAACGCAGCCAGTAACCGATTGAATGAAATCAACAATCTCAAGCACCAGGCCTCGACCGCCGCTTCGAGGAATGAGGTTAATGCCCTGTCTACCAAGCTACGCGACATACAGCTTGATCAAACTAACACCAAGAGGATCGACAGGCTGGAGAGTCGCATGGAAAAGGCCGAATCGCATATCGCTAGCTACTTCGCTAAGATGGAAGTCTTGAAGCAGCGACTGCAGGCCGTGTCGAAGGATAACGACGATACCGGTAATGCTAATGAGGACGCCGAGGGCAAGAAGTCACGCTGGAATGATATGCCAGAGCCTGATGCCTATATAATGCGCAGTGACATTGACTACCTGCTTGAGAAATTGGAATCTGTGCGTCGATGCGGTCCAGACAGTCTAGACAGTCTAGACGGTCTAAACGATCTAGGCGGCGAAGACAATCTATTAGAGGACGAGTAATCGCTGGTGGGTGGAGTAGCAATCTACCCGAGCCAAAGTCATGTTTCTTCCTTTGCACATGGTGAAGGGGGATAAGTAAGGCGGCTAGATGGTGGGATTTCAGACTTACCATCGACTTACCATCGACTTACCTAGTAGATGTAGCACAATACAGTTGTGTGCACACTGAGAATACTCAAGATTTCGTGAACTTTGTATTAACTCTGATTTTGGTCGTCTATATTGGTTGTAGGTACAGTGTCGGGTTTTGGAGTGGTGTCTTCTTCTGTAGACGTCTGAGCCACTTGCTCAGCCGTCGGTCTTTCTAATCTTTCTAATAGTGTCTCTCCCATCTGTCGATATGCTCGATCCGCATACGCAAGTGCAATACCACTTTCGTCTCTAGATCCGCCCGGTATCACATCCACAACTTCGCCAATAACGATGGCGTGATGATCGAAGTCGTCGTCCACAGGGGGTGATAGGTGACGGTATCTGCATTTTAACACGTGCGAGATGCCTCGACCCTTCAAGACTGGCAACGTGCCCGCTGGTGGTATTGCAACATCTTTTATGTACCCCCCTGACTTAACTGTATTGAGCACTTTCCTCCCGTAGTCCCCTGCTAGCTTCCACTCTTTCTGCCATTTCTCTCGTCCTATTACCCGGACGCCAAGACTTTGTAGACCCTCGAGCACCCCAAGATCTCCCCCATTTGCATTCTCAGGTGTCTTCTCCATCTCTTTAGACATCTGTGTGGTAGGCGGAGGCCTGTTACCTCTCGTGAATAGATCCGCTATCCTCGCACCGTGATTATCACCACTAAGAATATGGGCGTTGAACTTTCCACACTTCGCTAACGCCTTGTAGGTGGTGCTCGGCAGAGTGATGTTAAAAGTCACTCTTGGTACGGGATTGATGGATAGGGAGGTGAAAGAGGAGACGGTCATAGCTCGGGGGATCGGTGGTGGTAGTTTGTCATCTAACAACTCGTCAACCTTCGTAAGATTGCGTGTGTTCTCGAGAGTCGTGATAACGACTACAGGATGAGGTAGTTGTCGCATGACGGAGCGCATAGGCTGTGAAAGCCCATGCTCCGAAGGTTTCGTCTCATGGAGGCGTGACTCGGAGGCGGAGTCTACGGAAGACATATAATATGTTAAATATAGTAGATTATGAAGATTGGAGGTAATTGTATGCTGAATATCTCACCTCTGGAAGATTTGGCCTGATCTTCACTCGCTCCCCAAAGTCTTCCCCACGTCATAAAACTCGCCCGAGCTTTCGGTATCTTATTAATCCCGTTGAAGGAGACATGTCGTGATCTTACAGACTCAAAAGCCAACCGTAGACCACGGAGACTCTTCATCTCAGTCCATTGAAGACCAATGCTAATTTTGAAGCGGGAATGGGATCTTCCTATGTCGTCAGCGTTGTGAAATAATTAAGAAGCCCTAGTAGCGATAAAGACCATACCGATATGGATAAGATAAGGATAACGACGTCAATTCGCCAAGTCCGCCAGCCGGTACCGGTCCGGCACATCGAAACCAAATGAAATCCAATTGAAATTTCCAACTTGACCCCCACTAAAAAAGTGAAGCTTTAGAGATAAAATCACCAACGACAGAACCAAACCGAAAAGTCTATTCGCTGAGACTAAACGCCCTTCTCACCCCCCTTACGAATGACCACTAGGGTGCCACCCTCAAAAGAAGCTTCACAATGGCAACCCGACTCCCCGGCGCCCTTCCGCGGCGTCCAACTATATCCATAATACCAAGTTCAAGCACCGCACTCACCCACCCCTTGGCCCTCAAACCCTCTCACACACCGCTCTCGCACACTCCCTCGCGCGCCGCGACTATAATCCGACGACCGCGCCGCCCGTACGCCTTCACGCAGCTAGTACAGCAAACCGACGGGTCGACCTACACGGTGCGCACGACATCGCCGATCGCGCTATACAAGAGCCTGAAAGACACGCGGAACCACGTCCTATGGCAGCCGTCGGACAGCTCGCTGAGGAACGTGGAGGTGGATGAGGCGGGTAAGCTGGCCGCGTTCAGAAGACGGTTCGGACGAGGGTGGGATATGGAGAAGGCGGCTGAGCCTTCGGAGTTGGATAAGTTGGAGGCTGCTGCTGGGGGGAAGGAAGGAGAGACAGAGAAGAGCAAGGAGGTGGCGGCGGAGCAATCAGAGGATACGTTGAGTGATATGGTGGCGTGGTATGCGTTGAAGGGGCAGAGGCGGTTTTCGAGGAAGAAGTTTAGGGGTAAGGGGAAGAAATAGAGGATGAAAGTCTACGATCTGAAAGCCGGTTGGATGTCTACGGTGTCTATGGGAATTCAAAATGTCACGATGACGTAGGGGCTTATGGGCATCATGTTGTGGTGGCTTAAGGAGATATGTTAGGCGAGTAGAGCAACTCCTATCTACTCCCACAACACATGTATAAATACCTATGTATACACCTTGACACGGAACATCAATACTACACTTGCCATCTGTGTTGTATAAAGGATATCAAGTATAACACCATAACTAAGTGTCGGTACTACAAAAATATTAGGTCTAGTCCGAGTCGTCATCGATGGTAGCCCTGGCTCGATCTACTGCGGTATCTCCGCGGCCCGTAGATTTATCGCTGCTTTGAAACACGGGAGGACGGTAGAACACGGTCTCGTCGTCCTCGGCATCCAATTGCATCAGGAATGTTTCCCATTTCTCGATCAACTATTGGTGCAGTCAGTATCTGGGTCATGAATAGTATACATCTAATAAGTAATGATTTGCTCACCTCTTTCTGCGCCTCGACAGCACTCTCTAAGAATGTCTCGACTGAAGACTTGAAATCCTCGACCTTCTCCCTCTCGAAGCGGTCGAGTTCAGAGCGCATCAATCTTCCCATGTCGTCAAATAGTAACCTGGCTTGATGCACCTTGCGCTCGGCATCGGCTACCTCGGCGCCCACCTGGTTAAGTCGGTCCTCCTGGGATCTGCCCTGTCGGAGTAGTTTATCCTGAGAGGCCTTGCGCTTCTGCATCTCCGACTCGGCACTGTGCCATGAATGGAACGCCTTTTGTCGTTGAGAAAACGCCTGCTTAACACTGCCGATCAGCCGGATGTATTCATCGATTGTAATGCCAAAGGTGAGCACATCTTGCTGAGCTTGTCGGTCGTATACGTCTCTTATGGTGAGTTGTAGATCTGATAAGGCATCTAGCGGTCCAGAAAGCGTGGGACTTAGTTCCACAGTCGATAGAGCGTGAAGCGAGGCGGAAAATTCTCCAGCCGCTTCTGCCATAGCCTTCCGCTGATTGACCATGATATCCATAGACTTCATCAAAGCCTTGAGTTGATTTTCTAGAGCATCCAGATAAACACGTCTGTCATGGAACCACTGCGATTATTAGAAGCTGCATCTCTTGGGGGGACCAATAAACTTACATCATCTTGTTCAACAAATTTGCTGCTACCTCCGACGTTAATGCCGAAACTACTTAGAACACCTTTACTCTCTCCTGGTATAGGCTCCCTCCTTTCCTTGTGTTTGACATCAACGTTGAATGATTCGCTTTCCAAAAACAATTTCAAGTCGGGGTCATGTTGGAGTGTCGGATGAGCGGCGATCTTGTTCAACATCTTTTCTAGTGCCGCCCGACGAGACTCGACGAAATTACTCTCGAAACGGTTGAGGGCTTGTTTCTCGGGGGGCGGAGGAACTACTACGCCAGGATTATTTCCATGCATTGTGTTATAAAGCCATAGAAAATCACGGTATCTTCGCTTAACCTCGAACTCGGGCTGCTTGTACCCCTTCGATGTCGTCTATTTGTTGTCAGAATCATGATTAATGCGTAGCATCGGGGTAAAATCTATAATCTCTACCTTTGTGCGGACAGAATAAACAATATGCGAACTTGTTAAGTCCCCAACCTTGTGCGGGTCACCAACAGTAATTTGAAAACTGGGCTTGGCTGCCTTCTCGATGCTGACGCTCGGCTGGCCAGCGACTCTCACCGGGCTAGGTTGTGCAGCCTGGACAGGTGGAGGAGCTCTTGGGCCAAGAGGTCGATCGAAGTCGTCGTCGTCGATGCGATGGGGATCCGAGGGTCCTGTTCGCTTTTGCGCGGGCTGCGGCATGGTCGTTCGAATTACCATCTGTTCCTTCTGCGGCGGAACGGGCGGTTCGTCAGCTTGCGCATCTGCACCAGGAGTGGCATTGGCTCCGAGAGGACCTAAAGGACCAAGCGGATCATCGGCTGCCTCGAGTTTTGTCGGCTGGGCTACTAGACGACGTATCGGTCCTCTCGGGCCACGCCCGACCGGTGACTTGATGGATTGCGATTGTTGAGAGGATTCGGCATCTTGGGATTTGATCGAGCTGTCTATACGGGGTAATCCATATTAGCGACTATGTTTAATATTACCTAGAGTGGGATTTAACGAACCCTCTTGGCTAAAAGTAGGGGTTGAGGTCGACTGAGATGGGACATCTAATGATGGTTAAGCAAATTGCGGCTAATAAATCACGATAAGAGTATCATACCGCCCCAGGGTGAATCGCCTGCTTCTCCTAAATCCATGATTGGTGTTTTGAAGGTTGCGACAAGCTAGAGAACTTCGAATGTAGAAGTAAAAAAGAATTGAAGCTGCTTAAGGTTGTTAATTACCTAAGTAGGTACCTAGGCAGACGGGGAAAGCGTTAACCAAAGAAAGGATTCCGCCTGGTGCTGGGTTGGTTACGTTAGCACTCGGTTGTTGTTGCTGTTGCCAGTGCGGTGGTACTAGGGTGGGCCAGTGGCAGCTTATTCCGACCTCCAGTGGGGCACTGCCTATACCTAGTAGCCCAGGTACATCTATGGATACTAGGAGGACCCTTGGTATGGGTGTCATAGTTTTTGTCCCCCCCCTCTACGAAAATTACAACTTTCATAAATCTATATTTAATTTTTGTACATGAATACTGCTAATGTTGGGTAAGTACCTCTAAATAAGCATTGTCAATTGGAGATTCATATTAGACAACCTAATCGACAACCTAATCGACTTCACCCGTAACGACCTAGATGAGAGCTGATTAGGTAGGTAGGTATGAAGGAAGGTTAAATATCTACCACTACATCGTCAAGATCATATGTTCAAAATGAAGAATAATTCAAACTACCTGAATATAACCGAATCCAGACCAATTTAATATATTAAACTGAGCGAATTGCGTCAACCAAACCGAGAGAAACCGTACCCATGGATGGTATTTAACTCCTTCAACACCGCCTAATGCTAGGCTAGACCTTTACACATAACGCCGCACCGATTCGCGCAATCAACCTTAATAAACTACTTCTGACTTTCTGCTCCATTTGTGGTCGGGTTGACACCGCCCGCCTGAAGGACCCGTCGTAGAAATTCATCAGCCTCCTTCCAGAGGTCGGCCTCCATATCTTTTTCAACCTTGTCGCTTCGGCTATTGAGCCAGCCAACGTCGAGTCCGCCAATCTTTCCATCGCCATCAGGTTTGAGCGGAGCAGTGCGGCGACTGGTTGCCTGGACCTCACCGCCTTCACTGCTCACATTCTGGGTCTCCTTATCTAACGTGATGATGCCTTCCTCTTCGAGTCCCCATATCTGTCGTTTCATACCGACATTGACAGAACGTAGAGTTCGAAGGAAGTCATTCATAGAGTCTTGAAATATTTGAGCTTGCTGTTCCTTGTCGTCGACCATGTTAACATCTTCTCCTCGTGCCACTTGCTTGCCGAGGGTCTCGATAGCTTGTGCTGAAGAACGCAAGAGGCTGACGATATTCTGACTACACGTTAGTTGCGAAGATGAGATGACGGTATGGGTAACAGACTCGATCGATTTCACCTAACTGCTGGATACGCTCGGCCTTGGTGAAGGGCACAAACGGGGGTTGCTCTCCGTTTCCATCCATCCCGGGATTGAGGTTGCGGATGATACGTGAAGCTAGAGTTGTTATTGGAGAATTTTTGTTTATATAGATGAATGTGTATCTATTTCGCAGATGGTATAGAGTAGTTGTATTATTGGCTTCTGTAGGAAACTCTGAGAACTTTTCTTCGAACAATGCTAATGTAGTAAAGCTGAATAAACTACTACTAGGTATTACTTACTATGTGGATACTAGGTAGGTAGGTACCTAGTAGGTAGGTAGTACATATGTATCTGGGAACAATGATTTTCAACAGGTTATCGCATTTCTGCAAGGTGAAGATTGAGGCTTAATTGGACATGGGAAAGAAGGAAGAAGGAGTTATCAGCACTGTGTACCATGTACCTTAATAAATGCATAGATGTCCACGGTACATGCATCTAAGGTTTTTATATGATCTGTGCACTTGGCGGTAGGTCCAACCTTGCGTTTGTAGCTTTGTATCCGGTACGTACCCAATAGCATGGGGAAATGTACCTACATAAGTGGACCCAGACACAGCCTTATTCTGCACGTATCAATGTACCTCCATTCACGTGTTTCCTGCAAGCTACACCTTTTACTTTTGAGCCTCAACATCAACTTATTTAATCGCACCTGGTATACAGGCCACGCTATCTTCATCTCGATGACCTCTGAATATGCCAAAGTTACTGACAATATTGTGTAAAAAACTAGGCACCTAAGGTATTCTAAGTTATCATCACAATCCTAGCAGCTGCCAGTTGCCTTAGCGCCAAATTGAGGCATCTGGAGTTGAATCATCTTCAAGTTTTGACAGGTGTTGAGAGTCGAAAAGGTGTAATCATAATGTCAAACGCCGCACCTTCCAGTGCTGGTGGTGCAGTTCCAGGCAACAACTTCACAGGTTCCCAGCAGCCTGCCTCAACTTCTAGTGCTGCACCGACCACCAGCGCAGCGGCGTCATCCTCCGGGACAGCCAGCAATAATCAGAATCTTAACCAGATAGTTAGTGGTAACCTCTCTTTTTGATTCAGTCATCCCCCACCATCCCACTGTCCAAATCATTAATCATTATCGTTGTCTCTTCTCGTCACCTACCACATTACAGATCACCACGTTCAGTCTTTTATTATATAAACCTGAACCTGCAACCGCCCATTCACCGTTCCTTTTCACGAAATTATTCCCGATCGTTTTTTCCTGCTTTTGTTCACAGTCAACCTTCAACGAATGCACATATTGTGGAATCCCTACCACATTTTGCAACGCGTTTTTTTCTTCCTTTTTCGTAGACTAGTTATACAATTACTTCTTAGTATTGTATAACATGTCGCACCCACCCCTAAATCCTTCCGGCCCATCTCCCACTCCTACTCGCCCATCTCTAACCCCGTCTCGTCCATCTCTAGCCCCTTCCCGCCCACCTCTTACCCCTTCCCGTTCATCTTTAACCCCTTCTCGCCCAACCCCACGTCGTTCTCGCCCAACCAATTTGCCTTCTCGCCCGCTTCTACCACCTGCGCGCCCTTATCTGAGTCCTGCTCAGAACCAGGCCTTAGGGTTCGCTCCGCAGGAACCCCTCGATGATGGAGTACCTTCTAATCAAGTCGTACGCGTTCTAAATTTAGTTTTCTTATTTTCAAATAAACGAATTTTTTGAAATATACATGAGGCTAACCAACAACATAGGTGACGGATTATCTGCTTAAGAAGGGCTATCGGCGCACAGAAGAGATCTTCCGTCAAGAGGTTAAGGATATCGACGAGAATGGAAAGCCTAAGGAGAATGGTGACGGAACTACTTCCGCAAAGTCGTTCCCCGCTGGAAAATATCTAGCGGCATTCAAGCATTTCGACGTATGGGTTCAAGGAGGTCTAGAAGTGTACAAGGTAAGACCAGCCTCCAGTTGATTGTCAGGTTTAAATCATCTTACATGAGTATAGTTCGAGTTGAAGAAGTTTTTGTGGCCTCTCTTCATCTATTCGTATCTCCGATTGGTTAAACAGGGATCTTCTGCACACGCTCACGAGTTCATGGAAGAGCTGCGAGGTCGCTTCGAGAAGTCTCACCCAGATGAAGTGAAGACTTTAGCAACTATCACTCTACCTCCACATGTCCAAGACGCTGTGATTGCCACAACCTATCTGAGTAACCAATACTCGATCCCCCTGAGCAAGTCGTTGGCCGCAACCTTGTTTAGCTTTCTAGAACGCGAGTACGATCAAGGTGGAGGCATTATCATTGACCTCATCACTCAGCATATTCGCGTTGATTCAGTTGATCGCGGTCCCATCGAACCATTTAGCTTCGAGGCCATCTATCGCCGTTCTCGACAACAAGACCTCGATGAAGTTGACGTCCAAGAAGGTATTCCTGGTATGCCTGGCCACAGCGGTTTGATGAACCGCACCCTTCTCGATGAGAAGGCCATGCTCAAGTTAGGCCCAATCCAGATGGAATCGGAGCTTCGAGAGGATGTCGTTGCTGAACTTGAGGAGGAGGATAAGCTCCACCCACCTCGAGATGGCTATCGTTCATTAGTCGAAGAGTTCAATGCGATGAATCCCGTGAAGAAGGAAGCGGTCGATTCTCCCTCGGAGATTCCATACCCCCCCTCAAGGGCCAGAGATGTCGTGATGGAAATGCAGAAGACTCGAGAGAATCGCGACCGTTTCAAGATTGACACCAGTAATGGTGCTCAAGGTGCCGGAGTTACTATCCACATGTGGACATTCCACAACCACCTTGGAGCGTAAGTCTCCCCTTAATCAGTTCCCTTAGAATATGATTAGATGCTAACTTTTTCTTTTTTAAGGATCTCCTGCATGGACTTCTCTAAGGATCAGAACTACGTGGCTGTGGGGACAGTAGACTCTTATATCCGCGTTTGGAGTGTGGATGGAAAAGAGCTGAAGTCTCTCATCCCTACGGACAAAACGCGTTCGAATAACCGCAAGCTATTCGGTCATTCTGGTCCCGTCTACAGTGTGGCCTTCTCAGACGCGATCACCAACCTTGACCGTAATATCTACGAGGGTATGCCCCATCCTGAGAGTAAGCCCGACACGCGTCCTAGCTTACTTCTCTCATGTTCGGCCGACGGCCAGGTACGATTGTGGTCACTTGATGTTTGGGCCTGCATATGCATCTACAAAGGCCATGACGGCCCTGTATATTCCGTCTCTTGGAGTCCGTATGGTCACTATTTCTTAACTGGCGGTTGGGACAAGACCGTAAGAGTATGGAGTCAGGATCATTCTACGGCGATTCGTTTTCTTGTTGGTCACGACACCGCGATCTCTGCCATCACCTGGCACCCCAATGGATCATACGTGTTCTCAGCTTCTGATGAGATCGACAAATCCATTCGCATGTGGGCTGTTCAGGATGGGCAATGTGTCCGCATCTTCAACGGCCATGTGGAGTTCATCTCTGCGTTGGAATGCACCCCTAACGGTAAAATCCTTGCGTCGGCTGATATTGCCGGCAACATTATCCTATGGGACATCGAGAAAGGAACGCGCATCAAGCGCTGCCGTGGCCATGGTCGTGGTGGTATCTGGTCGCTTAGCTTTTGTGTCGAGAGCACTGTACTCGCATCTGCCGGACAAGACTGCACCGTGCGTCTCTGGGATGTAGAGATGCCACCCGAGGGTCGCGTCGTTAATCAACAGGATGGCGACAACATTAACGCGGCCGGGCAGGGCGACGCCAAGCAGCCTGGACAGGCGCAGTCCGCAAGTGGTGCCGCAGGCACGGGAAAGAAGAAGGGCAAGGAGGTGATGATTACACCGGACCAGATCAGCGCGTTCCCGACCAAGAAGACTAGCGTAAAGAAAGTCCAATTCACGAGAATGAATCTCGTGCTTGCCGGTGGATGTTATCAACCGGAGACCCAGGATGCCGGTCGTTAGGTTTCATTTAACCGGTACCATACTCTTACCAGGGAGACTCTATTCTACGATATAAAAACTCCCGTATTACAGAATGTTACGACGTTCTTTCGACAGATACCTAAGACTTGTGTTTTTGGCAAGCCTCTTGCAGGCCCCCAACCTGCTCTACACATACTTACCATCGATTTAAGCACGATGGCCTCTAGGTGTCGTTACGCAAACCCCTTTCATCACACTCGAGCCTACTGGTCGTTGTGATGGTTGTTGAGACTCGCTTGTATTAGCAGCCCCGAAATAGGAAGGGCTTGGAAGTTGATTGTCGGTCTGCAGTTGTGTTTGTCGCCTACCAAGTAGCTTAGCTACTTCGACATCACGCATGTTTGATCCTGTCTCTTTAGAGATAGTTTAATGGCAATCCCATATTAACATTTTAATCCCTGCTGCTTGATGCCGGGGCGTGTTTCTGCTACTCTAAGTAATTCTTCGTGAATCATGGTAAAACAGTCTATCTCCTCGCTTTGCCTCCGTAGCTCATGTATATTTTTTGTAAATTGCTCACCTTTTAGTACGCGCTCGACACCCTCTCGCACTTGCTCGGCGGACGGCGTTGAGCAACGTAGATCAACGCCGATTCCGGACCATGCCACTCGCCGTGCGTTCTCGGTCTTGTCCATGCCTTCTCCCGCTACAACCATCGGTACCCCGTTCGCGATTCCATGATTCACGGCGCCGAAGCCGGCGTTGTGGACCCAAACGTCCGCGTGCGCGAGCACTGCATCATAAGATAAGTAGTCGGCAATACGAGCGTTGGGTGGGGTTTTTAGACTGTGATCGTAAGTAGATAAGCTAGCGTCTTTCCATCCCAAAATAGCAACTACGAGGACATCTTCGCGCGAAGAAAAAGCTTGTATCGTAGGTATAATCAAGTCGTAGGGGTTAATTTCCACGGTCCCTTGAGCTACGACAACCACTTTCTTCTTCTGCGCACGTCGCGGGTCCGAAGAAGGGAGTAAATCCAGGGCAGAATTGGAAACTATCTCTCCCCACCAATCAAATGACGGATCTTTCGGTTTTGCCGTGGCGGAGGACGATTTAGATGGTCCCTGGACGAGCCCCGCGAACTTGAAGCCCCGCGGCCAGTCGCTGCGCGGATACTCGAACCCCGGGACCCCGAGCTGCAGGATAGTCTCGTGGGATGTGTAATTCGCGCCCGAGAGGAAAATCTGGTTTACCCCGCGACTCGCGCCTGCGTCTCGCAATTTGCCGTCTAACAGCGCAGTCAAATCACCCGCTTTCCGCGCCCAACTCCGCTCCCATAGTTTCTCGTTGCGCTCACGCCCCGTGGCGGTGGCGTCGAATGAGAAGGGATACCCCGCAGGCGGCAGGTCGGCGCTGCGAATCGCCGGGATTGTTACTGAGACGCATACGGACCCCCATAAGCTCTGCTTCCCCACGCTATCGTCCGGTGGCGGTAATGGCGCACCATAAAATAGCGGTAGAACCCCGTAAAAGAAAGCCTCAGCAAGCAACACAACCCCACGCCCCGGATCTCGCGCCTGCACAAAACGCAACGCGCGAGTGAAACAGTGCCATTGCGTCGGCAGCGGGTTTAGACACTGCTCTCGCAGGTCGATTAGCACACGCTCGGGCCACGGCAGGGCGGCGTAGTCGGGGAGCGGCGGTTTCTCGTAATACGACTTATCGTCGAGGTCCGCGTCGTCTATCAGCGGGATGAATACAGCGCCCGCGGCTTCGATGCGGTGCTTATGCACTGTCGGACCAAGGAAGAAGATATCCCAGCCGAGGCCATGCAGGGCGCTCGCTATGCGGATTAGCGGCGCGAGGTGTCCCGTTAGCGCGTGGCTGACTATTAGGACAGAGGGTAAGGGTTCGGGGACGGCCATCGTGAATTGTGTAGACTATGAAGTAGGGTAAGTAAGGATTCAGTAGTGACTAGGTTTTCTGTCTGATGGTGTTGGTGATGAGGATGATGTGACCCGGATGAATTGAGGCCTTTTCCACGTGGTTTGCTGACTCAGCATCGGAATAGCAAAAGGGGTGGCCTAGCCACCTATACACGCAGTAGTTAACGATAGAAGAACGGCAATGAGGGTAAAGGGGGAGGGGTATGAACAAATAGATAGATTCCGGATTGAAGTGGACGTTATTACAATTTTAGTTAAGAGTAGGCAGTGACCTACATAGAGGTAGGTAGGTAATAGGGGTCGAAGTCAGGGGTAAACTCCAGGGGAGATAAAGGGGTACAGTGATCGCATCTCATTAGCTTTTATCAAGTCTTATCCATCGCGTTATGACTTGCTAAATGAAATTGTAATTGTAATGAAATTCAAGGTCTTAGATTTAATTACCTAAGTACATATCTATCTCGTCTACGTGTATTAGTAGTAATAGTAGTTGATATTAACGCCGGGGGACCGCTACTTATGTAGCTATCCCAGAGCCTCCCTAAGGGCATATTAGGCGTGCTAGGCTAGGCTTCACATTTTATACTTAAATATAAGATCCTCATAACCCATTTAACAACTCATATCCGTAAACGCGCGCCGTAACGATTCCTGCTATATCCTCCTCACCGCCGTTTATAGGTAGTTCCCAGCTCTTAAGTATATCCAACATATAGGTTTCCCTTTCTTTACCTCCAAACGTGTCACCGCCGCTTCTTTATACCGCGAGCTCCTCTCAATATTGCCATCGATTCACCGGCCGTTTAAACATGTCCCTCAATAACTCCTTACGTTTATTAATAGGTATAATTCGGAACGCTCCATACGTTAATATTTATATTCTTCAAAACGCGGCACAAGGCTCTACCGCGCCGTATTTTAGATTAACACAATCACTTCTAGCAATAGTAACGCTAACAATAAACTATCTATTCATCCGTACGTTCGTAACGACTTCCCGATACTTATACACCCGTTACCCCTCGTACGTTTAACGTTATCGTCAATACAAATGTTAAATTCTCTTATCGAAAGAACAGCATTTTGCCAAATTTTCGGCAATTATTAGGGCCATAATAGGTTATGAGTCAGTTTTATATAAAAGTTAAGTGCGCCATTTACTGATCCACTACCGCCGCACTAACAGTAGGCGCCAAGACTGGTAGTTAAACTGGGGAAGTTATCGTCTACGTGTATGACCCTTAGGACTTCTCATTAAACCCCTTAGTGGGATCATGGAAGTCTAACTCCATTCCAGATCGCGGGCAGCGGTCTGCCATTAAGTAATAGATCCTTCCTTGACCACATCAAGTCATCAGAAATAATGTATTTCTTTAAACCCAGGGGACTCTTATCGATTCTTAGGCGACCAACTTTGACCAGTCTTAAGAAGTAAGCTGCGAGACCTGCCGTAATCGCGGCAGCTATGGGTTGGTAGGTAATTAACAATACTTATTAGCAATCAAAGCAGTCATGATCGGAAATAGGTATCTTAACTAACCACATGAAGTTCCTTGCGCTGACCTATAGATGCCTTCCCGTTCATTTTCGAACATGGTCCACATACCGCGGTTCCCTTCGGCGCATTTGGCGTATCCTGGTGCGAAGATATGAGGGAGACCTTGATCAAAGTCACTCTGATAAACCAAATCGAACGTGGTGGTGTGTACGCTTCTAACGACCAAAACCTCGGGGATCGGGTTGTAATCATCTCGACCATAGTTCGCGGGAAACCCGTCAATTGTAAACTGGTCATACCTAGTTAGCATAGTGGGCTAATTTCTCTACTAAGGGATTAATTTGGAAAAAGTATTTGAGATACAGACCTCGTACCCATTTCCAGCTCCCATTATAGGAAGCGCGCCCTTTTCGATGACATCTTTTAAGAGAAATCGCATTCGGGCATCAAACCCAGCTGAGCAGTCCTTCCCATCTCTCATGAATGAACTTCTTGGAATATAAAAGGCCAATAGAAGGATAGCTTTCGCTTCATCGCTTTTCTCTGCTAGATGATCGTTTACTTTACTAATACCTTCAAGCCAATCTTCATTCGTAGGGTGTCCCGACCTGTCTCCAGTAGTACCGGTTGGTATATGTCTACGAGGCATTCGTATTAAATAAGGCTTTACACCCTTAGACACACCCAGTATACGGCCTGTGACGAGGCTAAGCATAGATGTTCCGTGCGCTTTCGCCGTGATGAATTGTTGGGTAGGGTCAGTGCTCGAGTCATCCTCGGCATTTCCACCGCTAACATCTGTACCCACGTGAAACCATTCGACATCGCCACGGACTCGATCGAATTCCTACTCATAAATTAGCTAGAGGAAAGAGCTAGGGCTCAGAGGCATGAAAAGTGCTACTTTATGATCTAGAGTAGCCCCAGTGTCTACGATGTAGACCGGGACACCGTTTCCAGGCACAGGATCAGCATCGTCAAACCAATAATCATGGCGATAAGATTGCAGCGATCTTCCTGGCTGTTGACAAACAAATACAAGATGATCGAACAGTACTTCGCCAGATCCAAGCCTTTGGCAACCATATGTAGTCGTCCAGTCAAAGGCACCCAGACTGGGGTTGGAGGTATCTTCTACTAATTGTGGGTATATCGAGGCTACCTAACATATCGCCACGTAGGTAAGTAAAGTTAACATTCTAGAGATTAGTACTGAGGCTCACCTCGTGCGCCAACTCTACAGCAATGATATCGGCCTTTCTATGAGCCAAAGTTGCAAGCCAGAAGTTAATCCCTACCGTCTTAGTCCGAGACGTGTAGTGTCACACGGGGATTGGTGCCAAGTATTGTTGGTATCAGGATAGATACTGTTGGATGATTGTATATCATATCATTGGAGACATAACTGATCAGAAGGACATACTGATGCATGGAGGAGTTATGCATCAGAACCAACACGAGATTGTCGGGCGCTTAGGACCTAATGTAACTCCAACGCTCACTGGATAGATTGTTGTTAAATAGGATCGTAGATTCCCCTTCGAAAGAGGAGGAGAGGGACTACGGACCTTAGGACCCTAGAGAATTATTACATTGATTTCAGAATATTATTCCAAGCCCTGATATTAGCCCTTGTCACATGTAGATAGTTGAGGGATCACTACACTCCCTTAATTTATTCTCTATTAAACTAGTCTGGCCCTTGTCCGTTCCATCCTTAGGGTAGATTACGTAAGTGGTCTCTACATCGAAAAGAGAGGATCTCCTTGCCATTTTCTGGATTACTGTACGCAATATTGATGAAGAAAGTACCGCTTGAGATAATTATTACCTAAGATTTTTTAATCTATGTAGATATACGTAAAGGTGAGATACCTACCTGTTTACTTGTGAGCTATCTAGGTAGGTATGGAGTTAGTTATATACTTACCTACCTACCTAGGTAGAGAACCCTAGTAAGAATAACCTGTTTTGTATTTAGTCATAGAAAGTTGTTCAACTAGGTATGTGGAAACTATGGGCAGCAATGTTTACCCAGCACACATATTTCATGATTCATGGAAACTATTAAGGTAAAGGCACCTACCTAGGTAGGTTAGTAAGTATCGCCTTACGGTATCATTCGTAGAAGTGTGATTTCTTCCAGTGCGCAGGTGGGTTTCAACCTCTTCATTCAGTAGGTACGGTATTTGTGATAGTGCCTATTTAGCAAATACCAAGTGTAGGCAATCATATCTGATTTACTACAGATCTGACTTGGACAGTAGGAACCTAAGTGATTGACTCCTAGAAATATATACCGTTGATAACATATTATAAATAGTGTCATCTTATCATATAACCTACCTGATAAGTATCAATACAATCGGCATTACAGTATAAAATACCTACTCATGTCCGTTATTGATTTTCTGGTATTGTACCTAGGTAAGCTAGGCCTATTCCTTTACGCCACCAAAAATCACCGTTGCCTATTCTGCAACCTGCCAGGTGTGCATGTCCCTTACGTACCTTTACTTGATCCCTCGCATGATCCAGCAGCAAATTCGATGCTGATCTAAACAATTTATCGTATTCGAGAGCAGAAAGCATTGATCAAATTTTGAAGCCGTCATATATGATAGCCGATATAGACCATAACCGACAACTAACAGGGGAGTCGCAATCTCCATATTTGGCTTCATACCTACCTAGGTACTTAATCAGAAGTTCCTTGTACTCATTTATATGTGGTGTCGTGCGCTCAATCCTTACCCGAACAGCAGGAAGAGGATCAACATGGCCTAACGGCCCTAGGTCCATGCCGCTGAAAACAGTATACTGCGCCACAGCTTCCAGAGGTAGTGTACCTACTTTTCTACCTGGTGGTAATGAAATGGGTTATCACGTGACCTAGACCAAGCCTTTGTCTCTTTGTCAAGGACACATTAAACTGTCCCTCTGAATGGATACTAGTCGTCTTAGAACCTTATTTCTGAATATTTTGGAAGAGGGCGTCATGAAGTTGATAGGAATAACCGATAATAGTGAGAGTTTCTATATATAACAGGTACCGAGTAATGCGTCCACACAGATTCTCCCTATAATTAGTATGATGACTAAATTTTGGATAGAATAAAAGTGTGGCTTGATGACCTAGTACCTAGGTAGGCAGCCTGTGGAAATTAGTATCACTTTGTTCTATAACAGCAACTAAGAATGGTATGATATTTGATGTAGGTTTTGTACTCGTTGCAAGGTGTATATTAGTCCCTTTGTTTGAATTGTGATAATAATAGAATTATCTACCTTGGTATCTATCGACAATGATCTTTTGGGGGTTCCCATGTTATTCATTGTTCTTCTACTTATATAATGTCAGGTACTTAAGTATTATTCGTTGAATTGCTGATAAGAAATAGCCTATTTACAGCGGAATAACTTTAGCATAATGGAACCTTCCTACTCATATAATATCCTGGACATCATATCACTGATGACCGAGTGTGAAATGGTCGAATCAAATGACGATGAGTTGATCTCGTCATATTTTGAATTAGACCAGGCCTCGGCGCCGTCTCCCAATAGCCCAGGAGGCTATTCTGATGCTGGTACGTTTGATGACAATATTCCAGGGTTCGAACCTATAAGGAAAAGAGAGAATGAATGGAGTGAATCCGAATGCGAGCAGGACCTCGAGGAGAACTTCTCTGGTGGTATGGGTGTCTATCTATGGCCGTGGAGTTCGCAAGTATTCTATTCAAAAAGACGACCAATGGAAGAGGTCTACAGTGGCCTGGGGATCTATAAACATAAGTCTCGCAAGGTTGAGAAATATCGAGGAGATATCCTGCCTAGCAAGCATTCTGGAATAGACTGGAAGAAGGAACTTCGCCAAGTCTATCGGTCCACGTAAGATTGTAGGGACAATATATAAGTGCATAATTAATTCCTTTGTATAAATTATTCATTAAATCATCCACAAAAGAAGCTGTCTCGGATGACGTACCACATCTTCAACTCTTGAAAGTTGCCATCTGACTCTTCATATTAATAGTACCTGGGAAGCTGGTGGGCGATATTCAGCTCTAGGTTAGCTAATTTAGAGTTTTCATGTATAGGGGCTTTAGGGACTATTAGGGATTAGATTTACAGAGGTCTTAGCGCATTATCGTGGTGCCTACCTGTACCAGGTATGCAGTTGAAAAACTAGGTACAAGGTAACCTACCTCGTTATAACCATGCACTAAAGTCCCCTGTAAGGTAAACGTGTTCAGCTCCAGCTGTGACTAAATCCTACCACCAGGTACAGTCGCAGGTGCTATTTCCGGATCCTAAAACGCCTAGTCCTAGAGGCTTCTACGCTGTATACCTAGGTAGGCATCATTTATGTGCAAAATCTCTAGTTCAAGCCACAAAGCAAGGCCAAGAGTTGATGACTAGATCTAGAAAAAAATATTAGAATACGAATACCTGCTGACACATCATGGCATTGTTTATTTCTATAAGCCATAGCACAAGAATGGTCACCTGTCAGCATAATCCGGCTGCACATAAGCAGCTGAAGGTGCGGGCGGGAATGCCGCCGCTGGACATCAGATCGACACAACCGCTCTATCGCGATGATGTGACGAGCAATTATTATGTTGTCTAGGAAACAAAAGGCGCACACTCGTATACTAGCTCTGACTAAAGAGCTAGTAGCCTAAGAACACGCCATGGTCGGCAAATGTGCTCTTTGCATGCGATATCCACCAATAAAGGGGGAAGACATACATATCACACCGCCCTCTTTCACTGTCCTACTTTTACACCAGAAGAAGTAAATGGTGGTCAGCATCTCACGGAAAACGTCCGATCTTGAACTATAGAGAGTTTCAGCTGAATCAAGCACATGATAGGTAGGTAGGTAGGTATGTATGTAGCGTTGATATACGCCGCGTAGACCTCTACAGCATAATATACAGCATGTAGATAGGGCTATAATAACCGAGGTGAACGCCTCTTAACTTTATCGCCCCAAGTGAAATAATATATACCTACGGTAGTCATTAGCAACATGGCAACTATTGAAGGTATCAGTGGTAACCAGTACGTCCCTGGGACGAAAGTCTACAATGACGTCAAATACCAATATGCTACGTCAACTTACGGTGAAGAGCGTGATCTCAACCCAGGATTGATCGTACAGCCCAAGACGAAGGATGATATAGTTCTAGCACTGAGATACGCAAAGGAGAAGGGGGTTGCAGTAGCTATCAAGACAGGTGGCCACCAATATAGCGGAGCCAGCTCTACAAGCGCTCCGAATATCCAGCTCGACCTCGAAAACTCGTTTAGGGGAGCTGACGATCGAACTATCTTTGAAAAGGATGGGAAAGCGTACGCCCGGACAAGCGTTAGCTGGAGCCTTGGAGAGTTTAATGCTTGGCTTACTGAGAACAAGAAGTTCGTCCCACACGGTCAATGTACTGAGGTTCATGTTGGCGGGCATGTCCAAACCGGAGGTATGAGCTCCCTTCCTGTACAGATTTCAGACATAATTCTGCCACGATAGGGCAGAATTAGCACTGCAGAACAAGCTAACTGAAGTCACCAGGTTATGGCCAATTGGCGCGTAGCTTTGGCTTATTCGGAGACCACGTCCTATCTCTCGAAATCGTAGATACCGACGGCAATTTCAAAGAGGTCACTAAAGCTACAGACCCTGATCTCTTTTGGGCATTTCTAGGGGGAAGCCCCGGTAACCTCGGCGTCATAACCCATTTCACTATCAAAGTCCATCGCGATCAAGATTACAATGGATCTAGAGGCATGAAGGCAATGTACTTCTACGATACGAAGACACTGAAACGTCTAATTGACATCTTGGTCGAGATGTCAGACAACGATAACTTCCCTCGCAACTATGACTTCTGCATCAGCGTGCTCAGCTCTGCATTCCCGCTTCTCGATATATGTCCCGGCATAGACGAATGGATGGCGCGGGCACACCCGGAGCTGTATGGCAAAAACGGTCTCATCGCCTGGCCGCGAACTATAGTCGTGTATGCGCAATGGGTGCCGTTTGAGAGCGGCGACCAGTGCGATATGTCGTGGTTTAACCGAATCAAAGAGGGCTCTGACTGGATCTTGGGAGACAGCGATGTCCAGGAGAAGCCCATGTCGCAGCTGACGGGCGACTGGATCTTCCGCAACGTGAGAGAGTTCGAGCACCCCTACGAAAAGAGAACCTATATGACGCGCTCGCGCACATTGGCTAAAGATGGCTGGGCTGACTGGGTTGTTGGTCGTATCGACGATATCGTTCGTCCCGAACACAATAAGTGCTGGCTATCGGCGCAATTGCAATGCTTCGGCGGCAAGAACTCGATGTTCACACGAAATGCGGATAATGGAACGGCATTTAGTTGGAGAGATACGAGCATCGGGTGTACGATGGACGCCTTCTATGCCGAGGAGTCCAAGGCACGGGCCGAGGACTGGCAAAAGGTCAATGACAAGGAGGCGATTGGACCCAACGGCGTCTTTTCGAAGGAGGATCGCCGCGTTTTGTGGGGATCTTACGGTGAATGGAATCTCGATGCTGTTTGGAACACTTATTTTGAGAATAGGGCGAAGTATGAGAAGTTGCAGCAGATTAGGAAGAGGGCTGATCCAGATGGCATCTTCACGCCGAATCCCTTTTGCGTCAAGCGGGCAGACTGATAGGGATGTTGGTGTTACAGATAGGTAGGTACTTATCTAAGTACCTAGGGTGTGTCTCATAATATTAATATCTATATCTTCTCCTATTCGTACGTTCATCAAGCCGCATCAAGCCTCCTTGCAGAAGTCCGAAAGCCCGGTATGCAGCATCCCAGCACACCGCGCATTTTACGCGGAACTGATTCCCTGTCGGGATAAATGCAGGTGGATCTAGATCGAGATCATAGTCAGATGCATCTCTCGGTTGACCTTCCGATCACCTAGCGTTGCCATGATAGGGCATAATAAACATTTCATTAAAATCAGCTGAGGTTCTTTATCCCAACTCTACACCACCCTTGTGAACGGTATATCCTCTATCCTCCATCCTCCATCCTCTATCATCTACCATAATCTAGTCTATCCGTCTAAGCCCATCCAATTCTAAATAGTTTGTATCCACTCTCATCACCACGCCCAACGCCGTGAAGCTTTTCTACGTTTTCTATGTCTAGAATTTCAAGGTATCGTCCGTCCGGAGTTTGGGGGTTTACTCCCTGAAAGGCAGATTCAACGGAATGGACCACTGCCCCATGGCGGCCACTAGGGCGTACCGTCATTAGCAACCAGAATACGCCTCCAGGAGCTAGAAGATGAGTGGCGCAAGCCCGCAGCCATTGTGCGTGTCTCAAGTCATAGATCACATCGGTGGCTATCAGCATATCCGCGGGTGAATCAAGGGGCGCCTCCAGAACTGGGGCAGACCAATCGAGAGCGCATGTTTGCACGCCTGCCTTTAAGGCATTGATTTCTAAATTAGCGAGCACCGTGGGATGATGATCTGTCGCGATCACTGTCGGATTGGTGATACCAAGGAAAGGAAGGGCTTTCGCTAGCACCAGGCTAACTAGCCCTGTACCAGCACCGAGTTCGATGATACGTGACGACGAACCGAGTGTAGGCCGTGTGAATCCGAATCGCGCCGGTGACGCGCATATTAGATCGGAGAACACAACCGACGCTCCCCAGGTCTGCAGCCCGACGTCAGAGTGCGTAGTCATCGAGATGTCATTTAGTCGCACATCAATTGCGACTTTATCGCCAACACTACGTCCACTAGTTTCAGGAGAACTTGGGTTCGAAGACAAATCCAACGCAAAGGAAAAATTGCGTATCAACCCAGTATCATCTTCATCTTCCTCATCCACTGTCTTGGAAAACGAGGCCAGCACATAGGATGCTTTGTCAACGGCTCGTTCGCGCTCATCATCGTCACTCAGGGGCAGCTCATCCGCACGTGCGATAAGGGTGGTTAGCCAGCGAATGGCGAAGTTGCGCTCAAAATCATCAGCACGCAGCGCATCAAGAGCATCCTCTCTGATTATGTCTTGCTCATGTCCGTCTATATCCCCGTCCTCAGATGCGTAACCGGAATCAATCGGTTCAACTGGTACATCGTCGTGCACTTTTCCCAATTCAAACTGCGATGTCACGGCTCGCGACAAGGATACGGGGAAATATAGCTCGTGTAGATTGTCTAGCGCCGAGAAAATCTGTTCACTAGTGAGTGTGATTGAACGAAGGAGCGGCAGGCTGCTCGTGGGAGACAGCAGATGACCCGCTGGGCTCATTGGAGTCCTCGACAAGACTCGTGGTCCGCGTGGAAAGATATCGTTGCAAATGAATGACGAGAGAAAACATGAAGCAAAAAAAGAAGGTAAAAAAGCCGAATTAAAAGTGAGGATTTTAAGAATAGTGAGTAAGGTGGATGAGTTACTTGGGGCCTAGACCAGGCCAATCCCGGGTATGACCCACCTACCACACACAAACTTGTCGCTATCGTGAAATTTCTCGGCGATAGCGGTGAGTACTAAAGAAAGGAGCCTGACTCGTGTTCCCATGTGCTTATCCGTTGGATCTTGTCGTTCTGGTTCAACCCCTATCTCCTATGACAACTTCATATACACGATAAGTAAACAATCCGATTTAAGCATAAATATTAAGTTGGTGGCGAAGATGGCTTAAACCATAACCCCTATTTTCTTCTCTCCCATTTACGATATATATTGATTTATATCTGTGAATAACTTGATTACTATGCGAAATAACTCTGTCACAATATTAATATCATTATTTGACGTGCGATATTTTATATTCCAAGGAAGGTAGGTACCTCGTACGAGGTAGTTAGGGCCTATACATATATACCCTCCGTCAACCTCATCATTTTAGCTAACCAAGATATGGAAAAGGATTTCATTTAGGATAGGTATTTAACTTTATCCTCCCATCACAGTCAAAGTGTGAACAAATCGAAGCTGCCCCTTCTCTACTCGGAACTCGTGGCTATCGGGGACAGTGGCAAAGTCAATGAATACGTCGACGGCACCAAGAGTCTCGTCAATGACATAGCGACGGTTAACTAGTCGAACGCCTGCAGTTCCAGAATTAGTAACCTCTCAAATATATTTGATCTCTAGACGCTTCGAACTTACCGCTAGGAACGCCGACATTGCAGCTATCGTTTTCGGAGCCCGTTCCGGTGTAAGCACCACCCTCGAGACGAGCGCATGGGTGTCCCCAGGGCACCTGCACGGATTTGTCGTTGAAGAGATCAGCGTATGCATCGGCTGCGGCTTGGATCACTTCTCGGGTGTCCCGCTGGTCCTCCGGGATCGGATCCCAGTTTTCTCGAGAAGCCCAGTAGAAAGTGCCGGTAGCGTTGAAGAGCCAGTCTCCCTGGTCGGTGACAAGAGTGCTGATGTTTGCGATTTTGCCCTCGGCGAAGCGCATCTGCGTTCCCAATACGTACGGGTGGGTCCTGTCGGTGACAATGATCTCGGTGTACGTCGCGCATTGAGTGGTGTCGTGAAGACTGCGGTTGAAGTCAATCTTCAGGGGGTGCGAGAGGATGCCGGTTGCGATATCAGCTGTCTTGAACGATTCCAGGTAGGCGACTGTGTCAGCTAGAGGAGCTACGGCATCGGGCGTCCCCGCAGTCTGTGCTGCCAAGAGACTGTCCGTGGCAGCGATGAGGTCTTCACGGGTACATTGCGCCGCGGCTTGAACAGCCAAAAGCCCTACGGCGGAGAGCGCAAATCTAAGCATCTTCAAACTGGTCGAAACTAATTGATACCGAATAGAAGGATAAGAGGAACGTAAGACAACTACATTTCTTACCTTGCGGTGAGTCGGGGTGAGCCCCTCTAGATATAAATTAGCAAATGATGTTTGAATCGGCAAAGGTGATGATAGTGTCGTACTCAAAGAGAATAGCCATATGAATTTTGTGTGGGGTTGTCTTCGGCAATTCCTTTACCCAAGACCCAGGAAGAGGGAGGCAATCCAAAAGTCCTGGAAGATCATCATCCGTACATCAAGTCTAGATATTATTATAGCAGCTAATAATAGGCCTTTCCACTTCTGTCGCTTTAATTGCGAATGAACTCAATTTAAACGATCAAAATTACTTAATCCGTGAAAGCATCTACATAGGTCGGGGTAAGTCTGTACGGCTTTGGATTCTTGGACGGGACATTGTCATAGTGAAGAAGATGACGAATGATCGTGAACATACCTGGGTAATTTGTTTTCATGGTTACTAGGTAGGTAGGTACCATATCGTAAATCATTTTGTACTTACCAACCTTAGGTATGATACTGTGCTTTTCGTTAATCTTTCATATAGGTACCTACCTTGGCCAGGCCTTACCTAGGTACGTTTATGAATTGTGAGTTATTCCGCAGCACGACCATCACTAACGATTAGCCCCCGCAGAAAATATCCATGGATACGCTCACCGTTAAGTTGTAAACTAACTCTACACATCTACATAGTATAAGAGCTAGGCAAGTTTCTAACAAAATTATCGCCGTCACACCAGGATTCTGTTACATACTAGTTCCTATAACGCCGTAATAGATTAATTATTATTATATCCCGTGATTCCGTAGGAAACGTGAGCGCCTAGATAGAGGCAATGGGTGTCGCAACCGATACTGGTTTCATTGCATGGAGTAATCCAAAACATGCTATCATTTCACCTCCTTTGAGACGCGCTTTGTGTGGGATAAGCGTTAATTGGGTACCTAGGTAGGTAGGTAGGTAGGTACGAAGGATATGTAATTTTTGAACAAGTTGCAAGAATTCGCTGTTTAACATAAGTTCTTCTGAATGAGAATGCCACGAGATTAATTATTCCCTACATACCGTATTATTCCCTAGACTGGAGCTGACCGCTAAGCTCCAAGGCTGTTAGGTACACCTGGACGTAGATCAGGGGCTAATGACGATAGTCTTAGCGCACTGAGGCGCAATTGGCTTTAGCTTCTCAGACGTTATTTAAGTCTGAACGCGTTACCTACGCGTTTCAAGTTCAAGTAAGAAGGATACAACTGTCGAATAGGTATTTTGAAGAAGACGTGATTCAATATGAAGGTTAAGCCATCAAACGCTGCCAGCGCTCCAGTAAGGAATCCCAATGTTAATTATCCGAAAAGTCACAATACCAACATGCTAACGTCATAACTGCAGAAGCGCAATGCCCTCGGCGATGCTAGCAATCGTGCGAACCAATCGCCCTCGAAGGTGACCAAAAAGAAGCCATCAACCGGCAAGGAGCGTGAGAAGGATATCAGCTTCGAAGAATATATGGCCGCTGCTAGACAACAATTCGAAGAGGCGCAGAGTTTCGGACCACGGCCGACCATTGCATCGGGTAACACTAAACGACCGAAGGCAAAGAGTGCAGCCGCGAGTGGTGGCGCATCGTCATCATCGAACAAGAAAGGAAAGGCGGAAACAACGCTGGAACAGGAGATCGCGGTTTATACGCAGAACCTTGATGACCTGATATGCACGAGTGCCTTTGAGGACGACCCGTTACCCAGTTGCCAGACCGTGCGAAACCATATCCACAAGCTACTCGATGCCGGTATCATGACGAAGACGGATTTTTCGAAGGCTATTGGATGTCGAAGTGTTAATACCTTGAATGCATTTCTAAGACAGACGGGTTCGAACGGAGGAAGTAGTAGTGTTGTGTATTTCAACGCCTGGGCGTGGTTCCGACAGCGTGAGGTTGCGAAGTTGAAGATGCCGGATATGAAGAAGAAACAGGCGCAAGAGGCTGGTGCTGCCAGTGGTTCTAGCGCCGGCGGTTCGACTTCGAAGACGGCGGCTGCTAAGTCACTTCCCGATATCAGTCACATCTACTTGGGTGGCGAGGACGAGGACGATGTCAGCGTGTGGGATACCTGCGACGAGGTCCGCAAAAAGATCAACGCACACCTGAGGACGTCGGGAGTGACACAGGCCCAGTTCTGCCGCGACATATTCGCACAACTCCGCCAGCCCAAGATCAAAAGCATCCAGTCGAAGCAACTTTCCGACTTCCTCCACGGTAAGGGTCCCAGGACGGGTGCCAAGAGCACGGTCTTCTACGCGGCGTGGGTGTACTTTGAGAAGCTGCGCATCGCGTCCGGCAAGCCGAAATCTAAGCATCGCGAGGATATGGAGGACATCTGGTCTTGCATGGGTGGATTCGATCGTACAGCTGATAATAGGACCTCGTAAGACACACTTTTATTGACAGGAATAACTTGACTTTTGCTAATTGACTTCTAGATTCGTCGTTCGTGCAGAGTCCAATCCACGCATGGATCGTTACGGCCGTATCTTCGGCTGATTTTAAGCGCCTAGTAGATCTAGTGAGTTGTATCATGCTGGTTCAAGATGTTTAGTCAAAGGATTATATTTACCTATTAAATAGGTGCCTGGTTATATAGAGTAGAGTCGGATATATTTCTAAATCGCAAGATATTGCTGTCGTCGATACGCCAAAGACTTTATTCCAAGCGGAAAAAATGTGATCCATGTGCTAATTCTACCGTGTTGGACTCTGGTCGTGTAAGTTGCCTTCTAATAGATTGCGTGATAAATCTAAACAGATGTCTCAGATATCCAATCCATACATATTTACAGATACGCGCGCTATGTAAATGAAGAGATCCCCCTGCTGTTGTGTTTTCGTTCAAATTCATGTTGTGTCGTCATCAGATTCTTCTGTAATATTGAAGTCCCACAGCGGTAAGGGCAGCTACTGTGACGGCTCCCGTGTAGATCGGCCAACGATAAGATCCATGATCTTTCGAATGCCTAGATTCGTCCGTAAGAGGATAGTACTTATATGGAATCTGTAATGTTTTGGCCAACGACTTCTCCTCTAGCCATTCAAGGACGGGTACTCGGGAAACGACTGGCCCCCAGATATAAACCACGCCGATATACGCCAGGTTAATCCATGGTGCGATATATTTACACATAAGTTTGTTGAACGGCGTGAGCCATGCAGTCTGTCGAGCGCGTCGAATAGAGATAGTATGAACGGCCGACTCGTCTCCCAGTCGATCCTTCTGGTAATTGGCAAATACGGCTTCAAGCTCCTTCGTGGTAGGCGACGGTTCGGTCTCGAGCAGGTTTCGAAGCATGTTCACCAGGACGACCATATCAACAAGGCCGCTGTTGTACCCTAGACCGGCGTGTGGCTCCAACTTTCGTACTGCATCACTAACGAGAACGATACGTTTCCAACTCCATTTGTCTACTCGACCTTCCTCGAGATGTATCAACCCTACATCTCCAACATGCGTGGAGTAGATATCGCGGATTCTGTAGCCGGGAGCCGCATACAGATGTCCCCATTTCTGGATGACTGCCTCTTTATCTTTGTCAGTGTACCGGACCCGCTCAGAAGTGGGCTTGTCGAGAGCCTCGTAGATCGCGAACCATGCTTGGTTCTGGCCAGTGACGACCTGGGTCGATACACGCTCGGTCGAGCATTCATGATTGCGACCTTTTCCCAGCCCAAGCGGGATGGGAATGTTTCCAAATAACATCCTATAGGTAGTGATAAAAGGACTTTTGGCACCCTGCAGCTTCTCGGGAGGTGGCTTGCCCTCGGCCAGGGCCTGCATGCACTGACGGGTCCTGCTGTGAACACCATCCGCGCCAATGACGATCGAGCCTTTTACGATAGTGCCGTCGGAACATTCAACGCTCACTTCATCGTCAAAGACGTTCACATTAACAACGCGCTTATTTACCTTGATTCGACTTTTCGCGTCTTCAGGGAGGGTATTGTACAGAGCCTCGATGAAGCGGGGCCGAGACGTTATCTGTAGTCTATGTCCGTGGCTATTTACGATGGCTGTCAATATCTTTCTATACTTTTTTTTTTTTTTTTTTTTAGTTTCAAAATGAGGACGGTGGACCTACTTTTTCTCTACAATGGGGTTGGGATCTAATTCGGAATAGATAGTGCCATCATCGGCCGACATCGTAATGCCGAGATTGATCTCGTCCATGACTGACATCATGGTATCCAGAATTCCCAACTGGTCGAAAATACGGAAAGTGGGGGGCCATAGTGTAAGGACCGTGCCAATGTCAGGCAATAGATCTTTATGCTGTTCCAGAAGGATGAATTCGATACCGGCTTTCGAGAATATGTGTGCGGATGTGAGCGCCACGAGACCGCCACCGACGATAATGACCCGAAAGGGTTTCTGCGACGATGCCATGACCAAGCTATAAAAACAAAAATTTAAAAAATGAGAGAAGCGGTGATACTTTTATAGTATGTGTAACGTAAAAGTTCAAGACACGAAGACAGTGTTACCGATCAACGCGTTTCTGAAAATATATATTCAACGTTCCCGGCTCGCCCGGCCGAGAAACGTATTCGTACCCGTAGTTTTCTGCTTTGTAAGGATGATATTTATATAAAGTGGATAGATTCCGGTAGTACCTATGCATCAAGTGGGTCACTATTTCGGCAAACATCTCTTTCAACTCTAGTCGAATATACCTACTAGGTACCTACAAGGTATTCTATGAATGTTTAACAGCTACAAAGTCCCTAGGTATTTTACTAATTAGGTGGATATTTACTTACCTAGGTACCTAGGTAGGTATGGATTTACCTAGGCATCGCGTGTCCGACCGACCTATCGGAATATTCCCGGTATCTAGAAGTTACCTAGGCAAGGACTTCGAGCTCTCCTTCCGTTCCTTGCATCGACGTCGTTTGCATATTTAACTCTAAAAACCACCACGTGGAGCTTTTTGAGTTATTAATATCAACGTACATAAGAACATTGAATGGTTTCATCCAGTATGGCTCGGACATTCCCACTCAAGCATGCTCTCAATACCTACTAGGTAGGTAGGTAGGACCTTGGGACCAAGTATTTATTACCTCAACACAAAAAATTCTACCTATCGGCAACATAATACACACACATACCACCACCGTCTTACCCATCAAATCATCTGTCATGAGGGCGTGGCGAGCTGAACTTCACATGTCACCGCTATTCCTTGCTTGGTTCCCGGGCTGTTGCTGACGACACACTCGCCTCTAGCTTGTCTAATATCCAATTCACCCAATGCACGAAATCCACCGCGCAAGCTGTCTGCCTCATAGCCTTTGGCTCGAAGAACGCTGGTTGCTACACGTGAGCTATCACCGTCGTAACACAGCAGCAGAATTCGTTTTCCTTGCACCAAAGGGTGTGCGTAGTCGCCCGGAGTTTTGAAGAAGTCTTCTAACTTTAGCCATAGCGCTTCTAGTACGGTTGGGGCCGAGAATGGGCTGGGTTTCGACGGGTCTGCGAATGGTAAGTTCACAGATCCGGGCAGGCTGAACCTGTCAAAGTCGATTGGTTGTCTGAGGTCAATAATGATCGCACCATCCTTGACTACGATAGACCCGTTGAGATGCTTCTCATATGCCATTTCCAACTTTGGGTCTGATAACACCACATCTCGAGGTGATCTCTTAACGTCCAGGAATAAAGGTAGAGCGGTTTCTGCATTCTTTTCCCATGCCTCATCATATCGGTATAGGTCAACCTTAGTCAGTGCCTAATTTCTGAGTCAGCACATCCATTAACACCTAACTTTCCAGCCTGACCGCGTCATTACATACCTCATTTTTTATTGAGGGGAAGTGTTCGGGGCTCAACTTGTCAAAGTATTCGTTGATGTATTGGTAGGGGAGGTCGCAGCAGAGGAATACGCAATGGATCTCGCCGTCCTCACCCGCTAGATCTCGAAGTGTCCCTGCAGCTTTTTGCTTCTCGATGAACTGGAAAAGACCCGTGAGGTTAAACCCGGAAGATGGTCCGCATACGATTCCTTCGCGACATAAGTCTAATGACAACGAGAAGGAGTCATGTGACCCGACCTCCTCTATATGATCCACCGCTGATTTCCAGGGGAACTCGACGGGGGCAAGAAGGGCAAACGATCGAGGGCCCGGCACCCTATCACCAGCTGCGGTGCATACTCTACTTATCATCAATATGTCTTCCTGCAAGTGAAAATTGGTCAAAAGCGTACGAACCCTAAACGGAAGACTGAAGGTCTCGCTTCCTTGAAAAACATGCCTAGTCCTGTCATGGTTCCTAGATGCTGTCAACAGAGCACATCCCTTCCAGTGGCATGGCGCGTGCCTACCTGATGTCCCCATGCCAGAACAGATTAAGTTAATCTCTGGTAATTGCATGAGGATTTGAGGGCCCGTCCACCTAACATGGGATTTCCAATTCTACTAACGAGTTAGTTCTAAACGACCATAAAGAGCTCCAGTCTGTATCTTACGGCATCATTTTCGTATTGGTTTGGGTTGATGATGGACTCGTTATTTTCAGCCATTCTTTCGGCCGCTCTTATTCCACCTCTCTCGTCGCTCGGTTCGGGTTGGGACGGGCCGCCAAAGAGCGTTCTAATGCGATGTTAACCAACGACGTCATCGAATAATGGAGTTATGATGAGCTCTCACATGTCAAGACCGAAAAATTGCATTAGCCGCAATTTGGCCATACTTGTCTTGTTGCTCAAGAAGGCACGGACATCTGGGATGTCGTGGAAGACTCGCGAGATGAGGGACATCGATATTACGGTCGACCCCGAACTATACTCGATGATAGTGTTGGTCTTGCCTGGAACCACACTCTTCTCGAGGAGATTCAACGCTAGTATCTTTTATCAATAAGCTAAAACGCATAGACGAATCGATTAACACCTACCCGGCATAGACTTCACGTTGTTGGCCGGATGCATCGTCATCATCTTTGCGTATATCCTCACCCCATCGCGTCGATATGGATTGAGCTTATCCGGGATCTCTACGAGTGGTAAAGGGGGGGTCGACTCCGGGTCGAAGTAGTCCCGAACTGAGTTTGGGCCTTTGTAGACATTGAGGAAATTTTGGCTAGGCATGGTCGAAGGTTATTTGGTCTGGTCTAGCAAGTCTCCTCCGTTACGAGAAGATTGAAAGACATAAAAGGGTACCTATCACATCCCAAGAACCTTGGAGGTGGTCAGCGACATAAATATATCCGCTGGATCATACCTTCTCCGGACGACCTACCGGTTATCGACATAGTTACCACGATATTACTTAGTCACATCCGCATCTCCAGCCGCGTCATATTCTACATACGTCTTCGGCCAATTGCCTTACAGGACCCTGACCCTGTTTCACTGGTATCCCTCCTTGATTAGTGGCATGGAAATATGATAGGTAGTCTAGACTATTTCCTTTCCTCGGTAAACTATAAGGTCCCTTTGGTCAGATGTCTTGGCCCTTCGGCTGATCGACATGTCGCGATGAAGGATGATGGAATCTGGAAAGATTTAGATGCAAGAGGATCGTTAAGGGGTTTCGGGTTCTGGGGGTTCGAGGGGTTCTGAACGATTCTCGTCCAATGTCCGCTAGCACGAGCAAGTAACGCATCGAAAGAACCTTACTTTGATATCCGCATTCCTGGGCTGCCGTTACTAATAGGTTACAGTCTAACGCGGACCCCTGCACGAGGCACTTTGAGGTTGTTTTCAACCAATGAGGCTGAGAGGACATCCCTTGTCATCTCCGTAGTGCGTTCTGGTGCGTGTGCATTGGTGGTAAACCTTACCATTTAGCTCTTTTTAGGTGGCATCGAAGAAGGTACCTTTAAGTGGGATCCAAGACTCCATATCGCCGTACCCACATAGGTCACATATGAATTTCCTCATGAAGCCCTGAAGATTCACTCATCTTCAGAATCTCACACGGAGAAACTTGGGAAACTATCCTAACAATCCCTCACATTCCGTATTGGCGTGCTTGGCTAAATCAACCTAAAACTTCTCATTATATCTGCTCACGGTTATTTATCTAGCATTATTAAATTAGCAAGAATATCGTACTCCCGATGGCAGCATAGCAAGCCCGGGACCTGAACTCCACCGATATTCTGTCTCACCGATACGCCAGCGATATTAGATTTGATGTTCATATCTCGCAGCTTCCATCTATTTTAATTTTTATTCCTATTAATGTATTTTCTACCTATATATAATGCTTCCATTTCAACCTCAGAGTCGACATTAATTACTTAATTACTTAACGAACAGCTCCTAGTCCAAGTTGTGTTAGCAAACTTAACCACCATCAAGGTCTTGATCAACAAGCTATCCTCTGCGCCTAGCGACGTGCATCTTATATCGACAAGGGTGCTCTCTTGTAGCAAGTTATATGGATGCAACTTCTCCTCACTCATTCGTATCGACACAGATCCATCACAGACTAGACATTCGATCACATCGTCTAACGAGCTAAGCATCTCTTGTAGCTGCATCAAGCCATGGAAAAGGATGTAGCGGGATATCAGACCCGCCACGATGGCGTTATAAATGTCTCCGTTGCAAACGAACAGCCAAGGGGTACAGATTCCGAGGAGAGTTTAGAGAATGAGACCGAAGACCAGCATGTCTTTAACGAGCAGACTAATTATGTTCCCAAAAGGACAATTATTACTGTGAGTTTACCTAGCAATGCGGTTGCGTCTCGTTATGCCCAGCTATCTATTAGGTACCTAACATTCTCAGATATTCCTCGCCTGTTCTACTGTGGACTTGCTAGCTCTTATGGACCAAACAACTCTAGCTGCGAGTTTGAACATTATCGCGGATTCACTGAAGTCAAGTGATCAAGCATCATGGATCGCTAGTGGATATTTCATGTAAGACTCTACCCATGAATAACGTGTTATTTATTGGGGTAAAACGCTGACATTTTTCGTCAGAACTTCGACCGTCGGCCAACTTTTGTACGGTAGACTCTCGGATATCTGGTCTCGTAAAGTGATTCTTCTTATTGGTCTAGCCATCTTCTTCCTCGGCTCCTTGGCGGCATCTCTCGCTCAGACGGTCACTCAATTGATCGTCTTCCGGTGCTTCACCGGTGTCGGCGGTGGTGGGCTCATGACTATAGCTCAGACTATTGTCAGCGATGTCGTGCCGCTTCGGGAGAGGGGAAAGTACCAAGGCATCCTAGTACGTCTAATTATATTCTGCAGCTTCTTATTCCTTATTCTAGCTCCTTTCTGACCACTTAATTATCTAATCAGGGGGCTGTCGTTGCCATTGCTAACGGGATCGGACCCGTGATCGGCGGTGCCCTTTCTTCCATCTCGGAAGACTCTTGGCGGTGGATCTTCCGTCTCAACTTGCCCCTTACCTTGTTGACCACCTGTTGTGTCGTATTCATCATGCCCCTGAAAAAGGTTGAGGGTGACTGGAAGTTGTAAGAGATCTACTTGCCATACATGGTGACATCGCGTGTTGACTGAAATTTTGGCAGAAAATTGAAAGCCGTCGATTTTATCGGGATTATCCTTACTCTAGCCGGCGTCTCTGTTCTCATGTTAGGCCTTACATGGGGTGGCTCTGAGTACCCATGGAACTCTGCTGCTGTTATAACGACTCTAGTTCTTGGTTTCGTCATTTGCGTCGCCTTCGTCTTTTGGCAGTGGAAAGGACCTCGCTATCCCTTAGTACCTTGTCAGTTCTCCAGCAAACTGTCATAAAAATCTACATTATTGTATACGGCTGACCATACCTACATGTAGTACACATCTTCAAGTCTAAGATCGTCAATGGTGCATGCCTTACTATGGCTGTCAATGGCTGGAACTTTGTGGTTCAGGTATACTACATACCCACGTTCTACCAGCTTGCGTATGGCTACTCGGCAACTAAGGCTGGCGCCATGTTGTTGCCGATCACACTTATACAGACACTTAGCAGTACATTATCTGGCCTGGTAGTACATTGGGTTGGTAGATACCGCGAATGTATCTTGTTTGGCTGGGTCTGTTGGGCAATCGGTCTTGGTTTGATGTCAACACTAGACGAAAACTCGGGAGTTGGGAAGCAGATTGGATATTCGATTATCATCGGCGTGGGGGTGGGGAATACGCTTCAGCCGTAAGTCTCTTTAAATATTTTTCACATATTATGGACATCCGGGTTGACTAGCGACATCTAGCGCGTTGATAGCTTGCCAAGCTGGGGTAGAGAGACGGGACATGGCTGTGGTGACGTCTTTCCGAAAGTAAGCGCTCCGACATTTTTTCATTTAGTACTGATTTAACGATGTTCCTAGTTTCGTACGCAATTTGGGCGGAACCTTTGGACTAGCTATCTGCGGCACTTTACTGTCAGTCATGATCCGCAACCGAGGAACTCTCGAACGAACCATTCATATTGACCCTATCATCTAGGAATAACATCTTAGCAAATTCGCTTTCATCTCTCGATACTGACGAAGCCGGCTTTAAGGATCTCCTTAGCAGCCCCCAATCTTATTTATCGAGTCTACCTGCGGATGAGGCCCAGCGCATCCGCTCAATGCTGATTCCCGCGTACCGCCAAGGTTTCAGGGTGATATTTCTCGTGGGGGCATCGTTAGCTGCTCTTGCATTCGTGATCGCATGGTTTATGATGCCGCAAGTCGAGTTACGTCGTCCCGACGATGAAAAGCTTAAGGAAGAGGGCCGGAAAGAGCACGCAGCGAAGAAAAACGCTCCGGCCCCTTAAATTTAGGCAATCCCATTATTCTCTCGCCAGCCTAAGTAGTTGCAGGGTGCGTCTTAATCATAATCAACCTGAAATAGAAAATTTCCACCCGGGATTGCAATAATTACTCGATCAAATAAGAGTGATATCGTGTGGTTTCCAATATCCCTCCCTTTCTCCCTCGACCGCGTCGAAATCCATAAGCCCAGGCATCCAACAACATCCAACAAATTTATAAAGGTCTCTAGTTTGATCCACAGGTCGTAGTATGTATGGTACTCCTGAACCTACAAGTATACTGACCTGATCTCCGGACCGTAAATCGCTTTTTGTGCCTGTACTCCCCATCAGACCTGACACCGTGACGAAAGGCCTTATATAGTCGCAACTAAGGCCTAGAGTCGAATCAAAATTGGTTACAATCTTCATGAGAAAGGCATAGTCTTTATCTGTCCGTATTTCGTTTTCGCGATCTGTCATTAGATCGTAGTGGTGGCCTAACTCGGTTTCATCGCCTAGCAACTCGTGAAGGACAGCGGATTTCCAGGCTTCACGCCTCTCAGCTTGTGTTTCGAATATCTGGTGTGCACAATGTTGGGATTCCATTTCGTCTTCCCATTCGATAAGACGCGTACGAACAGCCCTAGCCCTTTCTTCGATCGACATGGCTAGGAAGGGCTCGAATCGTTTCCCGATGTGTCCAATACCGTAATCAACGATAGCCCCTTTGATGGTGATTCGGCAAAGGTCGTCCGAGAGCCGTGGCGGGTTTAGCGGTTGTTGAACACCCTTGAACTCATATATTTGCATATAAATCATGAGACCTTTAGAAAGCCTCGTAGCAGTTTCGCCTTGTAAGTCAGCGATCCAATTCGATGCCCACGATGGCAACCCATCCACTGGTTTCACGATGGAGCAAAGCAGATGGGAGAGCATGCCGCCTTGAACCATGTAAATACTCAAATCCTTAAATACGTCAGCTACCGGTTTCATGTAGTCGACCTCAAGCAGCTTCTCGCCCCGTAAATCGCCCTTTACCAACCCTAGAATGCCGAACAGCCTATCCCTAGGTTCCGTCCATTCGTGGAAGCGAGTCTGCCACAGCAAATCAGCAAGCTCGAGGTGTACCGGTGACGGGTGTTCACTTTGCTTCGTAGCGCCGCGAGTCCGCATCCAACATCTTTGTACGCTGTCCGCCTTGCTCGCACCGCTCAACCGCCAGACATACGTGTACTGCCCAATCTGGAGTCTGCGCAGGGCATCAACCGCTTGCACAAGCCGATCCCAGCCTATCCGCATATCACCGTACATAATCGTGGCCGTCTTCGCAAGCGTGATTTCCTGCAGAACCCAAATACGGTTGAACCACGGACGGTAGAAGAATCGGTGAAGTAGCCGTATCGCGTAAATGGGATTACCCGTCCGGTCTAGAAGCGCAGCCGCGGCTTCATCATTTTCTGATTGTAAATTCGCTAGTGTATCTAGTACCCCGTGCAGCTTATCGGCTATACGATCATCATCCAGCTGTTCGCCGTCGTTGGGCTCTTGCGCGCGACCCAGCCAGACAACGACGTTGTTGGCGCGGCTGTAGATCTCGCCCATGCGCCGGACTTCTTGGTTCCGTTCCGGGATGCTGGTCTGGTCGATGCATATCGCGTCTACCCACACGAGCCTCTTCTTATTCCGTAAGCGTAGGGCACGCAGCGCCGCTTCGAGGTTCGTCGTTACTTGGAACGGGCGGCTGTTTAGCGTGATGGATGTTGTGATCGTGGCGTCGCCCCATACATATGACAGCGCTTCGTACTCGGGGTTTTGGCTTGCATTTTTGACGAAGGGGAAGTTAGATACTGTGCATTTTACCTTCTTGTGCTTCCCGCCCGGGAGGATGGTGATGAGACGGATTTGAGAGCCGTCTTCAGGTAGGGGGTTGTAGTTGACGGTGTTTGTAGATTTGTCCATCGTGAGAACTGGAGAATCTTTCCATCATAATATTTGGCGATAGATCGGATCGAGATTGCGAAAGTGGGAGAATTAATATGTTGTATGACTCCATCTGCACAGCCCTCCGAGTGGTATCTCAGCCCCTCACGGCGGTGTCCTCACAGCCTACAGCTACCTAAATTTCGAGATCGGGTTAAAAGTCATCCTCGGTCGGAGAATAAACGTATAATAATCTAGGAGAATAAATAAGAGGGGAAAATAGAAATCGTATGATACCTATTTTAAAGATTCTTTATCATCTTTTTATGGCAGCATTTGAATGATGCAGCGGGTGAGTCGAGTGTATGTGGCCTAGAAGTTTAATTCCAGGTTATTATATGGAACTCAAGGTAGAAAAAAAGAAAATGCCTGCCTGGTTGATTAAATGACTTGTGTCTGTCACCCACGTGTTGTCAACGTCCTTTCCAAACGACTTCTTCTTCTTGCAGTCCCGAGGAAATGATTACTGGAAGATTCAGGTCGGAAAACGATTTGCAAGATCATCTAATCTCCGAATCCCACCTTATATGACAGTGCGGTCAATAACTTACATACTGTTTTCCGGATGATACACCACAGCCTTCGGTATCATCCTGCCTTTCTCGTGATTTGTCCATGATGAGATCTTCACGGATAGTTGTAGGATTTAGCTTCGTGGTACAACTTCAACCCCCCTTTTCTACAGGATACCCCACCTGTGGCGTTTACGTTCGGATGGCAAGCGGCATGGCCAAGAGATAAGGCCGTCCCAGGCATATGTATATGCCATGGCCCGCCCCGGATCTATCATCCTTAGCTCGTTTACTAGGGAGACCTTGTAAACGATATTATCCGCCGTGATTATACCCCTGAAACATTCCGATACCAGGCACATACTTCCCTTAGGTATAGGTATCAATAGCACGAGATGTCTGTTGTTCTTGAACTGAAAACATCTGAGAAGCGCGTCACCGAAGATGAGCTGCGACCAGTCATCGCGAAGGCTGGGTTAGAGCTTTCAGAGCCGCTCCTCGAAAACCTCAGCACGTTGATATCCTCACTAGATAAAGCCATTGCATCTCTACCTGATGATAAGAGTGTCTGGCCACGCCCAAATCTCACCAAGTATCCGCGTACAGACATTCATATTCCTGAGGATAACGAACTAGGCGCATGGGCAACGAAAGCAAGATTTCACCTAGGTAACCCTTAGAATTTGACGAAACGGTTCTAACGAGGCCATTAGGTGACTGTGAAATGCACAAGTCCTATCAGCGATCTGTTGAAGGGTCGGACTGTGGCGCTTAAAGACAACATCGCGTTGGCGGGAGTCCGGTGCACGAATGGAACTGCGATGGTTGATTGGACCCCGGAGATCGACGCGACGATTGTTACTCGAACTTTGGATGCAGGAGCCATAATAATTGGCAAAGCTGGTGAGATCATAAGTCCCAATACAGTGTTTCCCGTATAGGTACCTATATCGGCAACTACCTACTAAGAACCTTCAGCTTGTGAAAATGCGTGTCTCGAGGGATTATCGGGCACATCTGTCACAGGACAGGTCCATAACCCGTATGCCAAAGGGTACAGCACCGGAGGCTCGAGTAGTGGTTCGGGGCGCCTCGTAGCGACTGGCTCCGTCGATCTCGCTTTCGGAGGAGATCAGGGCGGCAGCATTCGTATTCCAGCATCATCCTGTGGTATTGTAGGCCTCAAGCCAACTTGGGGTCTAGTTCCTTATACAGGTATCTTAAGTCTTGATGCAACTATTGATCATGCGGGACCAATGGCCAGAAATGTTAAGGACTGTGCTACACTCCTGGAAGCGGTTGCGGGACCAGATGGATGGGATGATCGTCAACCGTCGATTGGACTCGAAGGGGATAAGTTGAAATTTGTAAATCCGGTCGAGACTGTGCTTGCCAAAGAGACATCGAAGATGCTTGAAGGCATTAAAATCGGGGTGCTCGCCGAAGGTTTCGAGGTTCCCGGACAAGACCCCAATGTCGTTGAATCCGTCCAGTCTGCAATCGACAGGTTTAAGTCTCTAGGAGCTACAGTCGCCCCAGTGTCCGTGCCTTTGCACAAAGATGCTCCCCTGTTATGGACCTGCGCTTTACCCTTATCAGGCGGCCGACAGTCTCTACTCGGAGACTTGGATGGGAGGAAACAGTTTTACTTTACAGACAGAGCAGATCTTGTTGGACCTAAACTAACTCAACGTCAATTCGACACACTCGGACCTGGTGCATCGAACCAGTATTTAGGATACCTGTGGATTCAAGAGAAGTATGGTGCCAAGGTGCATGGGAAAGCAATGAACCTCCTCAAGGCTGCCGGCGTGAGAACTCATGTGTGATGCATCGTTGACGCAGCTACGCTAACCGGTAGTAAAGGATGTGTACGACAAAGCCCTCAAGGAATTCGATGTGCTGGTTATGCCGACCTTGCCTTATCCGCCACCGAAACTGCCCGAGCCCGATTCTGATGAAGGTCCATTGAAGTTCCTAGCTAGGACAACTGGGCTGATTGCTAATACTTGCCCCTTTAATAGTGAGTACCTGCATTAGGTAAACAACTTCCATTTCGAAGAATAGGACTAACGATGAACACACGAAAAAAAGATTCAGGTCATCCTGCCCTGTCGCTCCCCGTCGGTTTTGTACCCGCCCGAGAAGATCCAAGCCTGAAGCTTCCTACAGCCATGCAAATAGTAGGTCGCAAGTTTGCAGATGCCGATTGCCTCAAGGTTGCAGCGGCGTGGGAAAAGGCGTTTGACTGGAAGAAGCTCTAAAGGTTGATGATTGATGATTGATGAATGATGAATGATGTATTCCCAAGTGACGAGTCGGAACCGTACCTTGGCGTCTTTCTTTAGTTGCTAAACCCCGTAAACTGTTCCAATTATCCACTATACGCTGTAATTTAGTGAACGGTCTACTGCAAAGTCCGAGCTTTGGTCCACTAAACTGGATCCACATCCATGGATACAAGGTGGCTGACGAGCGAAACTTTTTGCTTCGTATCTAGTAGGTACCTACCTAGGTACATAAATTATCTCATGAAAGTTATGTATTGAATTGAATATGTCCAAGTCTTTATTGATTATCCTAGTTAATATACCTAGTATAGTATACTAGGCACCTAGACATGGTCCTAGTAGACGAGCGTAAATGATTATTTACAATATTATGCCAATTATTTATTGTTTATCAAAGGTCAAGATTATGCTCTGATAATCAGCCTGAGGCCAAGTCAAGCTTAGGCCGGTATTCATTAGTGTTGAGCCAGACAGGCTCTGTTCCCAAGTCCCGTTGCTCACTTTATACTTGGCGCTCGAGTCCAGACCCTGCAATTTAAGCGGGGGCGGTAGAGGCTTAAGAGCGGAGCGAACTTGGAATGCGAACAGGACAGCAGAGTCAAGTTCTGGGGAGACGAACATAGCGGCAGGCCAGTTGGACTGGTCCGGTAGCGCCAAGCGGTAGAAATCACCGTTGATAACTATGGGGTTAATCTTTTGTTGCGTAGCAATTAGAGTCGGGATCGCATCGAGTTCCTCCTGGTCAAGCTTGGAAGGATCTAGCTCGAGGCCGAAAGAACCGCACATAGAGGCTACTGCTGCTCGGAAAGCCAATGGAGTGACGCGTCCAGTTTGGCCGTTAGGGACGGCGCTAATGTGGCAACCCATTGCCGAAGGAGGATAAGGGTAAGACGTTCCAAACTGGATGTGCAGCCGTTCTAAACCGTCTGTATCGTCGCTTGTCCAGCTTTGGGGCCAATAATGAAGTAGGCCGGGATCGAACCTCGCTCCTCCGGAAGCGCATCCTTCCCATAGGATCTCCGGATGAGCGGTCGTGAGGTTGTCAATGACGCGGTATAAACCTAACATGTATGCATGGCTGGCAGATGGAGACGACATCTCATGCATACCTCGGTTGTTGTCCCATTTTATGTATCGAATAGGGGCCGAATCGAGTATTTGCTTCATGATCGTAATGATATAGTCCTGCACTTCGGGGAGACCCAAGTCCAAAACGAGCTGGTTTCTTTGAAGCGTACGGTTGTGGGTTCCCGCGTGCATGACCCAATCAGGATGTGCTTTATATAGATCAGAATCAGGATTGACCATTTCTGGCTCAACCCATAGTCCGAATTGCATGTGCTCGGAAGTGTTGCCGACGGTAATATTGTCCACTTTTTCGATATAGGGTGCCAGGCCATTAGGGAACTTGGCCGGGTTCGGGGTCCAGTCACCAAGACCCAAGCTGTCGTTGTTCCGGGGATAATCTGTGCCAAACCATCCGTCGTCGTTGACAAACAGGGTGCAGCCTAGACCTGCAGCTTCCTCAGCCAACTTAACCATTGATGACTCATTAAAATCGAAACCATGGCCTTCCCATGAGTTTAATAATGGCGGCCGAGTCTCGAATGTGTGGTTCGATCGAGATAGATGGTTTCTATAAAGCGAATGGAAAGACCTAGACATTCCACCCATTCCCTGTTCTGAGTGGACCGAAACCACCTCGGGCGAGGTGAACGTGTCGCCCGGAGCTACGGTCCAGGAGAGATGCAGAGGATTTAGACCAAGGAGGACTCGAACCCAACCAGTAGACCACCGCTCGACATCGGCGGAAAACGAGCCGGTATAGACTAGAGAGTACCCTGTCGCTGAACCGAGGGACTCGGTAGTTGTTGGGGGCGCCAGGGCAACAAAGGGGTTGTGGAAGTGAGACGAATAACCTGCCGAGGAACGGAAACTGTTTATGGATACCTATCAGTCGAAATTCGATATGCTGTAATTGCACCAAACTAAGCACAAAATAATAGCTTACCCTTGTTCACCGTATACAACCGGCCGCCTATTAACCTTCGCCTCCGAGGCCCAATCACCCTGAAGATCGAGCATCTCCAACTCCTCATTTGGCATATCGATACTCCAACTACTAGCTCTCAAGATCGTTATATCTTGACTTCCATTATTGGTGATCCGGAAGTTGCGGGTAATCGCATTATACTTGGGGAAGATGGAATAATACAGGTCCGCAGAGACATCTGAGTAGTTGTCATACATATGTATGGTGAGCGTTGATACATCTCCTTCACTACCATACGTAGCCGGTAAACCAGGGAGAGACGGCTTGCCGGGACTGATATTGTAGCCCGTATAAGAGAATGCTGATACGGTATCTCCATCGGCGTGCTGAATGTGGATCGCGGGGACTCGAAAATCACCACGGCCAAGGTCAGGGAATTCACGTCGACGGTAAGTGTAAGGACCACCCCAACCAGATATTATTCCGTTGAAATCAGCGATAGTCTCAGCTGAATAAGCACCCCAGTGATCGTGGACCAGGTCCAATGTCAAGGGATCGACATGGAACCGGTAGGAGATGTTGGATGAAGACAGAGAGAAGGAAGAGCCGTCGTCGCCCACGGAAATCCCTAAAAAGTCAGCGAATGTAATTGAGTGAGGTAGAGAAGGTGTTTACAATTCGCAGTGCCCTGGCATAACCCCAATAAGGGGAACAGACACCCAACCAGGTTGACGGTAAGAAGCCGTTGAGTCCTCATGATTGACCTTGATCGAGGAATAGGAAATGGTCAAACATTCCGGTCTTCGGTCAGCTGCGTAGGCGCACATTTTATATTCCTTTTGATCCTTCGGGTAGGATAAAGGCGATTCGACGCCGAGCTACCGAGAGAGAAAAAAAGCTAGCTGCGTCACTTGCAGTTGGAGATTCGCATCCTTGCCCAGATGTCCAGCCATTTCCAGCTTGGCTTATAGGCAGGCATGATGAAAAGCCTCACAACAACCAAAAGAGGGCATCACCGGCGAATCTCATAAAAAACTAGAGATCCCATCTCCACGCCTTATTAATGGCTAACATGGTTATTTCCACTTTAAACCTTGGAGTTTTACTCTAGGAGATGGGGAAGAAGGCGGACATCCCCCACGAACAGCTTAGTTTAAAGTTAGGACGGCACTTAGCTAGTAGCTACTCCGCACAGCGCATTTTCTACTGTCAGGGGTTTACTTGGGGGAGGTCATGGGGAGGTCAGAGGAGCCGTGCGGGGAATGCGGTGCAATTGTACATGGCATAGCGGTACATAGCTGGGAAGCTGGCAGAACTTGGAGAACGCTGGAAGGATTCTGTTTAGGCGTTGCTTGGCTGTATTTAGCTTATTTAGCTGCCGATCGTCATTCACCGAGTTTTCTAGCCCCTCACAACTTATGATCACTTTCGATGGCATTCCTCGATTCAACAATACTAAACCCAAGATGGCTGCCTCTCCGGAGTATTCGCACCAATCCTACACCTTACGCGCCGCCCATAAGACGCCGTTCAGTATATGGCCCATGAATTTCTCATCCGAATACGCTTCGTCGAAATGGCCAAGGGACGTGTAAAAGGAACGACCGCCATCAAATTCTCGGCACCACGCCAATGGATGATCTTCACCTAGCTTCCCTCCTTTATAAGTGCGTTCGTCGATGGATAATAGCACGGTCACCTTCATACGAGGGTTCGCGTCGAAGTAATACCATTCATCAAACCACTCCAACTTCTCTGGTAAACCCGCGACGATAACATGGCTTTTATTTTCAACAGTCACCAGGCCATCCTGCGGCTCTGGATGGTCCGTAAAAACAGCACCGATCAGTTCGCCATACCAAGGATCCTTCGTCATACCAGCCGCAGCACAGTGAATGCCCAGGAAACCTCCCCCGCTTCTCACATAAGTCTGGAGCGCCGCCAACTGCTCTTCGCCGAGAAAGTCGCCGCTAGTCTGTAGAAATATGACGACCGCATATCGCGATAATTTCTTAACGTCTATGAAGGACGGGTCTTCTGAGGAGTCCACGGTAAATGCATCGGATGCGATTCCGATCTGTTTGATACCTTCTATCGCCGCAGGAATTGATTCGTGCCGGTATCCAGCTGTCTTGCTAAAAACTAACACAGCAAATTTGTCAGGCGACATCACTACTAGGTAATAAGAAACAGCTTAGGGTATTGCAAGCAATTGAAGAGAGTCTAAATCGGAAAAATGGAAGGGTGCAGTTGGGGAATATACCAACTTAATTCATACTAGGTACTTCTATGTACCCTGTCATCATGGAGCAAGTTCGGCATTTGGGGGCCTCAATCTGCGTAAAACTCCCTAGGTACCTAAGCTATGGCCACTATCCGCTAAATTATAGGGGAGGGATAGTCTGAGCCTTACCCGCCCAAAGACTCATACTCCAATAGTCAGATCTCTATCGAGTGCCATTTGCATTGCCAGTACCGGCATGAGTCACGATTTACCGATTTACTGGCAAACAAATACCAACACCAACGCTGAAGTATTTTCATTCGTCGAGTTAAATCAAGTATAATGCCATGAGGTCAATGTCCATTTTATTCAAAAGAGTGGGACGAGGTAAGGTTATCTATAGCTCTACGTACGCTCGTCGATTTATTTCATCAGCTTTCCATACTCGAGAGCTATCAACAATGGCGATACAAAATAAGAGTCTAGTGAATGCAACGTCTTCGACTAACTCTAATAGTAGCGGCCAGCCGACATTCATTAATCAATCATCAATTGAGCCCCATGTAGTTGAAGACGACGAGGACGATGCAAACGATCCTGAGATGGTGGATCCGCAGGACACCAAAGCTATCGGTTACTTACAGGGCATTCATGATTTTCGATTTGAAAGTCTAGACCGGTTGGTTCAGAACAACACCGCCATATCCGCGACTGCAACCAGGCCCGACAAGCCGTACAATGATTACCAGTCTCGAGAGTTGCATAACGAGCACCAAAGAACCATCTGGCAACGGATACGAGAACAAGCCGAAGTAGATGATGATATACCCACTGCATTATTCTCGCCCCCGCGGACATATATTGAAGTTCGCGTATCGAAATGGCCTGTCTCGGACCACTACTGCTGCCCCTGCGACATCGAGGAGGACGATTGTGAGGTCATCCGAATCCGCGCGCCGAAGGAGTCGCCGGATGGGATCACGAAAGATATGTTCATTCGGGAGGTGAGCGATGCATTATACCGACGAACTCCGGGAGAAGATGGAGATAGCGAGAGTAGCGGTTATAGGATAGGAGACGAAGACGATAGGCCTGTTATCGAACGCTTCGATTATATGATGCAAGGCGGCGAGGATCCCGACGATGCGGTTCATATTATGGGACATATATTCGCATTGACGAAGGGCATTAAGGGCCATGCGGGGAGGTTTTCCCGTGGCTGCTGACACTCTAGCCCGGAAGTGGTTTGCGATTATGAGGTAGTTCCCACTATAATTTAGATCTTGCTATGTTGATAGTTCATAAGTTTAGAATTCTTTCAAGATTACTTTTTTTAATCTCGAGGCTATTCACGACTTTTTTTTGGCACGGCTATTGAGCTTTCTTGTAATTTGTATGGCTTCATGATTGAAGTAATTTTCAACTTTATCGGCTCTTCCAATCAATAGTCCTGGGGTAATAGAAATCTTAGGTGCATATCTAGTACCTACCTAGCAGGCTGGTAGGTAATAATGGGTACGCACTCCAGGGCTATATTTCAGCATCATCGGGGCTGTAGACTACCTATAATAATAGCAGACGAAAGTACCCAAGGTTTTCATTCAACTTCCTAAGGTATATAGCATAATTATTTTAAGGCTTGATTCGCTCTAGACTAAAGTTTTTCTAGTAAGCACCTTAAAATGTCCCTTTGCAATTTTAATACCTACCTACCTAGGTAAGTATCAATTTTCAAACGTTCTTTTATACCGAAGGAACCGGAATGAGAAAATGGTCACCTGTTTCACAAGGTGAATGTTAAGTGGAAGCGAGCTGTCTCGACCCATGTCATCAGGTGTCCAGGAGGGGTCAACCAGACAGTCGATGACAGGGTACTGATAGCTTATTATCACTTCAACTTCAGTGTCAATCGTTCTTAGATCTATCGAAGTAAGACGCCCAGCCAACTAAGGATGTCGTGAACCTCGGAATAGCATCTAGTCTTAAATTCACCAATCCTTTGGTGTAGTAAGGACACTCGAAGTGGCACCACGGTTGTTTCAACAATAAGGAGTGAAGGATACTAGGTACCTACGTAGGTAAAATAGAAATGGTGCAGTGCCAAGCTTTTGTTGTCAATTTGATGCCGTCAAGCTGAAAATTAAATGACCAAGACAGATGCGCTTTAATAGGGGAGTAGATAAACGAAGCTGCAGGTACCTAGGTCCTAGGACTTATTACATACCTACACCTTGGTGCCTTAATGTAATGCTACATAGTATACCGCTGTAAGTTCGTATCCCCATGATAATTGTTTCCTTCTTGGGCTCTTCGTCGCATTACGCGCTAATGGAACACGATAGAGATGTTTGGTGTTTTGAGGGGCAAATATCCATACCGCCATGCGGGAATAATGCTGCAGCGACAATGGCAACCCATCTAGCCCATCGTCGGATCCTTTTTCGGAAACTATATTGCATCCCATCATTCTGGTTCAGAGCGGCTGTGTCGTTTAACTAATCAGACCTCGCAAATGTTAGCCTACTTCGCTCGCCAAGCAACTAGACCGACAGGGTTACAATCCTCCCCTGCAACAGGGCTTAGCTCTTTAATACTGTATGTACAGTACCTAGGCAGACATCGTTGGTGTTGCTATTAATACGATATCGAGTCCCTTCATTTAAAAGAAGCCCAAAGTCGACGTCGATTATGGTCTGGTGTTTACCTACGTTCATGGTGACTTTAGAAAAAATAATAGTAATAAGAACGGCGTAGCATGTCATGATACCGAGCTCGGGGCCTCAACTCTTTCATCTCCAAAATCTAACTGCCCCACTAAGCAGTTCGAACTCGATTCGACAATGTCGATTAATACGCTATCGCCAAAAGCATCCGCGACAAAGCTGAGGAGGACTTTACTGGTGGTCCCAGCGGTCTCCATTCTTATCGCCATCGCCTTGTTAGTAGTTTGGCTGGTGTTGCCTCGTGGACAGGTTACCATATGGATGGAGCGTAGTAAATCATGGCTGCTATTCGAGATCCAGGGGCCGTTTACGCCCACCGAAGAACTGTTAATATTAAGCTCGGCATTCAGCGTCGTAGTCTCAATGGTTTTGGAAGCGCTCCTCCTATTCGCGCTGCGGAATAAATCTAAACAGGTAAGATTTTTTAAAAAAAGATTATATATAACTACGGTGACCATCAGTGCTAATGGAATATTTTCACAGACGAAGACATGGCTTAGATTTACGCTATACGCGATACTCTTTGCGAATGCAGCTCTTGCTTTCACAGCTTTTCTCTACGCTTCAGTCAGCACGACCATTAGCGGAAAATGTGGTAACATCACTGGCGATGTTGTTTTAGATGAATATGGCCACTATAGAAAAACAAATGCCCGGACGTTTGACCTCATTGAACTTGGACAGAGTAATTCATACGATAAAGCTTTTCCGTGTGGACGGAAAATGGTATCACGCTGGCTTAGCTTGCTAATATCGCTGTTTTCCATCGTACTACTCGTTTCAGCCTGGCTAGATTTCCGGGAACAAGATCTAAAGGAATCAGAGACTTCACAACATGATGGAAAGTTGGATGGTGAAAAGGGGGTAATTGAAATAGACTTTATTGAAAGTATAGTATAATGTTTCTAGCTCGAGAAGTTACCTCAGCGTTTATGAATGAATGACGATTGATCTTTACTTTTCAACCTTGAACCTATCAGACGAAATGTGAGCACCGGATGGTTCAAGTTAACTACCATACCGGGAACTACCGTCGACTGACAACGATTAATTTCTTCGAAAATCATTGTCCATTATCATATCCAATCCTTCATTTACAAATGATTTGTATATTAACAATCATTAGAAAGTCAAAACAATCATTGGAAAGTCCAAACAATCATTATGAGGTTATATTTGGGTGGGTCTTTCTATCCACTCCCCCCTCCCCCCCCCTCGTCACTTTCCCTACTATTTACAAGTCACCGGATTTATTATTCTACTGGTCTAAGGCTGTTGTTTGATCTACTACTACAATATCTACTGCTACTGATCTACGATCTACAGGTCTACTGATCTACGATCTACAGGTCTACGATCTACAGGTCTACAGGTCTACAGGTCTACAGGTCTACAGGTCTACAGGTCTACAGGTCTACAGGTCTACAGGTCTACAGCTCTACAGGTCTACGCGTTTACGGGTCTACGCGTTTACAGGTTTACAGATACTGATCTAGTAATCTATTACGCCTAGTGTAACGATGATGATGACCTGATGTAACATATTAGTAAAAATCTCCAAGTATTGTTGGTGATATTGGTGGTGTGGAAAAGAAGGTGGAAAAGAAGGTGGAAAAGAAGGTGGAAAAATCTTAAGTTTTGTAAAAAGTGATGTTGTAAGGAAAAGGAAAAAAAATATTCTAAGTTTTTTTTAGAAGAAGTGTTATGGTTGCTGCAGCAAAAGGTGGGTGGGCCTTACAGGTGGGGAGAGACGGCGATGTTGAAGATCTTGAAAAATCTTAGAAGTTTGAAAAGATAGAAGGTTGGAGGGGTGGTGGGTAGGAAACAATAGTATCGTGGACCTTGCTGCCGCCTAGGTCACCTGACTAACGGCCCGTTTCCACCTGTTTTTGCAGTCTACCAGCTGTAAAAAGTGAGTAATGCTTCTTATTTTCCTAATGATTGTTGTAAGGACTAATGATTGTTCGAATTTATTAGCGTTTTCTAATGATTATTTAACTTTTTAATCATTGTCTGCTCCCACTATTTCCCGCTATGGTACCTAATTACATGACGCAATATTTCAACAATATTGGAGAACGCACTTTTAGCTTCTCATTCAGCTATATATTTTTCCTGACGTCACTGTCTCACATTTCAAATTCGTCCTTATGAAAGCAATTTTCCTCTATGATGAACTGTCGTTGACTCATATGTCGCCGAACCAATTTTCATAACCCAACCGCAACGTTTACTAATATAGGTACCTAGTAGGAACATAGAAAGACACCTGTATCAATGAAATATGGTGTAAATGGAGAAAAATATCATAGTTCATACGATTCCTTTTATCAAATTCATAGGTAGTATCTAGTAAATGATAGATGTAGCTCACTTTGGAAGCTATCGGGGTTAATACTGCCTACCTAGGTACCTAGCAGCCCGAATAAGAGGTACCTAACTCTAGTACCTACCAATCAGCCCTAGAAATAAGCAATGTTTCAAGCTTATTCTCGGTTACCCGGCATGCTACACGATGCAGGCTCAGCCTCAATCAGTAAGGTGCTCATGCTTACAACCGTCGATCGAGATGTTGTGGTTGGATTAACACGGTGACCAAGCCACTTCGATCTTCCTGGAATGCGGGGAGAAGAACGACGAAGCGTCAGTCTCATCTGAGGTCTCAATCCTGAGCAGACCTCCCCGGCGATTACCGATCAGCTTGTCAGTTAGTCAGGTACTTATTCTAATCTTCTCCTTGAGGATATCGAACTCGCGATCACAAGAACATTCACCAAGTAGGATGTGATACTTGTATAGGTGCTCCTTCTCTAAGCCCTAGATCGAGTCCTAGGGATGATGAGCATTCGATGAGCCTACAGTACATGTGTACGATTCATTTATCACTAAAAATGGTACCTACCTAGGTAGGTACCTATGTATGTGAATGGTACGAATGTGGTAATCGTGTTGACCTTTGTTTCAGTAGATGTCAAGCTAAAGCTCCCTTCCGACGATGTGGCTGAAATACCGGATAGGACGGGTTAAACAAGGACGGCTAGTGGTTCCAGCTCGCTCTTAACTCGTCATCACCACCATTACAGGTTTGCAAGTACAGCAGCTGGCACATGAGCCAGGTCTGATTGGCTTCAGGTGCAGGATTAGTCGTACATTGGATTTGGCTTGATCATCGATATCATGACTTCATCAAGCCTTTGTTTGAGACTATTGCCCCGCGATGGCCACCGTCTGCGGCCGCGGGAGGCATCTTTAAATGGAGGGGCTACGTCCAGAGCTTCGTTGAATCCCGCATGTTGAAAGTTGACTTCCAACACTTGCTGCAGTGTATATTCATTCGCCATCAGCTACCTACCTAGTACCTACCGAGGTATTTAGTCACTATGCAGTATAAGAGGCTTTTCCCTTTGGCAGTAGCCTCTGTAGTCTCTGCTCAGACACCAAGCTTAACCGATGCTCTTGGCTCTCAGAACTCATCATTGTCATCCCTCAATGGTATGCCGATAGACTTCTTCATAATCAGGTAAAATTATGACTAACTTATGATAGATATCCTTTCATCAAACCCTGAAATTGCGGCCTCCTTCAACAATCTAAAAAATGTCACCATCCTAGCCCCTAGCAACGACGCCCTAGAGAGTCTGGTGAAGGACACCGACACATTATCGCGGTTCACCAAGTCCGGATATCTGCAAGCTTTATTAAGCTACCATGTCTTGAATGGAACATATCACAATACGAGCTTTACGAATGAATCCATTTTCATCCACACATCACTGGACAACAGCACATATAGCAACGTCACTGGTGGTCAGGTTGTCGAAGCCCGACTTCACGATAATAATGTCACATTCTTCACTGCTCTCAAGCAAAATGCTTCTATTGTCACGGCTGTAAGTACCATCTAAACATTTGAATAATAGCTAGTCGTTGACTCCCTACCAGAACGTGAATTTCACCGGCGGCACAATCCACATTATCGATGGTCTTCTTTCCATTCCCCAGAATGTGTCAGATACATTGTCCAACTCAAACCTCACGGCAGCGGAGGGTGCCATTCAGACGGCTAACTTGACCGACTCTATTATCGGCACTCAAAATGTTACCATTTTCGCACCCAACAACGACGCCTTCGCAGCTATTGGCAGTATCACCGGTAACCTTAGCGCGGATGACTTAAAAGACGTAATTGGCTACCACGTCCTCAACGGATCCGTCAATTACAGTACCAACTTGAGGAATTCGACGGCCAATGCTATCAACGGAAAGAAACTCACTATAACCGTGGAGAATGGCACCATCTACGTGAATTCAGCGAAGGTTACCGTCCCTGACATTCTCTTAGCGAATGGTGTCGTCCACGTTATCGACGGGTAAGTGTCTTATTATCAACCGAACATTGCATGCCTAGGTACCTAGGTACCTAGGTTTCAGTAAGTTATAGGTACTAATGTATGAAAAAGAGTTTTGAATCCAAACAACACCTCCGCAACCCCTGACCCAACGGCTACATCCACCGCAGCAGCATTTAGCGGTGCAAGTTCCGGGACAGACGGCATACCTTTCACTAGTGGAGTCACAACACCAACCAGTACCTTCCCTGCCGCTACATCAGCTGGCGGTTCGGGCGAGTCCAGCTCTTCAAAGGGTGCAGCCATGCCAATGAAGACGGGTGCCATCGGTGCAGCCGCACTCTTCGGAGGTGCAGCCGCCTTCGTGAACCTATAGAACACCACGCGAGAAAATACGTACAAGAATGAAACATGGAAAATATACCTACCTAAGATGCGATCATGATTTTTGTTCAAGGGCTAAGGGTAATGGTGATAGGGGGTTCATTTCACGTGTAATATATTTACAATGCATCGCACGCATACTTATACCACGTAGCGTTTGATACTTGAGAGTTGGGTCATAAGCACAACTCTAACAGTCGTTTACTCCATCAACAATAATTATATCATGCAATCCAGAACCAAACTCTCTCCAAGAAATTCCTAGGCTTCACCTCTGGCCACGTGCCTTCCAAGCGGTCGATCTCCACCTTTCCACTCCATAAGTCCATGTCGCTAAGCTTAACAAATTTCGTTCGTTTGACAAGCTTATACCCCAAGAATAGACCTGCAAAGATCGGCATATCGATGTAAGGCGGCACGAAAGTCTTCGCGCTGAATTTCCCGGGGAAGAAAGCATCGTAGCCGTTGAAGAAGGCAACAATAAGACAGAAGCAAATGGCGAAGTACGCGAGGAATGGCTGTAGAGGTGATTTATATGGTAATGTATCGCGCGAGATTCCGTTATGGCGAAGACCGTAATAAAATCGCAGATAGGTAACGCAAATGGACGACCAGACTATCAACGTGGAGACGGCCGATATATTTGAGAACCAGAAGAACACATCTGCGCCTTGGTTATTCACGTTCATGTAGCATAATAAGCTGATCGCTGTAGTTGCACCAACGCAGGCGTACGGGACGCCCCATTTCTCGTACGTCAGGAACTTGGGCGCTTTCCCATCCAAAGCCGAGGCATATAAGACGCGCGTCGAAGAGTAGAAGAATGAATTTCCAGCGGACCACGCGGAAGTAAGAATGACGGCGTTGATGATCGAAGGAAGGACTTTAACGCCACCATTCTCAATGGCGATGACGAAAGGCGATGCCGCAGCGCCGGGTGCTGAGCTATTAATGGCGTCTAGGAGACGGGGATCCTGCGACGACACACATAAAGTGACAAGGAAGATAGCGAGTACGTAAAAAAGGGCTATTCTCCAAAATACCCTTCGAATCGCCTTGGGGATATTGCGTCTCGGGTTCTCGGTCTCACCACTAGCGATGACGACCATCTCCGAACCGCCGTACGAGAACGTGGCCTGGATGAAGACTTTCCAGAAGGCAAGAAATCGCCCGAGAGATCCAGTTTCCAAGTACTCGTTCATAGGCCCAGGATTATTCCAGTACCTAAATCCAATCCTCTCACCACTAGGAGTTCCGCCGAGTGTAGTGATGAACATCAAAAGAATCAACCCGACGATCGTCGTAAGTTTAATAGCCCCGAAGGCGAACTCTGCCTCTCCATATATGCGCACGGGGAAACAATTAATTATAACCATCGCCAGAAAAAAGACCGTGGTCAAAGCAGCTTTAGGTATATCATTCTGCCAATAATCCACGACTACAACCGAAGCCGTAACTTCGATAGGACATCCGATGGCGAGCTGATACCAATAATTCCAGCCGAGTACAAACCCCAACGCCTCGTCGACGTATCGGGAAGCGTACACGGGTACAGCACCCGGCAAGGGGAGATAGGTCGCCATCTCGCCGAGACTGTGCACCACGCAGTAGACGTTAAAGGCCGTTATTAGGTACGCCAGAAACGCGGACAGCGGGCCTGCAAGCGATAAAACCTGCCCACTGCCAACGAAAAGCCCGGTCCCTATGGCGCCCGACAGCGCCATGAATTGGACATGCCGGGACTTGAGCTTGCGATCGAGCGTACCAATATTTCGCGAGTCTTGCTCAGCTTTTAAGTCTGCGATTACATCCTCCTGATTGTTGGCGATTTTTGCCTTCTTCTCATCCCTTTGCGCCGTTTCGATGTCCTCCATGGTTGCGACTTTTGCGACATGTGCCTCACAGCAAATAAGTCGCCCTGGGAGTTGAATCCATGATGACTGTTGCCCTGTTAGGGGATTACTTAGGTACCTATATATGCATACCTACCTACCTACCTAGGTACATAAGGTATGCTGCTTTACTCCGCACGCTGTATTGTACATCTTTGTTATCGCGGGGGAAGCTTGATTCCCTTCTAGGGAGGTGTCGGAACTAATAATCCCAGGCTTTTTGGGTGTCTTTGTTGCACCCTATGACCTATAAAAGCACAGATAACGGTTCCAGCGCTATTGGACATCGCATCGTCTGATTCCTGGTCGGGACGCAACCCAATCCTTCAAAAAATCGAGTGTTGTATCTTGCAAGGATACGAATAAGAAATCTAATGACTGCTTATTAACATGATAGAATATAATTATTTTATTTCTAGTGCATAGGTAAGAATCAGTCGCAATTACTATAGTTCAATTAATCGTAGTAAGTAAACTGTTTTCGGGGCATAGGTAATTAAATAAGTACCTAGGTAGGTACCTTTCCCTAGACTATTTTGACATGCGATGAAGCCTTCCCAGGTTTGTTCGACGTACACGAACCTGGCGACGCCAAGGTCGCACGACGACTATATCGGAATCTTGCATCCGCTATCACATATCGTGATTCCATCCAGTCATATCTGCAAGATCCTTAGCAGGCGCCTCGCGCCTCGACTTTAGAGCATCGCCTCCTGGTCGCCATTTCCAAGTATCTGCTAGGTCTTCGGCCAGAGTACCCTCTATTAATTCTACTACGTATTTTCCGATATTAGGTAGCAGTTTGAAGGTGTGTCTAAAGATGTTAGGAGGAGGCATCTTTGAATAGGTGAATTCTAATTAAATTACTTACCCGCTGTCGCCCGTGGCGAGAATGAAGTTTTTCCATTTTGGATGCTCGCATATAAGCAGTGCTCCGTCCGCAGTATCCGTGCACCAGCACATTGCTCGGTTGAACAGCTCCTTTTCCGTGAAGCGCGGGAGAAACGTCGCGATAGCCCTACGGATGGATTTCTCTGACGCATCAGGGTATGTGTCTGTAGGGTGCTTGGCGTGAGATCGAGGTACGGATATGTGCTTGGGTTGGTCAGCTCCATATGGCTGATGTTGAGTGAAGCGGGTAAAGCCTGGGAATTCGTCGCAGACTTTGATTATCCCATCTCTGTAAATGATCAGCATATTTTAGTCGTGCCTTAACCGTACCACGACACAATCACGCACTCGTTAGGCTCGAAGAAGAAACCGATGTCTCCGTTGTACACGACAGGCGAGTCTTTATACTCGGCAGCTTCCTCCGGCGATAGCTGTATCATGGCATATACCCATGCCTGTAAGTCTTATTAGCACCATAACATTGCTTCAGATTGAGGTAAAACTCTTACCTTAGAACAGCATTGATCTTCTAAATCTACTAACGTAGGACTCCAAGCTCCCGCGGCGAGAACTACCTTGTCGGCATAGTACTTTGTCCCGTCCACCGTTTCAACACCGATGGTCGTGACACCATCATCTGCGAAAAGGGGCTGTTTGAAGGATCCGGAACTATTCAAGCATCAGTAGAAAGCCCCATCGATTTATAGTTCAAGGAACTTCTCACCCTCCGAATCCAAATTTGACTCCCCGCTTGCTCAATTCTTCTCCAACGGCATTGATCGCCTTGCCCGCAGCTAGCCACCCGCCATCATGGCAGAATATAGCTTTCCAGCCCTTTACAAGGCTTGTAGTTAGCATTCTATTAGTGCGCTCCTATGTCTGGGAAATTTACTTTTATTTGATCCCGTGACAATAATGGCGCCTTTGCTAAAATTGCATCTTCGTTATCCAGCCATTCATTAGTCTCCTCTAGACCAATGCCGATATCAACGAGGTTCTGATGTTTTTTTCGAAGATTGGCAATGCCCTTTTCGGATCCTTCACAATCGAGCTACTTAGCGTTAATTTGCATTGATCGGGCGAGATTGGAGGGTCATGGATTACTCTGCCTGTGTTGTGAAAGAACGGTTTAAACAGTTCGTCACTCTTCCACATATCTCTTGCCTCCGTACTTAGCCTCAAATCGGCCTTATTTCGTATTTGAATCCCCATGATCTTATTAAGATCGTTCCCGGCAGACTGCGCCGAAGGGATGGGATATGTATCGAGAACGGTGATATTGGATGGGGTATAACCGGATCGTACAAGATGCAGAGCGGTCGAAGAACCCATCGTGCCGGCTCCGCCGACAACGACGATTTTCATGTTTGCGCGAGACGTAGCCATCTTGCCCTCAAATGTTCTTTGGATTCTCTCTCGCAGCTTCTAATCGCTTACAGCCGAAACTAACACCCAGATTGATCTCTTAAATAAATGATCATATATACCGACAACCTGTCCTGGTTGCGAAATCGCAATTCTCAATCGCGAAGTGGCACGATGTCAACAATAATATCGACTCACCTTTCGTCGAGATAAACGGTACCAAGATCCAGATCGAGAAGATCGGTCCCAGTCGGTTGGTGACGAGGACGATTTACTAATAGTTTCCCGAGATAATTCGCCTATTAATTGGGACTGCGGAGAGAGTGGGACGCTTGGGGGGTGGAATAGTCGACGGCTTGAGTGGAATCTGGTTTAATATTCGCCTTTGGCCTCATTCATTTGCATCGTCAACTGCTATCATTACCAAAGTAGGAAGACGTTCGTGATGTTTAGTGTCTTCCATCAATCGCTAATACGAAATGTCAATAGGTAAGTTCGTTATTATAATCATGAGGTCAAAACATGAGTCTTGCGGCGGTTGGGAATTTCCCCTCTTGCCCCTATCTACCCGCGATGCGGACATGCTAGCGTTATGTAGATAGGTTGCTCCTCGGTTCTAGAGGCTCGGAAACTAATTCTCAGCTAAGGTGATCGTTTCGTGGGACCGGCGAGTCTGGAACTGTTACGGTTACCAAAATAGGCCAAGTGAGCAATGGCGACTGTAGCCCTGCAAGTCGACGATTGGTCAGAATGAAGTAGCATGACCCGGCATTAGTTCCATTTAAACTGGAACTATTGACCAGGTCTTCGGGACTGCTAATATTTCCCAAGAAGAGTAAAGAAAAGTCCATGTTGGAGCATGTTGGAAATCAAGACGCGTGCCGTCAAACTAGGGGTCTGATTCTCGAAGAAGCCAAGTCCGAGCGAGTCAGATAAGGTGACATCTGATTCGTCATTGAAAATAATATCGCGTGGGAGCTGTCTATTAACATAGACGGTTTCTCGCAGCTCTATGGGGCCCCAAGATATGTTTACCCCGGTTTGGAGAATGGATTACGCTATTTCCATCGTAGTCGAAGAATCCACAGATTAGGCAAAGCTGACCTTGATAAGGAGAGGAACCTAGGAAGATACCTACTAGGTAAGTACTTGGCATTGACATCTTCGCGATATTTGGAGTGCCTATATGTATATCCGACAGACGACCTTGTTTGTGTTCGCCTGGATCTCCAGCTCTCTAGCCATTACTCCTGCTTTGTTGGACTTTGCGCGCGCATCAGTAAAGCACAAGACAACATCGGCACAATGTCCAAGTTCGACGCAGCACCACCCAATACTCATGCTGGCGGGGATGACGATGCCCTTCGCGGGCAAGGCTCGCTCCCGATGAACCCAGTCGAAGACTCCGACGAGAGAGTCGACATGGACGCGTATAGAAAAGCCGTACCGCTGTGGAAGCGTATCTATCAACACAGTTTGACGCAGATGATGCTCCTGAGTATCCAGGCGTTTTGCGGACCAGCTATGGCCGACGCGATCGCAGGTCTTGGTGGTGGTGGTCTTGCGACCCCCCAAACGTCTAACATTGCGTATGTTTCCCAACAATTCATTCAATCTAATATAGCTAATCGCGAAAACCTGACAAAAATTATAGAACTGCGATCAACTATGCTATGCTTGCCACTGTTTGTATGTTTGGCGGTCCTATTGTCAACAAGCTGGGGACAAAGTGGGCATTGGTCATCGGCGCTATGTCATTTCCTATCCGTGGCTCATCTTACTACTGCAACAGTAAATTCGGCACGCAATGGGTATGTAGTACCTCATGAATAGGTCCATCACAACTGCTAACATAGCATATTCTCGCAGTATTTGATTTTTGGCGGTTTCTTTACCGGAATTGGTAGCGGGTGTTGGTATGTCGCCGAATCTGGATCTATCATGTCGCTTGCTCCCTCGGGATCTCGTGGAAAGTACCTCGCCCTATGGATCGTCTCCCGAAACCTCGGACAGCTGGTCGGAGGCGCTATCAAGTGAGTTACCTGAGGTTTTTTTTTCTATAATGTTACGGGGAATGCGATACTGACGTATTCCTTCAAGCCTGTCCAAGAATCATATTAAAGGAGCGGTTGGCGGTGTCACGCCCGACACTTATATCGCGTTCTTGATTATCGAGAGTCTGGCGCTACCATTCGCCTTCTTAATCTCCCCTCTCGAGAATGTTGTCCGATCCGATGGCACACGTATTCTCGTCTCGGAGAAACTTACGTTCAAGCAGGAGTTCAAGCTCATCAAGTTCACCATGTCTTCTAAGCTTATCCTTCTTTCGGCTCTTTGGGCGGTCTGGTCCTTCTTCTACAGCGGTACTTGGTCTACGTATCTCGGGACGTACTTCACCACCCGCTCTCGTGCCCTATCTTCGCTCATCTCGCCATTCTTCTGCATGTAAGCAACCCGAACCATTTATACCTAGTTTTTCTTTTGTCCAGTATCGCTAAACAGATACGTAGCATCGGCTGTTTCGGCCTTGGATTCATTCTCGACCTTAAATCCCTTAGTCAACGTCGTAGGGCGCAACTTGGCTTGTTCACCGTCGTCATCCTTAACTTAGGCGTATATATCTGGTCCATTGTGATGCAGACGAAATTCAACGTCCGTAGCCCAGGTAAAATCGACTGGGACGACTCGCTCTATGCTACATCCTTCCTGCCGTACTTCTTCGTGCAGACCACGGGCCCCCTATCACAGTCGTATATGTACTGGCTTCTTTCTTCCTTTGCGACAGACGCGCAGTCAAACGTTCGTAACGGCGCTGCTTTTAGATGTCTCGAAGCTGTCGGTCAAGCCATATCTTACGGCATGAATACCCAAATCAAAGCCGATCCTCTAATCGGATTGTACGTGTTTCCCCTCCCATTAAGATGATAGCAATTCTCGCCCTAACAAAACATCTTTAGCTGCGTCACATTTGGTCTAATGGCCGCCGCCTTTGTACCAATGCTCCTCCTTGTTAACTCCACACCTGACCGTATCCCGGCGGACGTAATTCTTGAGGAGCAGGAGGCGCAAGAGGAGAAGAAGTTGGAAGGGCTTAAATCCGACTCATAACGTACTCGAGAATAGAGGGTGATCGGAATAACCGGGTACCAGTACATTTAGTGGTAATTGCGAGGATTATATACGAAAAGATGAAGGATTTACGTAGATTCCATAGTTGGTGAATGTGGCATCATTATTCAGTTCATTAGTTGAGGTCTAGGTCGATAACCTCGTCCTCGTCATGTGCAATTCGCGTATCGGTAAGCGACGATACATTGTCAGCAATATCTCTCCCATTGTGCCCTATCAATCCATCATGCCAGCCTACGTCAACCTATTATCCGCAGGGAAAAGTCGGCTAGCTTGCGTGATTAGTGTGAAGAGTATGGTTTGTTGACGAATCATTATGCTCGACTTTTTTATTTATAGAGGCGGTCCAAATAAGTCGTCTCCGTTGGCAGCAACTTTTCGCCTCTTAGACTCGCGCTCGTCGTTGATAGCATTTCCGAATACGTTCTCGTCTGTGTTGGCACTTCCTTTCGCCTTCGGTTTCTGCGATGCGTGTGCCCTACGTACTTTCTGCAAAGCAACAAGATCGACTCTATCGGGGTCTCGGCACTTAGCGAGTTTTCTTCTCAAGACTTTGACGCCTTTAACGATCTCCTTCTATAGTCCAGGGTGTTAGCAACATAGAAGTAGAAAGGTATTTTCCGACTTGTGCTCACATCTTCCCAGTAGGAGGTCATCTTCTCCGGAGGTTCTTCCTCAAGCATAGCCTTGCATGACTGTATCACACCTAATATCTTCTCCTTGATCTCATCGCTCTGATCAGTGAAAGCTTCCGTGAGCATTCGTTCCACCAATTCTCCATCCACCATTGCTAGAGCAGCATACATAATCTGACTTGGCGTGTAGTGGTAATAGACGTCGGTGACTAGGGGACTGAATTTCAAGATAGCTCTAGTTTTCTCGTGGGCCTTGTTGACTCTGTCCTCGTCGAATGCGCCTAGTCTTCTAAGCTCCATGATGGCTCCCTCCAGAGCACGGAATGGGTGCTTGACATCGAAAGCGAAACGTATGCCTTGGCACAGGACGTATTCGGCGGCTAGAATCATCTCGCTTGTGGTGTTGGGGAAAGTGTCGGCTATCTTCTGTACTCGAATGAAATAACCTTCAGCCTTACACCCAAAGAATAGGCAAGTCTTCATAAGCTCTTGTGGCGGATAGGTCATAACGCTATTAGTGAGATAGAAACGGCGAAGGAAGATGGCGGCGGTGGCTTGGATATCGGTGGGGAGGTTGCAAAACGAGGCGGCGCGCAAAAGTTCAACTGTAAAGTGGTTGAGAATCTTGTACTCTTCGGAGGGTGTCATGAATTCAGGCAGGGATTCGGCAGGAGTGGATGGGTTTGACGCTCGCAAGCGATTGGAAATATGAGATCGGGCGAGGGCATTAGTCTTCTCGCGGAGGGTGGCGAGGTGAGGTTGAGAGAATGACCATAGACGGTATTGGCTCGACTGTCTATAACGAGCATCTTCGGTCGCCATTGTGAGAATTCGGGGGTTGTCGTCGCCAGATGGACCGGGACGACTAGATACAAATGTAGGTTAATGTGATGATAGAGATTAACTGGGAGGATCTTTGTTCTTGACGAAAAAGAAACCTAGTCCATTTTTACTCCAAGATCATAGACACAATAGTACACCATTACGTCTATATGAAGTAAGAAATGATATTGCATTTGTAGACGCGGAGGAACCGAGAAATGACAACCCGAGATGTCTGGAATGGATTTATGGATTTAAATGTTGATAAGGAAAGTTGCTATTGTCTCCAGGTAGGACCTCATAGTGGGGTTGTCAATCCATATTAGGTAATCGACAGTTACGGTACTTAGCTAAACTAGCCCATCTCAATTAACGGATAATTCTTTTTCAAACCATTAATATATGGTTTGGTTTCATAAACATTTAATTATCTAAATATTTATAAAATTAAACGATTACTCGCATTTAAACGTTATATATTTTTAAACGTTAGAAAAAAGTTCAACGTTTTTTTTAAATAAATGTTTGGCGATAGCTCGAACTATTCGAAGTCCCTGATCTGGTATGTGTAACCCTTTCAGTACTTTAATCTTGTTGTTTTGATCTAATCCACCTACCTTAAGTCTATATAAAACCTTGATCCTACCCACTTACCTTCAATCCTTCTTCTTCTTCTTCTTCTTCTTTAAAACCTCCAAGTCTTTGAAGAAGTCTCCAAAGATCTACCCATATACACCAGGATCGCCTCCAGGATCTCCAGGACCTCCAGGACCTCCAGTCTATCCGATTTACCAATGACTTAAGGCTCAACTGCAGCTATTACAGGTAGGTAAGTAAGTAGGTAGGTAAGTAAGTAATCTTACAATCGTAGAAATCGTAAATAGCCTCCTACATACATAAGAGGCCTCGTAGAAGGCTATCCGTTTGCTTGTTAGTTCCAAAGTAAAACACCTATCCGCTAGCTCCTGTAGCTTCCCGTTTAGGTACATTTAAGGCTTCATATCGAATATTTGAAGATTTATTAAACATTTAAAATTTCCAAACGTTTCGAAAAGAAGTAAATATTAATCTAAAATATAAACAATTAAATAAAAAAACGCGCAATCGACGGTTTCTTTTTTTCCAAACGTTTGATCTTGCAAACCATCAATTGATGATGAATTAACGGTTAATTGCACACTGCGGATCTTTGGACAGTATTAGGTACCCTCATCCTGACTATCGCTGAAATTAGCGTCTAGAAGTCCCCTATACCGCCCGTAACTTCAGGCTAACATTTTCAAAGTTGGTACATACGTCGGGTACCTCTAGGGCTACACTACCGGGAGGGGGGGGTGTTTGGACATAGTCACAAGGATAGTCACCAGGTGTGGACATAATGTCAACTGGTGATCATTAACTCATAGTC